TTTCTAAATAGATTAGAATATTATCGAAATAAACCGTCGCATATTTATCTAATACATCGTATAAAATATCATTAATAAAATTCTAAAATATTACAAGTACTCCCTATAGTCCGAATAAATATACTAAAGATTCGTAGAGGCCGAACCTAATAATAAAAACCATCAACCACTCATATCCCCTTTTTACCCGAATCTTATTAAAAGCGGCAATAATATTAAATTTAATAAAAATCGTTCTTTTATAATTAACGTCGAAGGTCTCCTTAATTAGCGGTAATAAATATCTTATCTTTAATATAATATTATTAATTCCTCTATAATCTATACAAATATCTATACTACCGCCCGGCTTCTTAACTAATAAAACCAATAACATATATTCGGACTATAATATTCGGATAAATCTACTCTTAAAATTATCGTCCAGCTATTTCTTAATAACATTAAACTCTATTAGCAAAAGAAAATCTTAATTTAACGTTTAGAAACTTTATTCCTAAGATAAATTCGATCTTATAATTATATAACCGTTCCTAGGGTAAACTTTAACGTCAAAGGGGTTAGCAACCTTCCAATATATTTAATAATATATCAATATTTTAGCTTTAATCTTTACCTCTGTAATTAATAATCTATTTACCTTCTCATAGAATTTCCTAAAGTCTTTCTCGCTAATCCTCAATATAATTTCGCCGGCTCCCTACTTATAAATCAACTATAAAAAATACTCCTTAAATTTTTTCTTATACTTAACTCCTTTCCCTACGCAAATATCCTCGAATATCTCCTTAATAACCTCTAATTTCTTCAATCTATCAATAACGACCTTTCTGAATTCTTCCTCTTCTACTACTTTAGCCTCTTCCGCTTCTATATACCTAATTCCTTTAGCGATCTCCGCTCTATTTATAATAACGACTTCTAATTGCTCAATCTTTATAACGAAATTAAAATTCGCAATATTAAATTCAATAATATCCGTAATATTAATCAGGGCTTTACTAACGTCTAATAACTTAACATATTAAAATATTAATAATATCCGATCTAACCTAATAATATTGAGTTATATACTACCTACCGACTTATATTCGACTAATTTAGTCTCAAGTTTCCGTATTTCTAATTTCTCTATAAAGTTGTAGGGTAACATTATAATTTACATACCTTCTAATAATTTAATAACTTATAGAAATTTAGGGTTTATATTTCCATCTATCTATTTAATGATCTTTTTTCGTAGCCGTACTCTTCGGTAATCAATAGCGCGTCGAATATCGGCTAATATGGGGGTTAGTAATAACTTAGCCTCTTAACTTAGTATTAAGGGCTCTATAGTAATTTCGAAACCCAGTCCGTCGACTAGCGGTTATAATAATATAAACTCTAATATTAATAATAACCTAACTTCGTAATCCGGTACTAAAAACTCTATCTTAACTTCAAAACCCAATCTATCGACCCTATTATATTTTAATACCCTTAATACTCTTACTTAAAATTCTAAAATATTTATAAAAAAGTATTTATTCTTCTTATATTTTTTCCCAAAAACTACTTCGCTCTTTTCCTAATCGATAACTAAATTATATTATTATAGCTAAAGAATACCCAAAATAATAAAGTTCTCCAGCGATAATATAAATAGTAATATATTGATTTCTTCACTATAAATTCCAATCCGTATTATTACTCTCGTAAACTCTTTAATATAAATATTAATTTTTCCATCTACTAATCGCAATAACCTTTAGTCTCAAAGACTCTATACTGGTAGATTATTCTCTTTAATAAAATTTAAATCGATAAATACTTTTCCAATATAACTACTATCGATTAACGTAAAATAATTCACTTTACGCTTCCTATAATAAAGAGAAAGTCTTTTCGCACCGCCATAATTGTCTTCAGACACCGCTATCCAAAATTGAACTAAGTATAACTTAGCCAAACTTAGGTCTACGAATATAATAGTAGGATCAGAAAATCTATTAATTTTTCTTTAATATTCCTAAGGCAACACCCCTGTCATACCCCTTTATACTCCCACGGTAGGAGCAAAAGTTTAATATTAAAAGTTAATTAAACGTATCTTTAATCTTCTTTACATCACTAATGCTACAGAGGGTGTATAATTACAATATGAGTAGCGTTTAGTAGAGTAAAAAGAGACAAAAATTCCGAGCCCCTTTATGAATTATAAGGTCTTAGTTTGGTAGAGTTACTTTGGAACGCATTTTTAATAGCGGTGTCTGAAGACAATCATGGCGGTGCGAAAAGACTTTCTCATAATAAAAGTAAGAAGATAAAAATATAAATTTCTCTAATCTAGCACTAATTAAAATAATTAACAAAGGTTCTATATAATATAAAAATACTATTAAATAGTCTAATTACCTTATTAATTCTATATACCCTACTAACTATCCCTCTACCAATTTATCTTCTAATTCTAATTTCTTCTCCTTTCCCTTATCGGAATATTGCTCCCATTAACGACTTATAACGGAGGCGTGGCATTTTCTTAACCGCCGTTAGCATTAACCTAATTACCGTCAATTTAAGCGTATTCGCCGCCGAAATACTAAAATCAAAGATAATAAAGTTTTTAAGAGAATAAAATTCCCCTTCATTACCTATATTAAAAGTACTTTATTTAATAAGAAATATTAAATTGTAAATACCAATTTCTCGTCTTCTTTATTATTTAGAGGCGATAGTAATATTATATATAGAAGTAATAAAGCGGTCTTATATTTAATTCTTAAGTTTCTCGACCTTTTTACGAATTTCTAAATACTTTTCATAATTTTCGTTAGTAAATTTCAAAATTAAAAGAATAAGCTTCTATTTAAAATCGTCCTTAATTTTAAATATTAAATACTAGTAGCATATTATTAAGTAAAGTCTTCGCTCGTAAACTTTATACTATAATAAAAAACTTACTCTCTTTTTCGGCTATAAAAATTTTTTAACGTTTTTATCCGCCCTACGTTTCTTCCTTACATTTATTTTCTACTTTTTTTTACAATTAAAATTAGGAGCGTTCTCTTTATATAATGCGAATTCTTATAAACTAAAGTAACTAGCAACTTAAACGCCGTATATAATAGCCTTCTTATTAAATTTAATTATAACGATAATATATTTTTAAATACTAACCCTTCTAAAATTAACGGATATATCCTTATAATTTAAAGACTTATTTTCAAATTCGGCATCGAACTTCTATAAATTTATTACCTAAATAAATTTATATAGCCGGATTATATTGACGAAATCAGTAAATTACAAAATAGAGGTAAAATAATTACTAATTTTAAAACGTTTTTTAACGATTGTAAAAATTTCTTATTCGGATAACTATTATTCGAAATCTTTAGAGACTTTTTTCTAAATCTCTTTAATAAAAATTTAATAATTATAATAAATTTTAATAATTTGATCAATAGAACAGTAATTAATTTAACCCTTAATTTCTTCAAACTAATTTTTAATAGACTAATCCTATTCGAACAAAGACTTAATATAATAAGCGGCGACGTAAATACTTATTTAATTACAAATTCGGATATTAGCGTCGTCGAACTCTTTTTAATATTTATAGCGAATATTATACGTATTATTAATTTAATTGTACGCTACCTTCCCGGCGGTCGTTAAATCGATGGTAGAATTAATAATTATATCCTTTAACATATCCTATGTAATATAATATTTATCCTCCTCTTCCTTTTTATCTTTTTCTTCTTTTACTTTTTTATCGTTGACGCTTTCAACAGCTTCTTATTAAAATTAAATAATAGCAGTAATTTTAATAATAGTACCGGTATTCGTATTATTAATATCAATAGTAATAATAATAATAATTATTATAATAATAATTACAACTTTTTTGATTCGGATTCTACAATTAAATTTAACGAACTCTTTCTTTACTACTAAAAGGCGGTCCTTAATCTACTTCGTAAAGAAAAAATCTTCCGACTTAGGGGGTAGAACTTAATAAATTATAAATCCTCCTTTAAGTAGCTAATTACTAAATTCTTAGTTACTACTAACGAGTCTCTTAAAAACTTTATATTAATTAAGCTAATCGTTAGGCGATTTGAAGATAATCATAATAATCTTATTAATAAATTCCTTTAATAAAGATATAATTATTTAAAAGTAGGTTAGCGATTAAACTTTTCGTAGGGATATTACTTATTATCGTAGCGCAATTGAATATAAATACGTAAATTAGATTATTAATTATTAAATTAAATAGTATAAAATTAATTAATTAAAGAATATATATAACTAACTCGAGCGAGCGCTCTAGAAGGTATAGGGAGTGCTAGGGTAATCCAGATATGCCCAGAAATTAGGCTTAATCAGGTGGCTGGGAGTCTAACCCTCAACGAATTAGCCAGAATCCCCACCCTTGAATCTGACAACTATCCGGGTCTTTGTGCCGTGGTATGTAACATCCTTCTCCATGTGGAAGCTTCGGCGAATAATCAGAAGCAAGTCTCGAACGGGTACGATGGGGTTCGGATGTCACGTCAAATGCAACTTTGCCCGTGATACCTTTTCGGTCTACTAGTGATGTATTTGGGAATTGGGAAAGGGGTGATGTCTCCTAGATAGCTGCAGAATCAATCTTGCCTGTCAACATCGTGGATGTGCTTGGTACTCAGGCATCATATGAAGCATCCCGCTCTATGGGTAAAGAGCCGCAATAAACAAACAGCGGCAAAGGGAACTGCCGATACGCTTGTCGCAAAGTGATCTCCATGACTTTGAAACCACATGATAACGATAATCCCTTACTTGCTCGCTATCTCTGCTCTAGGCTCGCTGCTACACTCGCGACTGCTGTTGAATACTATCGTCTGCCTAATACCCTATCTGACCTCCGTTGATCCCCTCCCTATCATGAAACCTGGCAAATTTGAAGCACTTCCAGAAACTCCAACCTTAGGCGTCCTGCCAACATATCCAAATGGAAGAAATAGTTTTCCCGGCCTGTACCCAGTCATAACCAAAAAATATCGTGAGAACCCGCGCCCATCAAATCCAAGAAATATCCCTATAGTCCTCCAATATCGTTAAAGTCCATACCCATGTAGTCCATCCAAAAGAAAATTGTTTGTGCCCGCTGAGGTCACGGGCAATAGCGTGTTGCGGTAATCCACATTCCCGTTATTCAAACCCATGTCGCCGGACGGAAGATCATCGCAAGAGGAAATACTTTCCTCACTCAAACTGAGAACACTTTGTGCTGTTGGAGCGCCTGGTACAAAGTCACCTAGATTAAACGATGACATATCCCATGGATCTTGCCCCCATGCCGTGGCCGACGAAGGTGTAGCAGACGAAGGCGTCTCCAAGGGTGCCAAAGCTGGGCCCCCGTAAATCGCAGTATACAGACTGACCGGGCCACCATCCAACGATCTTACCAGCGCCTCCCACTCAGCTGTCGACATGCCGGTTGATGTCTTCTGCGGGAACATTTGGCCTTGCTGAGAGTGAGAGGATGCTGTGGAAGAGCGTTGTTGTTGTTGTTGCTGCTGCTGCTGCTGCTGTTGTTGCTGTTGTTGCTGAGGTTGACTGCGCATCTGTACCGGGGAAACGGGTGACTGAGGTGAACTTAATGAAAGATAATCCAAGTTTTGCTTCGACTGTGTGCCAGTCGATGTACGTCCCATAAGCGCGGCTTGGGCGACTTGAGCCTGACTCATAGAGTGACGATGGTGAGGTCGCATTTGTTGTGCATCTTGACGTAAGCTATCGAAGGACGTTTGAGAACGGGCGCGGTAAAGCTCGTTCCTGTGCTGCTGTTGAAGTTGCTGATGCTGATGTTGTTGGTGCTGAGGAGTCATAACCATCCCAAGTAGCTTGTCCCGCTGCATAATGAGATCTGTTTCGCTCAAGCTAGCGCTAGAGTGACGACCAAGGGTTGGTTGAGCACCGCGATCGACAGCCGAAGGTGAAGGAGATCCTTGCTGCGCCGGTGGTGTGGGCATACACGCCTCCGGAGACTGTCTCGGGGGCGTCGGCAAGGACTGGGGAAGCGATTCCTCGACGGTAACCAGCATTCCAGCGATCCTCTTGAAATCGTAGGATCCTGGAGCGTTCACCTTGGTAACAATCTTGATAACGCCGTTGACCAGTTTCTCGTTATCCTTCAACACTTTGCTGTCGTGCTTGAGTCCCAATGTCTGGTACAGCAACGCCATGCCGCAGACGATCAAGATGTCTGCCTTGTTCAGGCAGAAGGAGAAGGACATGGACCTCTCTTCCAGCAGTTGAACAATTTGCACAATGCTCTTACTGGACTCGGCAACAGACATGAGTGCAGGAGCAGCCTTTGGGCCCAGGCTAGATGCAATAGCCGGCCGATAGATAAGGATTCGAGTATAATAGTAGGCGAGGGCAAGGAGAGGAGACCTGCTGCCTGTCACATCGGTCGATGGCTTGTCCTGCTTGAAGTTGAGCTTCAAGTGCTGTGGTAGGTTCTCAAACCACTCGGTGAGTTCTCCCTCGAGCGATGACATCTGCTGTAGCGAAAGCTCGTACGAAGTGGCAGCCGGGTAGATCTTCTCAAGGACCTTGCCCAGGATCCGGGATCCTCGAAACAAGGCAAGTGCGCTGGAGATCCTGGTGGGTTCGCCGGGAAGGCTTGGTTGGAATCCCTTTTCTGTAACATATTCATCGTCGGTGTCTGATGGGAACTCGGCGTGGACGTCTTCATCCTTGAGAAGCTTTGGGAGACCAAGGATGGCGGCAGAAAAGCTAGGTCTGTTAGCAATTGTCAATGCCTCGTGTGAACGAGTGCGCTTACCAGTCAAGTGTGTACAGAGTCCAGAACACCTTCTTTCGTGTCTCGATGGTCAGAGCACCGAATGAGAAGCGCTTCTGGCTCTGATGTAAACCTAGGCGATGAGAAAGTCCCACAGCAATGCCCTTGTAGTATTGCAGCCGCTTATAGTCGGCTCGGACGGTGCAGTACATCAAAGCAAGGATGAGGCATTGGAGGGTAAGCATGGTGTTGTCCATCAAGATAGCCTCCAAAGACTTGTGCCATTGTGTCTCGCAAGCGGCCAGCTGCTGAAAGTCAGGCTGCTCACTGGACAGGCCGGCAATGCTAAAGACCAAGTAAAGCTGTGTGAGCTTGTGGTTGTTCTTGATCTTTTCAGGATCCGCGACAAATTCCTCGTAGACACGAAGGAAAGCTGGCTTGTGGAGAACCGGAAACAATGGCGCCCATTCTTGAAAGTAAACATTCACGCAGCGATCAGAAAACAGCCTAGGCGGTATCCTCATACTCTGAGGGGACACCTTTGTCGAAAGAGGATAACATCCCTGAATGTGCAAGAAGGCTTCTGGATTGAAGTCGGTGCATGACTTGCCGTTCTCTTGGATTTTGCGCTTGAATGTTTCTGGGTATGGGGTCAGTTGTCAAGAACGCGGATCTCTCGGGGACTGCTGTGGAAAAGACAAACCAATAAAAGAACGGCCACTGGAGGCGCCCATGAAGTAGGAGTCCGAATTCTCGACACCGAGCAACAAGGGCGATGCTTGGACGCGGAAAGTATCCTCTTTTGCCGGTGTGCCGGAATCCTTCTTTATCTCTGCTGCCGGAGTGCTTCGAGGTGATTCGGCAGACCGGCCGCGATTGCTGTGCATCTTGGAGAGCATATCGAGCTTCTCGTCCTTCTCATCCAGCAAATCCTTGAGTTCCCGGACTTCCGCCTCCAACGCACGTACTCGCTCCTCGAGCGATTCTGTGTAGCCCCTGGGGAAAGCGCGCCTGCTGAGCTTATCGCTCGTCTTGCACTCGAACCCAACATTGGCGCATTGTGAACAACACGGCCTGATCCCGTCGCAGCGGATCTTTTTGCTGCGGCAGCGGTCACAAGCCTGAGCGATGCGACTTTGTGAGCTGTTGCCCACCTTGATAACTTTCATGGGTAGAATGCCGGGCATTTTGGGCGTCTTTCACGCGGCCGGGAGAATCCCGTGCCTGTCGATATTCGATAATGTCGGTAAACAAAGTTGTGGTTGAAAGTGGGCGAGTGCTTGTGTCGAAGGACGTAACCCAAGGTTGTCGATACAGCACCAAATCGTAAAATCAAATCCGTCTTAGATCGTCACAAGACCCAATGCCGAAAGTTGATCTGGTCGTAGAGAGTAGTGGAAAAGAAGAGGCAGTTGACGTTTCTGGTATTGACACTTTCTCACTGGTGTCTGTTGTTCACGTTGATTTGGTCGTAATTCACAATCGAAGTCGAAATTGAGGCGGTAGATGATTGCTGGTGTGGTGATGAATGTGGTAATAGTGGTGTAAGTCAAGAAGCTAAGAGTGAAGAAACTTGAGACAGAAGCGAGCCAAGATCTTCAAATCCTTCAAAAGTCGAGTCGGTCCAGTGAAAGGGGGGATTTGGAGAGCACGACAGGCGGGGCGGCGTGATTTAAGGATGAATTCCGTGGGAAGGAGCATACGGGGGTACATTGGTGTGTTGCTGTGAGCCAAGAGGGACCAGGGGACAGGACTGGCTAGCGGGCCAGCGAGCAGCGTAGCACTGCGTGGCAGCGAGGCAGCGAGGGCGCGAGGGTTGATGCCCGCTGAGGGAAAAGCGGGCGGGAAGGAGTCCCTGGTCATCCGTACTTGCGTACCTGGTACCGCTACCTCTGGTGATCGGTGAGGAAAGAGTCATCTCAACACTTTAGTTGCGACGTACCCGATACTTAGCATCCCACTGCAAGATCTCTCAACTCTGCACAGCAACACGAAGATCCTCTAAAGTTGGAACCTCGAGGGCAACACCAAGGACGTACGTGAACATCAGGGCACTATCGTCAGTGACAGCATCTTGACGCTTGGGCTGCTGCCTCAACGCCGTATTCCTGCTAAGCCTCCGAAGATCACAGAGACTATCCCAGTGTGAGGTGGACAAGGCAACGGACGGTGTGCAAGTGAGAAAGACTAGCGACTCCATTTGATTGCCATCCCCTGGCCAAAGAAGAATCTGGGGTGAGCAGGGATTTACTCGTCAAATCCAACAGATTCGCCAATCATCTTGGCCTTTGTGAGCGAGAATCCACGGCATCCACTATCCCCATCTCCCGGCCCAGCCGACGAATCGCAGCGCTCTCGTAGCGGTCGCGAGAGACCCCCGGCCCCTTTCTCTAGCACACCTCCCACCAGGCTCACAAAGAGGGTTGTGGTCGAATTTCAAGCGAAATCCGGGGCTTCTCGGCGCCTCCTGGCGTGAATGGGACCACAGGGCAACCACCAAGGGACGCCATCCTTCTTCCGTGTTTGTTGGGACGGCGACGTGCGAGGGCTGGCAAGAGTTTTTGATGGCATCATGGCTGGCCTAGACCCCCGTTGTCTCAGCTGCATGGATCGTCAGGTCATGGCAGGTGTTGGAAGTAGCCAACTGGCCAATGGTGAGAACACTGGCCTGCTTACGACCTAGAGACTAGCGAGGCCAGGTTCAAGATCCTCCCGATCGGGCTGGGCACCAAGCTGTTTTGCTTACCGAGACCCTGAGCAAAATTTAAAGCTGCACCGTGATACGGCCTCTGTTGCGATACCACGGGACGATACCCTTCATGGTTAGGACACTCGGGAACCGGACGGGACCTCGCCAAATAGCCTCCTCCTTGAGTTGAGGTTACGGTCGAGAACCCGTTGTGTGCATGGGCAGATATCTCTCTTCGAGGTCAAGCGAGACTTTGTCCATGGTCCGCGTGACGCTGGATGGGGGCATTGAAACATTAAAGAGACAGGGAAGTCCTCAAACCATGGTGGTTATGTCTTGGGATCAGCAGTGCTCTTCACCTTGGATAGTTGAGGACGTTGTGGTTTGGCAAAGATATTCCGTTGTGCATATAACACAGTACGTTGTCTTGGGTGTCAATATGTGCGGCGGAAGAGGCGCGTATTGAGCATCAAGAGGACGGAGCGTTTCGGATCAGCTCCGGAACGTTGAGCGGTTCCCACACCGTAACCCAACCCAGGACTTTATAATTCGGGGCTCACTAGCAGCCAGACGAAACACAAAGCCTCTCTGCTTCAGAATACTTCCACATCAGAAAGCCAAATGTACGGTGTACAGACGGAAACGACGAAGAGAGACACCTTTCCGCATTCTGGAGACGTAAACAACCTACCTACTCCACTAAAAGGGGTCGCTGACGACGACGTGGACGCTTTGCGATAAAGACAAGACTGCCCAGGGCTGGCCCACCGGTGGATCGTCGAGTGTGTTGGGTCAACAGGGTCGTTAGTTGAGACACACACAACGGAATCCAAAGAAATTCGGTGAGCAATAACTATGGTTAAAAAGATGGAGAAAACTGTCCGATCATCAAACAGCCACCGGTCTGCGAAGTGGTGTTCACTTCGCTCTTATGATAAAACGCGAGCGATGATGCATTAGGTTAGGGGATATGTACTGTGTACTATGCACGGCTGCCGCAGTCGCACACGAACCTCCAAAAGATAAAAACAGTTGGATGGGGCCGGCCGCCTCCACACAGTAAAAAGAGACACAACCCCATGAAACGGCCCGCATAACCAAATGATTCCATTCCATGATTGGCTGAAATCTGCACAGCAGGGATCATTTTGTTCCACAACCCTTCTGGAGTTAATCTTCCCCGCATTTTGGTTGAGCAATGCCAAGAACTCCAAGCGATGGATTCCTCTGCTTTTCGCTCTCGATCGGGCATTATCACCACTTTGATGAGTCGGACTCGGGCAAATCCAAGCAAAGAATGGATTTCCAAGAACTGACTGCGGCAGTCCGTCGCTTCGTGGTCTTAATACTCGACAAACAGGTCTCGGATTATCGGATATACCTACCCTACATCGCCCATCCACCGTCCGCAAGATGATGGAAACTCCGACCAGAGATCTCACAGCATCACGAGCATCACCACCCAGTCAGCGCAGTCACATCACTGGCCAGAGCCCCGGTAACATGTCAAGCCAATCTCCCACTTATCGCCGAAATGCGGGGTGATATAGGATTGTGTAATGGTTCCAAGCCTTCTGGGCGGAACCGTTTGGCTGACCGGACATGGAAAAAGCTGGTTCAACAAGAAACTCGTGGTCATCCTGCGCCAGGAGCATACATCTGGACAGTGTAGGGTTGGGGACAACCATGTCTAAATCGCCCCATGTTCGTTTTCGCAATATCTAATGGCTTCCCAGAGCATAAGATCGGCCTCAACTCCGCAACTCTCCCCAACTTTTGGCCTTGTCGCCGCAGTAGTCTCGTTAATTAATGCCCCCTTTCCTTCTTCTTTCACGGCGGTGCTATACGACATCGTCGACGTCTGTGAGCTTGTAAGATTTGATATAGACACAATTTCCCTATCCACGCACACAAACCGATCGTATCCAAGCAAAGTCTCACGAAGAAACTTCCACGAAGAAACTTCCACGAAGAAACTTCCACGAAGAAACTTCCACGAAGAAACTTCCACGAAGAAACTTCCACGAAGAAACTTCCACGAAGAAACTTCCACGAAGAAACTTCCACGAAGAAACTTCCACGAAGAAACTTCCACGAAGAAACTTCCAGACACTTGGATCAGAGAGCATCACGATGCCTTGCAGCCTCCATTTCAAAAATGGGTGGTTCATCAACTGAAATCCTCAGGCTCATTGGACGCCTCCTCGCCAACTAGGTCGGATTCGGCAGTTTCCATCGATCCGAGATATGCCACCACGTTTTCATCAGCCAGTAGCATACGCCTCTGAATGTCATCTTGTCAGTTACTTTGCATGCCATCGCGTGAGGGGGAGACCCTGGGAGTTTGCGGGGGTGGATTCTCACCTCTTTCTCCAAGTCTTCTATGACAACTTCTAAAAGACCGGTTTCGATGCTCCTGAGAAGAGAAGCAGCCTGGCGACATTCGTCCCTCAACAAGTCAACGTCGCCGATGGGGAGCGCAGAGAGATCCGCAAAAGACTGCGCTCTCTCAAGCTGTTGCTGCAACCGCTCCTGGACCACAGTGACAACGCGCAACTTGATAAGCGTAGGCACCTCATGGCTCTGGATAAGGCTTTCAAAGTCTCCTATCCGGTCTGTAACATCCTCCTCTCGCCAGAAAACACGGAGCTGTCGGCCACCCTCACTGTCCTGCAGCACCCGGAAATCCAGGCCGTCCTCCTCGTTCACGCACATGAGGTAGGCGAACGGACTGTTCCATGACACGGCAGAGCTACCCTTGTCGTGAGCCACGTGGACTTTAGGCATGTCCTTAAACGCGAAGAGCTTGGCCTTTGCCAACGGGTCATCCTCAAACGGCTCCAGGGGGAGCACGAGGCTCTCGACAGTCGATTCCGGATCTATGAACCCGTAGCTGAACAGCATCTCTGCGGCTGGCTTGGCGTCGCCATAGCTGATAGTCACCTCCTCACCAGATGAAATCTTGCTGTCTGGCCTGGGCAATAGTATTACCTCATCCTTGGTGTTTTCATCATAGTAAGCCGACGCACTGGTCGAGTGGTTGATCATGTCTATGCATGGCACCATAGACTCCCCCGACTTCGGCAACTCGAGGACTCGAGACCGGTAAAGCGCGTCCAGGAGGATCCAACTGCGTAGAGATGCCGAAGAATTGCCGTCTTCGTATGGCCACAGTACGTCGTTCCAGCTCGGAAGGCTCGATGCGGCCTCCCGGACCGCATCAAACTCGGCAGTGAGGGCCGTCATCTTTGCATTCACAGCCGACTCGAGAGATGTGCCTCGGAGGAGTAGTCGCTCATCTTCCGTCCACAGTGTGGGCACGAGGACCGTTTTGGGTAGGAACTTGATGTACTCTGTCCATGGGTTCGAGACGCCTACTGGAGCTTGGTGTGCCTTAGAAGCCAGAACCAACTGGACGAGGAGAAACAATAAGATATCCCTTCTGGCTGACTGTTGTGTGGAAAGATAACGTCAGCTGGTCTCCGGGACAATATCAATGGGGAAGGTCGGGAGTTCCCGGATAGAGAGGGGGATGGGGGTTGATTTGTAGCAGTTCGCTCATACATGATGTCCAACAGCATCCAGAAGTTGCTTGAAGTTCTTGTCTTCTTTGGCATATTCATCGACGGCTTGTACGTTTAGGACGAGGCTGTTCGGCACCGCCATAAGAGGCACATCGGGTTTGAGATCTCCATCGCTTACTACACCAAAGCCTTTCCCTTCGATATTGGCGACTTTGACATGTGGGAATGTGATGCCGTTGAGCAGAGCCCAAGCGGGCAGCGCCTCAATTGGGAGCCCAGGTTGTGCCATATTTTGAGGAAGACCGCTTGCTGTACGACAGGAAGAGAGGTGCCTTCCCAACCTGCTAAGAAGTAGGTATAACTCGGGGCTTACAAAAACTTGTTTGAGCTCGATCTACGAATCCAATCGTGCATGAGACTGAATGCAAAGGTGAATCCGCACCGACAGAAGCAACTGCAGTAACAAAAGCACCCCGGTCGTAACGATCTTGTAAGATGGAGTAATTGTATGTACGGCCGTTGAAAGAGATAACCCTAACCCAGAACGCCCAGTTCGCAGCTTCCCAATGTTCGCAACTGCCTGCTATGAGTATGTACACTCGTAATTACTGCCCGGTCCTGGCTCAAAGTTGTGAATTTAACAAGTGGAATTTCTCTTCCTTCAAAGTTGCAACTACTCAAACCATTCGGTTTCCTCGGAATGGGTGTTGCGATGATCATCTCGTCGAGCCACCCCTTTTCTTTGCCCTGGCAACGGCTTACTGTCCAAACAAGGCCAGCGTGACTATGCGTTTAGTGGGAAGGGACTGCCCCTCCCGTCCTGCGTGGGCAATCGCATCTCTATTTGGTGGGGCCGATAACGAATTTCAATTCACCCTCCCCAATTGCTGCTGCTGCTTGGATTTGCCCTGTCGCTACAACACCAGCACAGAGCGCGATTGTCGAGACCTTTTTGCCGCCTTTAACAATCATCTACTAGACTCAACACCTTCTTGAATACGGACTACTATATTATCGCCCGTCTGACACATTCGATTACCGCCAACCGAACCAGAACGAACTATCAAAATGCCTCGAGATCCTCTAATTGGACTGGTCGGGAAACCGAGCGCTGGCAAATCCAGCACGCTCAACTCGCTAACAGATGCTTCCTCTAAAGTCGGTGGGTAGCTCCTAGTTTTTGTTTACGAGGACATTACCTTTCCTTTCCTCCGACACCTCGGCTGCGAAGATGGAGGCTTTACCTCATGTACGGACGGGCTGCTGATACGGCTTGCCACGCGATACAGGAAACTTCCCGTAGGCTTCTTCCCGTCACACCTTGCCCATCTCCTGCCTACCTCTATCCGTCTACACTTGAAACAGATCGCCCCGTTTCCTTTTTGCTTCGCACCTTTCATACCACCACTGCCGTCGTCTTTGAACCCAACCGCAAGCAGACTCAAAGGATGTTGCGCTAACAGCAATGCCTTCTGCTACCTCAGTTTCACCACCATCGACCCCCAACGAGCGATCGGCTACCTCCAGATAGACTGTGCCTGCGCGCGCTATGGCGTTAGCGAAAGGTGCAAGCCCAACTACGGCTCCTGCGTGAACGGAAAGCGTAGTGTGCCCATTGAACTGCTCGACGTAGCCGGTCTCGTCCCCGGAGCGCACGAGGGCAAAGGGCTTGGCAACAAGTTCCTCGACGACCTGCGACATGCCGACGCCCTGATACACGTCGTCGACGCTTCGGGCACAACAGACGCCGAGGGAAAGGTCACGCGCGGGTACGATCCCTCCGTGGACATTGCGTGGCTGCGGTCCGAGATTGTGGCCTGGATCAAGGGAAACCTTTGGGAGAAGTGGGGTTCGATCAAGAGGAGGCATATTGCTGTCAAGGCGACAGCGGTGGAAACGCTCCAGGCACAGTTCAGTGGTTACGGGAGTACCGCTGCGGTGGTGGCGCGGACGTTGGATAAGCTGGGACTCAAGGAGCCGTTGGAGGAATGGTCCGGTACGTTGTTGTTGCTTTATACACCCGGGCGGGTTTCGCCAGTACGACTGCGACGGGGGTGCTAACATTGATCTCCGGTACGCAGAGGAAACCGTCGACCGTGTCGTCAACGCCTTTACCGACGAGAAGTTCCCAACAGTGATCGCGCTCAACAAGATCGACCACCCAGACGCCGACAAAAACATCGCCAAGATCGCCAAGATGCAAGACCCAAATTCCATCGTCCTCTGTTCTGCGATTTCCGAAATCTTCTTGCGCAAGATGGCGAAGCAAGGCTACATCAAGTACACAGAAGGCAGCGAGTTCGTTGACACGAGGGAAGACCTAATAGCCGACGGCGACCCGGACGGCGGAGGCCTGAAAGAGCTGGACGAGAAGAACCGCAATAGGATAGAGAATCTGAAGGACATGGTCCTTTACCGATTCGGCTCCACGGGCGTCAACCAGGTGCTATCCAAAGCTGCCGAGATCCTCGGCTTGGTGCCGGTCTTCCCGGTCAGGAATACGACGACGTTCACGTCGGGTGCAAATGAGTCGGCGAACAAGGCGGTATTCAGGGACTGCGTGCTGGTCAAGAAGAACTCGACCGTGGCCGACGTGGCCAGGAAGATCATGGGCGATGCGCCGATTGCCTACGTCGAAGGTGCAGGCGGCATCCGTGTTGCGGAAGATCAGATTGTTACGGTTGGGAAGAATGATGTGAGTGTCCTGCCTGTCATCATTTCAAGGAACCAGTTTACTAACTTGCACATAGATCTTGTCATTCAAGGTAGGCCGAGCATAAACAGCGTATAGACAAATAGTCGCCCAGCTTAGTATTCCTTACGAATAGCGTATGCGACACAGCAATTGAGAGAAAAGGCATTGTATAAGGGTATCGCATGTAGCGAACAGGGAAGAGCGCATGGAGGGATGCCAAAAGGAATCTTTATCCTATGATATGCATCCAACAAGATCCCTTCAACCAGCCAGCGTCGTGACCTGTTTCTCGAGTCGCCGGCTTTAAAAGGAAAGCTCATAAGAACACAAATGACCGGCGTGATAGCGAGAAATGGGAGTAGTGGAATGCTCCTAACATGAAAGGCATGCGTTCCTGTCGTCATTAAAAGCTCGTTAACCCCTTAAGCTTCTCTCCTTCCATTACAAAAAAGCCATCGTTCCACTCGCGTTCGCGTTCTCGTAAACCCGTTCGGGATCTTCCAACGCCCTTCCCATCGCAATTAAACTTGTCTCCTCCTCTCCCGCTTTATAAGCGCCGCAACAAGTATGCCGAAAGGTCCGCGCAATTCCCCCAGGGCGCAGCCCGTAGTTTCGACAAGGGTATCATAAGGCGAAAACAAGCGCCGGAACACGCCGGGAAAAGGAATCAACCTGTCCATGAAGGTATGGTAATCTGCCCACACCACCTTGGTCCCCGACGTAACATTTTTTTTTCTTTCCTCCTCTCCTTGATCGATTAAAAACAAGGGAAATCGGTTTTGTTAGTGTTTCTTGTTGTCGTTGTTGTGTTGTCGTTGCTCATTTAATACTTGAGAATGATGTAGAGAGCGTGGACGATACCGGGAAGGTACTGCAGGCAATAGTTAGCAAGGGTTCCATTGTATGCGACAGGTGACAGGAGGAAGGTGGAACGGGGAAAGCTTACACCCAGGATGGTGAGGAGGATGTTGATGAAGAGATCGGCACCGCATCCACGCTCGAAGAAGACTCCGAGAGGAGGGAGGATGACGGCAATGATGATCTTGCAGATGTCGCTGGAGAGGAAGCAAATGTTAGCAATGGTGGCCTAGAACCAGAATGCGCACGCTGCGTCAAGCAGGTGGGAGAAGCTATCTCTTACCTAGCGGTGAAAGCCATTGTGATGGATTATTGTAGTAAGGTATTAGAGATTGGTGTGATTATCGTGTGTTGGTTGAAGAGTTCAAGAAGATTGCTGAGTGTGAAAGTGAGTTGGATGCTTTTCTTTGTTGTTGTTTGCTTGAGTGGACTGACGTAAAGAAGCAAGACAGCAAGCGGGCGGCAGAGCATTAAATAGGAATGTACTCGTCGGTTAGGTGTGGAGTCCACCCTCTGGGGGTCTCGCTTGCAGCCAGCCAACCGACTCTCATCGTCCCTTTGAGAGTCGGATTTTTTATATGTATCTTGCAACCCGTATATCTTTCAAAAACCTCAACAATCCATATCTCTACCAAAACGCAAGCAAAATAGATGGTAAAATGTTCAGACTGATGTTCTTAACAGTGCGCATTCATCTATATAACTAGATTATTTTCAAAATGTCATGATGTGTTGTTGTGGTGTTGAGAAGCCTGCCTTAGCCCGCTAAAAGTGTTAATATATACCAGCTTAAAGAACATCAAAAACCTCTACAAAGGCAAAATATTATCAATTTTTATCATACGGCATTGTGAATAGCCTTAATCTATTCGTCTTGATTACCTCTATCGATTTATTATAGTATATTTCGATTCTAATACTCTTACGCAAGCGGAAAAGGCTGTACGGTATTACCGCCCACTAACAGCGTATAATATATACTAATTCGAAAAATATTAAGAACTACTACAAAAAGAGGCAAAACATCATCAATTCTAATTATACGGCCTTATAAATAGCCTTAATCTATTCGTTTTAATTTTCTCCATTGATTTATTATAGTATATTTTGATCTTAAAGTTACTACGTGGGTAGAAAAGATTGTACAGTATTATCTCGCTGGCTAAAAGCGTAAACTATTGTAGAAATAAAGATAATAGCTACACTACAATAATATATTATGATATTTTGATTATAATGTAAATATATTGCTTAATGCGCGTAATCTAAACCATTAATTTGAATATTTCACTATCTTTTTTACTTACGTTTTAGTAAAGATATAGATTATTGAAGTTTTTGAAAGATATATGACTTGTAAGATACATGTAAAAAATCCGACTCTCAAAGGGACGATGAGAGTCGGTTGGCTTGTGTAAGCGAGGCCCCCAGAGGGTGGACTCCACCAACCTAACCGACGAGTACGGGACAGCCGTTACGCCTTGCCAAGATAAACTGCATGTAAACCTGGCGGGGCCCTTTCACAACTTCTTTGCTCTTGCAGGGCAGAGGGTCAGGGAACAGGGTGTGCCTGTCTGTTCTCGTGGTGGGCTTGGGGCCGTTTGTGTTCTCGGTTCCTTCAAGGCCAAGCGGGTAGGCGAGGGAAATGAGGTGATGGTTCAACCTTTCGCAAGCTCGCGCGCAAAGCAAGCCATGTACAAGGCGGTTCATACACGCGATTGGAGAGTCGGCTAGAATGCGTCATACACACCACCCAACAACCCCCGTTACGAACCGGCCAAGGTAAGTACTGTGGTAGACTTTAGCAACACCAGTGGTTTGCCGTCTTATTAAGGTACCCAGTTTTGTCTACATACAACTCGCAATCCTCCCTTGAGAAACGAGGAACTGTGCCCGACGGGAACACACCTGAAGGAGGGCCGCCTGATCAGTTGTGCTGAGCAATGCTGAACAAGCTGGGATTCGACTCTGGGACTCCGAAATCCTCACTGGTGAAAGGACCACAGGGTCTCATAGCGCTAACTTACACCGCTTTACGATTCCATGACACCGCAGCGCAGGCACATGTGGTCCAAGCATCTACAGCTCAGGAACAGCACGGGCAGTGTTTCTTGTCGTCTAACGGGGCTGGGTAGATCGAAAACCCCCCTTGAAATGAAATGCTTGTGACACTTCCGAATACCCTTACAAGGATGTTTGTTCTCATGCTGCCTTCCATGCCCATGATGGTTTGAGAAACAGAGTTTTCTCTTCGAAGTTGTAATCAAAGGGTCCTGACAGTGACGTAACCAAGCCCAGGTGAGCCGAACTGCTATCCTCCCGTCGAGCGGCCAAGCGCAAGCCAAGCGTTTGCCAAGATCCCGCCCCAGCTACGACTTTGACGGAACGAACCATGCTCGAGTCGCCCAGCAAGAACAAGCCAGTGACATCACCAGAATCACCCAAATGTGGCGGGGGACACGCAGCAAGTGTGGCGCATAACCATGAAATGAAGGCTCAGCACGCTCAGCTTAGGCGCGGCCGGCTCACGCCGAGAACGATCACCGATTCCATCAGTGTTGATCTTGATTTCACCGTACACTCCAAGCGAAGCGCGATGCAGTTTCAGGTCCTCCTGAGCGATGCCCAGGGCTCGGCTTTATAGTTGGGCGGCAGGCCAAGCTGGCCAAGCCGGGTACGGCGGAAGTTGTGTGAACATTGGCGTTCTGGGCTTCGGGATGCGAAGAAGTTTGAGCATTTGGTCGCGTGAGGTTGTCTGTGGATTGTGCGAAACGGACAGGAGATTGGTGATTGAAACTTCGACGATTTGAGTGGTTAAAGATATAAGACCAAGAGGCCATGGCTCCGCAACATGGCGGCCCTTCAGGATACCTCTATCACATGTCATTGCTTGTACTTGTCGAGAAAGGATAAAGTGAGTAGGACAGTACAGGAAGATATGTGTTCAAGTGAGTAGAATATATAAGATTTCGATTCTAACCTACCGACAAACATATGGGCCCCTTCGCTTGACTTTTGAAAAGCATGAGATACTGCTGCTGACGACCAGGAAAACTTCATAAGCGAGTGTTCGACCTGAGATATGGACCACTGAAGGAACCAAGTGCCACTATGAACGGCAAGAAAATAATACGTCAAACAGGCAGCCGGGTAGCAGCCGGTACCTTCGTCGGTTCTGGATCCGAGAACTGGCACAGACGGGATATGGAAAATCGGAGTTTCAATGTGATCGACAGGGCGGGTGGAGATGCCAGCCGGACGACCTTGATGGACCGAGTGCCCCACTTGTCGCCGATGTGGAGCCCCGCGCGCCCGCACGCCAAGCCCCGCCTTCCGCCTGCCGACTGGAGCCCTAAAATTTTACAGGCCAGGCCACACATTTTGTCAAAAATTTCCACCCGGCGCGTTGCGACCTCCACTTCACCACTTCCGTCCACCAAACCCTCAGAACCCAACAAAAGGCGCAGGATATCCAACCTCTTTGCGTCCTTCTTTTGACTTGTCCTTTGTCAACCCACAAGCACATCTCCATCCCCGTCGACGCAATGGCTCCCATCACCGTATGTTCGCCCACATGAGACCATCGCTTTGCTGTTGGCCCAATCCTCAGCCGATATGGAATCATCCCGTGCTTTCATTTTGGTCTGAGCGACCATGGCGTGAAGCAGTAGGCTAAGTCAAATTGTGTTTTACAGAAGAAGTCTGCCAAGGGCAAGGGCCCCAAGGTCACCAAGAAGTTCGTTATCAACGCTTCTCAGCCCGCCAGCGACAAGATCTTCGACGTCTCTGCCTTCGAGAAGTTCCTCACCGAGAAGATCAAGGTTGAGGGCCGTGTCGGCAACCTCGGCGAGACCATCAAGATCTCCCAGGTCGGTGATGGCAAGATTGAGATCGTTGCCCACAACGAGCTCTCTGGTCGCTACCTCAAGTACCTGTACGTGTTCCCCCCTCGCGACAATCAGAAACCACCCACCATTCGAAACCAAGCAGGCGCTAACCGATTACTTTTGCGAAACAGGACCAAGAAGTTCCTCAAGAAGATGCAGCTCCGTGACTGGCTCCGCGTCGTCTCCACCTCCCGCGGTGTTTACGAGCTCAAGTTCTTCAACGTCGTCAACGACGAGGCTGAGGAGGATGAGGAGTAAATTTGATAATCTAAGGGAATCAATGGAGACTTGAGGTTATCTGGCAGGGAATACCATATGATGGACGGGTGTGCATTGTGCTTAGCGGGAAACCGGGTTCAATGAACAAATGTCAAGTCGCCTCCTTGTGAGGCATGGCGTTCTGGCCAAAACCACACCTGTCTCGCCCACGCGCATGTGAATATCTGATTTCTTGACATTTTCAATCATTCATGAACCATCTGTAACGCCTCCGTTCTAGGAGTATCTAACCCAAAAGTAAACAGACAAACAAACGCTTATGCGCCATAACCTCCCGAGATATCACCCCGACCAAATGTCCGACACCGGTACTCCTCCCACCTACCCAGGCAAGGACCTCATGACGCCCTCAAACACCAACAAAGCCATCGCATTCGCCGGGAATGCCCTCAAGAAGCAAGGCAAGAACCCGCGCCAGTATCCTTTCGCGCCGTTCTCCCTGTAAACCGCCACCGCGGCGTCCCTCCACCTAGGGAACCTCCTCACACCATCGCCGACCCCTCCTCCCAAATTGTCCGTCATGATCCGCTGCTTCACCACATCGCTCGGGTAGCTCGTCAGCCAAAACACCTGCGCGCTCAACCCGCCGGCCCAGAAATTGATCGCCGGCGTGCTCATCTGCGTGTACTGCGTCATCCACTTGCTAAACACATCGTACGTGCCCCACCAAAAGAAGAAGAAGCTGCGGAACAGCATCGTCGCTCCCAAACCATGATACACGCCCCTGATGCCGTGGTGCGTGTACACCTTCTTCAGACAGTCAATCGGGCCCTTGTACATCCTCTCCTCCTTGCGCGCCGCATACTGGATCTGCAGCCGCGCCTTCACGTGCTCCACGGGCGCCGCGATGAAGCTGACCGTCATGCCCGCCAGGATGCCGGCCAGGCCGTGGCCGTGCGAAGGTAAAGGTCTGGCTGGGTCGTGCAAGGGGTGCCAGGGCGGGTTGAACAGGTTGTCGCGCAGAAGGCGGCGGTAGACCGTCAAGGAGCCGAGCATGACGCTGTCCATGAACATCCAGCCGACCAGCGGCGGGGAGGCGCCCTTGTAGAGGCCTAGGATGCCTTCGTTGCGGATGGTATGAGTGACGCATTGGAGCGGTCCGGAGAAACGGGAGGCGTCGGTGGTTTGGAGACGGACTTTGATGGTGTCGAAGGGGTGGCCGACTGGAAGAGGGAAGGGTTAGTACTAATGTTCAATATCGCAGTTGCGATGAAGGGTGATGTAAAGAGGCATTGGAAACAGTTCTGTCACTGTTGTAAGTGCAGATACGCACCAGAGAGCTTGGCGATGCCCGAAAACACGCCGGCTACGAATCCCTTGTAGTTCGCGGCCGCTTTCTGGGCCGCTACCGGGGCGGCAGTAGGGACCGCAGCAGCTTGTTGCTGGTGTTCTTTCAGGTTGGCGTCCATGGTGTCGGTGGTTTCCTTCTACCTCGAGGAACCTAAGTATCTTGTTCTCACTTTATATCATGGACCGGAGGATGGTGTTGAAATATGGGTATCAAGAAAGTTCCAATCCCATCGACAAAGGAAGGAGATACCGGCGAGGACGTGGGATGGGCAGGTAAACCTCACTAGATTACCTGTGCCTCTGCCCTTCGAACTCAAATCTGGAAGAGGAAAGAAGAGACTATGGTTACTAATCATGTTCGGGATCTGTTACTTTTCTGAACAATCTTGACTCGATCGACCGGCACATCGGCCACCAAAGTTACGGATCGGACCTCATCGGAGTCGGAGCTGGTACGTAGCTTTCTGACTGTCCATCCAGGGGTGTGAATGTCCCCGCTAAAAAAGTTCAAAAGCTGGGGTGTTGCACTGATGGGGTTGCCCCGTTGATGGTGGGGTGTAGTAACCGCTATTGCCGTTTACTCCATTGGCAAAGAAGTATAGCATGTGTAAAAAGGTCTCATCCAGACTGCCTTGCGATCGGGATGCAATTCCTAGATGTTTTCAAAAAGGGCTCGCTTTTGAGCATGTATCGGATGTAACATTTCGAAAAGAAAAGAGTAGTTAGGGCTCCGCGATGCTGCCGTGTTAGTGATATCTCGGATGTACCGTGATTGGTCGATAGATTGTAGAACAGCTCCTAACATCGGCCTCCATCTCAGACTTGTTCCGTCATTCTTGACTTCCACGATCCTGGGACCCCCCATTATTCTATCCAGAGTCCGCACTAAATATTATATGCTATCTAGAGTAAGTTTATCCGAATTATCCTTTTGATGCCGGGTAACGACCAACTCTCCAAGCCAAAATATGGTTTCACCACCCGTTTCCCCGTTCTCCCGTGTGTTTCCGACCTGCAGAAAGGCAACACCATTATCAGCAGTCCAACAGCCGACCATGTCACACCCCCAGATGCCTACGCCATGCCAACAATTACCTCCATGAAGATAAGGTGGAAGTTAGGTAGCGGATAACCGGGAATAGAGAAGGACTCCTTGATTGAAGGATGCCCAGCTCTTGAGAAACCTCCCCCTCCTCAACTCAGAACCTCTTCCCCCAGAAAAGTGTTCCTCCCAGAACCCTGCCAAGCAAGTATCCTCCATAAACACCACAGAGAATGGTAACCGGCCACTTCTGCCACTCGCGGTCCCAATCAAGCGGAATAGGCACAGCGCCCAGCCACGCGCCCACAAGGCCGCCCACCAGACCGCCAAAGGTCTCATCGAGCGGTGCGCGGAATCCGCCGATCGCAGCCCAGGCGGCCGTGTCGACGCCGTGTACGTAGAAGAGCGGGAAGAGCGTGAGGAGGGCGAGGTGTGCGGCGCACAGGAAGGTATGAGATCCGTGCGTGAGGAAAGGTGCGCCGAAGAGGACCATAGCGAAGTATAGGAAGGGAGTAGCGACGAAGGTCAAAACGGAGGCTAGAAGTGCGGTCTAAAGTTTGTTTTAAGAAAGGTTAGCGAGAGCACACTCTCAAATCATGAGGCCTCGTAGACGATGAAACCCCGGAGAAAGGGTAAGACATGACAAGACATACAATGATCGTGCTCGACCCAATGTCGCCGCCCTTCTTCTTCTCGCCCGGCCGGGGTTTCCGGTTCGACTTTGACGCCGGCTCACCCGCGGCAGGCAGGCAGAGAAGCGCATAGGTCATCTGGAGAGCCGCAACGACAGGCAAGGCGTTGCGCATCACTGGGACGGGATCGGCGACGAGGGCGTCGAATCGAAGCAGGTACAAGGCGGTCAAGGCGGCCGGTAGGGCATGGCGGACGGTCTGAGCAGCCGGTGTTTGCTTGATGTGAACGGGTCGCAGTGTCGCCAGCGAGCTGCTAGCACCAGCTGTCGTTGTCGTCGAATCTGTCCCTTGACTTCCGGACGTAGCTTTCGTTGTTGAGGCCGACTGGGCTACGGCGCCCTTAACGATCGCTGATGAGGACATTGTTACCGGGTCCACGAGGGGCATTGCTGTTGCATGGAATGAATTGAAGCTGGACAAGCCGAAGTGACTTCGTGGTGCCGACCCTGATTGTCGATATAGTGGAAGTAGTAGACTGTACCTGGACAGTCGTTGAACCGAACAGTTGTCGCAGGAAAGTTGAGAGCAATGTTGCCGATGGAATGATCACGCCAAGCTTCCAATTGACGGGCGGGCGGGACGGTTAGACTCGGTCTCCACTGGTGAGCCCCTGAGCGCAGAACCCTAACCCTGTGTTGCTCATCACCTCTGCTCTTCGAGGCCAGTCAAGATCTCACTCGCGCCCTCTTAAGATCATGTAACCGTATTGGAAAAAACCCTGCTCAGGACTTTGGATGCTATGTTTTATTGATGCTATTTGGTAGACTGGTCAGAGTTGAACCCGTTCAGCACCGCGGATGGGCCCTGCTTCCGTGTATAGCCAAACGCTTCTCAAATGCCTACACCCCATACGTGACGGCTGATATAACAACGACCCAAGCCTCATAAACCATGACTTTGAGAGCCTACAATGTGCCCTTAACCTGCAAGTTGCTGACCCCAAAGGCAAATCATCTCCATCTATTGAGCCTCCTTAGCCGGGATGAGGTTTCTCAAAGACAAGTCATACACCACATCCTCGACCTTCTTAACGGCGTACTTGACCGAATCTACCCTCTTCCGCAGGATATCGTTCTTCAGATTGAGCATCTGGAACCCTCCGTGCAGATCCTTGATGAACCCGCTAATCTGCACAGCCAGCTCTGTATCGCCCAGCGTCACAGAGTTCATGGCGAGGCGGCTGAGGTCTTCAACAACCGAGATGAGAGCCAGGAGATACTCTTCGATGGTGATGTGGAAGGCGTCACGGTCCTTGAGGTTGACGGGAGCTAATTCATAAATGGTAAGCATCTGTTTGTCCTGTGCCATGTGGTGCTTTGACCAGCGGATTGATAAAGCCCAAACTTACCTCCAAATACCTCACCAACTTCCTCCAATGTCAAAAGACGACCAACCTCGCCGGGCTTGCTGTCGCTGCCCATGCCGCCCAACCAAGCACAGAGGAGCACCGTAGCGATGGCATCCTGAAGTGTGCGTCCCCACTTGTAGTTGTACCTTGAGGAAAGATCGGTCAGCTCGTGGCCTCAAGGATGTGACAGCAGCTTGTACTCACTTGTAGTAAGGGTACTGCGAAGCGAACTGAGCTAGTCGGGTCGTGGTATCCAGTTCCTTCTTGATACCACTCTCAACCTGGGAAAGAAGTGCGGGATCTAGGTGGGCAGGTTAGCGTTCTGTTCCAGCTTTTGAATATTTCATCATGAACTCGGTCATAGCGCCTCATCCCACAGGTTCTCAGGTAGGGATCAGTTTGAGAAGGGGTTTGGGGGAATCATGAGATAGACCATTTGACTTGGAGCATGATCGACAACTGAGAAGGCAGTCCAGGAGCGAGAACCGTACATTTCGAACGAGAAGTGGAGTGGATCTTGGTCAACACTCCCTGCGTATAAGAGACATTCTGATTGAGTTCCTCGATGATCTGCTCCAGGTCTTTGCGAATACTGCTATCCTTCTCGATGTTGTCCTTGAGCTGGTCGAAGAGCGCGGGGTCAATCATCGGCGGAGCCATCTTGAACAAGTTGTTACGTCGTGGAAAGGGCGATGTTATGAAGTTGGCAACAATTCGAGAAGTATGGAACTATAAAGTGATTGTGAATGGCTGAGTTTGATGTGGTTGTTGGATGTGATGTGGTGATCAAATCGAGAATCCTTCGTGCAAACCGCAAACGATAAAAGTGACGGATGCTTGATTTTTATCTGCGATTGCAGTTTGTTCCAATTCGGCAATTCTTGAACGCGATGAAAACACAGAAGGGAAAGAGCGACTACGAGGTCAGTACGACAAGATCTTGATATTGGCAGACCAGATGTTTTGAGTTACATGATTTCTTATTATCTCCTGGTACTCATTTTGCCATGAAGACAGCGTCCATGACCACATACCAACGTCAATTGAGATCATGACCGGCGTTGTCCCATTTCAAAGCTCAGCAAGGATGGTCTGTGCACAAGCAGACTTTCCTGCGGTGCCTAAAACTTTATGAGGTCGTGACTGTTGGGTAACTTTCTCTTGGCATCTGTTGCGTCGGTAATTAAGGTGTCTCGACGAGCCATGGTGCAACCCTCTGATCCAGCAAAAGTCATGGAGCTTAAAAACAGGATACTGGAAAAGACTATGAGTCAAAGGCAACGTTCTTGACATGAAGTTCTTTAGAAAGAAGCCGAAGCCATGGGCCGGCGCAAAAGGTCAGCCCCCACAGTCAAGCAGGTACTTTGACAAAGCACGTACGTGCGTAGGTAAGTGGAAAGCACAGACCATAGGAACTTCAACCGCTTTTCCCACGATCCGGTATCACTTCGGAACTCTGGACAGCTACCGAACCACCGGACATATGTACTTCTACTACGACTTCTGACGGCAAGACGAGCCTCTATGCCGGAAGGCGGCGCGGATACCCTAAATGTACGACTGAAACAATCATAGGCTCCCAAAACCTACCATGTAGTGTTTGATCAATGGCAACGTTTCGGACGGTTGATAATACACCTTGATCACTCATTGCTCGGGGACCTTTGGTGACGCTTTTCTTATCCACGACCAAACAGCTTTGGGGACAGTTGAGGCCGTCCACTCCATTGGATTCGCCCTATAAGCTTGAGGCGAACAGTTCAAGGTTGACGTAGGTACGTCTCTTCAACCTTGTAAACTAGTCCCCTGTATCGCTTCGCCGTCACAGCCGAGACCACAAGGTTTTCCGTGTCATTGACAACCCGATGTTATGTTGGACCTAGGGGGTTCGTTGCCAATGCATCATGTATCCAGGCATTCCATCTCCCTTTGACAAGTCTTTTATGGCTTCCTCTTCGAAGAGGAGAGATTCCATGCCTCGGCACAGCAACCCCTGGTCCAAGCTGTTGCGGGGGATCTGCTTCCCCTGTAAATGCGGGGGAGGAGACACCTAGATGCCTTCAGCCAATTGACCGCGAGCTGAGTTCCGGAAATGGGCAACCTTGAATGCCTACATTTGCGGTCGACTAACATGGGGGTTCGCGAGTAGGCGAGGTTCGCTCCGCTACCAGGCAACCTGTCCACTCACTCATACGGGTCCCTGTCCATACATTTTGAGATGCTGAGGTACGCGAGAGTGGCGGCACTGGGGAACGGATTTATCTTCCGTCCCTTCTTGGGAGGGAGGTCATGAGGGTTGTCCAAACAGCGGCTTCGAGTGAATGGTAACTTCTCGGTACGCTACTGCCGTGCTTCACCTATAGCCAGCTGTTCCCGTTGAGCCATCCCATTCACTTATCTTGTGGCGCCGGACTTTTGACACCTAGTGGCTCTGCCCTTCACTCACTTCCTTTCCGCCCTTCCCCGCCCCCGAACATATATAAACGAGAGGTAGTGCCGGTACTTGACCCATTCTTCACAGCCCGTTCTCAGCAGATACCTCGGAAGAAAAGCTCCCTTCGACGATGCCGGTCAAGTCACGATGGACCGCCGATGTTCCTCGGTGCTCACTGCAACAATGGCTCTTTGACTCGCCTTGCGGTCCTCTCCCAGACCGTCGTGCATATATCGATCCTGAGCAACCCGATACGAACTACCTCAATCTCAGCGACTACCGACTCTTGGCCAAGCGCGTCGCCTCGGGCTTACAGAAAGCCGGTCTGAAGGAGGGCGACAGAGTGCTCCTCTTTTCTGGCAACAACATCTTCTTCCCTGCTATCTTCCTTGGCATCTTGATGGCCGGAGGCATCTTCACCGGTGCCAATCCCAGTTTTGTGGCCCGAGAGCTGGCATATCAGCTTCGCGACAGTGAAGCCACCTTTCTCGTCACGGCACAGGGCTCTCTCAAGACAGCCTTTGAGGCAGCTAAGGAGGTTGGCCTGCCAAGGGATCGCATTTTCGTTCTCGGCGGAGATACTCCTGCAGCACAGCAAGTAGCGCAATCTTCCAATCCCGGACCAGGGCTGAAGGGTCGGATCGAGGGAGCCAAGCATTGGACAGAACTCCTTCAGGGGAACGCCAAAGAAGCAGAGAGCTGGAGCTGGAAAGAGCCAAAGGATCCGCAGACCACGACATGCTGTCTTAACTACAGCAGTGGGACCACTGGAGTTCCCAAGGGCGTTGAGATCAGTCATTACTGCTATGTCGCAAACGGAGCTCAGGTTATTCACCTCAACAACCTCAACCCCGACTGGGAGGAAAGGCAAAAGCGAGCCCGTGCCCTCTGCTTTCTGCCGCTTTACCACGCTTATGGCCAGTCAGTCTTTGTCGCGAACATGCCTCGGGCCGGAATCCCCATCTACATCATGCCGAGCTTCGATTTCGTCAAGATGCTCGAGTATGTTCAGCGCTATCGGATTACTTCACTCATGTGCGTGCCACCCATTGTGGTCGCATTGACCAAATCCCCTCTCACCAAAATGTACGATCTCTCAAGCGTCGAAGGAATGGGTTCCGGAGCCGCCCCGTTGGCAAAAGAGGTCTACGATGAAGCGGAGAAGCTGTTCAATGGAAAATTCCTTCTGCGCCAGGGCTGGGGCATGACAGAAACGACATGTACTTGCATGTCATGGGATCCTCTTAACAATGAGCCCAGCTCAGGCGTGGGCGAGATGATGCCCAACTGCTCTGGAAAGCTGATGTCGCTGGACGGAAAAACCGAGATCACGAAGGCAGGGGAAAGAGGCGAATTCTGGGTCACGGGCCCGAATTTGATGCGTGGTTATTGGCGAAAGCCGGAAGCGACAGCGGATACCATTGTCGTTGACGCAGATGGCACTCGCTGGCTCAAGACGGGCGATATCGCCTACTTCGACGCGTACAAGCCTGGAGGAATCATTCACATTGTCGATCGGCTGAAGGAGTTGATCAAGGTGAAGGGTAATCAGGTGGCGCCTGCTGAACTTGAAGGGCTGTTGCTCCAGCACCCTGAGGTGGCCGATGCAGCGGTGATTGGTGTGACAATCAACGGCGAAGAAGTTCCTCGAGCCTACATCGTTCGCCAGAACCCTAAGTCAAGGATCACTGAACAGGAAATTGCCGACTGGATGGCTAGCAAGGTGACCCGGTACAAGCAGCTGAAGGGCGGCGTTGTTTTCACCGACAACATTCCGAAGAATCCGGTGAGTACTGACTATGTCTTGTGATGTTGCATGTGTCTGGATGCTAATGCGTAATTCGTACAGTCTGGCAAGATTTTGCGTCGGCAGCTTCGGGATCGCGCGGAGAAAGAAGTGGGAGATATCAAATCGAAGCTCTAGAGAGAGTCGGAAGCGGGATGGTGGAGGTCGTATCGCCCTGAAACTGGAACAACGCTTGCCTTTACTTCATAGCCGATGAGTTGGGAATATGACGGGAACAGATGGAAGCAACGGGTAGAGACGGGAGGTGTGCCAGATTTGGCAATGTACATACCTTTGAAGGGTGAGTGATGGTTTTCTACATAACCGAATGCATCCATAGAGCCGAGTGTATCTACCAGTGATCGGGTTGAAGAAGAGTGTCGGTGAGATACCTACTAGTATGCAGCGGGAACTGGGCTTGATGGATGAATTAAACGAGGGTCGCAACTGCTCAACAAGGTGTATGGGACGCATTTGTGAGGGAAGGAGCAAATGGGTTGGTTCTTCCCTTGGTTCTTGTTGCTCACGATAGGCAAGTGCTTTCAAGCACCTTCCTCGAGATGGACAGAGCAAGAGTACTGCGTGCCTCCACTCCCAGGATTGCGGTCCGACCTTCGACTTTCGTTTCCCCAACTCCGTTCCCACCTTAGTTGAATGAGGCAACACATGGAATGTACTGACTTGGACCCCCCCGTCAAGTTAAACCATTGTCTACCTCTAGCGGGCCCAATCCTGGCCAGGTCTCGTAGACCGGAAGCTAGTTGTTTGCAACTGTCCGGAGCCTCTGCCACGAACACTGACCATGGTCATCCCACCGATTCAATCCTTCTATCAGAAGGAACCGCCTGCCTCTTCTGCCTTCTCCCAGACACTACCAGGAACACCCGGATCCAACCCTACAGGCACAAACCGAGCGCCGTTGACAGAAACCTGGAAGCCACAAGGCACTTATCAGAGAGTCAACATCTCCGAACTTCAGTCAGGAAGAGGCAAGGTCCGATTCATGGGGAGAATTGTCAACATATGCCCGACCAAGCCTGACCATCAGCCCAGAGCCCTTTCCTCTATTCCTTCTGGATTCCACTTCATGGTGGTTAAAGACAATACTGGAGTAGTTGCCGTGAGTTAACGACTATCTTCCGAGTCGTCCCACAACGGTCTCCGAGCATCTATCTAGCTGACACCAATACTCCTCCAGGTCAAACTTCTCGGTACGCAATCCGACCTACCCAACCTCCACCTCGGGAAGCTGGTTACAGTATGGACTGGCTTTGTGGCCGAGTACTCCACCGCAGCCGCGATTCAAGTCCCTTTCGTGTCGATGTTCATTCCTGTTCACCCAGGCCCGGCTTCGCAATCATGTATCAAGTTCCACCAAGACGAAACGAATCCAGAAGAGACGGGCCTTTGTCGTATCCCTCTGGAATATGACACTAGTTCTGCGTCCTCTCAGATGCCGGGACTGATAAGCCTCAAAGCCTTCATGAAAGGCACTCATACCAATGAGAAGCGCGAGGATGATACTTTGACAAGAGTCCTTGTCTGTGTCTCAAGCGTTGGCCCTCGCAAGACCATCAAGACCTACAACAAGCCAGGCACTCTGGAACTGGTCGAGGTCCATGTCTGTGACGAAACAGATCATTGTGTGCTCAAACTCTATAGTGACCAGGTTATCTCGGCACGCACATGGACTGCTGGACATACCATCCTACTCTTTACCAACGCAAAATTCTACCCTCGAAAGAGAATCAACGAAAACCCAGGACTGGGTATTGCCCTGAACTCGAAAGTGGATGTGGATCCCGACTTCCCAGATGCTTACTGGCTTCGACGGATGGCTGAAGCTCAAACAAAGAGAGAGCGGGTACACACTCCGTTCCCCGTTGGTGTATGGGACGTCGAAGAAGCTATCAACGGCCCGAACAGGGTACTCTATACCTTGGCAGACGTGGATGAGAGGGTGAGAGAGGACTCTAGTGTCGTGTTCACCGGGAAGCTCAACGTCCTCATACTGGGCGCCAGTATCTGCGAGAGCCAGAGACAGAACAGACTCTGTTGTTTCGAATGGTGAGTTAGTTACCCGGAACCAGCCCGTATGGTACTTATATACAAGTCCGCCTTTCATCCCATCCATCACCTTTACCCCTCTACACCATATAAGGTCCGGCACCAGGCCTTAATACCAGAGCGGTCCAATTGGCCAAATGGCCGAGCGGTTCCGTTCATGAAAACATTGCCGGTGTGCGTGGTACCCGTGGTACAGTTTTCGTAGGTCGCAGCTGGAGCATGGTGGTTCGTTCCCCCAAGCCTCCTGGGCGACTGAGCTTTTTGCCATTTTTATCGCCTTCGGCTATGGTTGAAAAGAGCCTGGACGCGTTCTCTGTATTTTTCTCTCTCATTTGCACTTACTTTTGACCGAAGTTTGTATCTTGATTGTTGCCCGAAAACGTGGCGGTTCCGATCGCAAGTCGGCATCGCAGCTGGTGCATCTATCATGCCTCACGTTTCCACGTTCAGTGAGGGAAAAAGACGAGAAACTGACACTACCTTGTATTATCCAGTTGAAACTTCCCACTCTATTCCAACCAGTCCTCGGCGACGTGCAAGAACTGCCACAATGAATGCGAACTTACCATCAACCCCCGCGTAATCGGGCCCTTCGCCGACGAAACAGGATGTGTTGCCCCGGGCAAGCTGGTATGGAGCGATCGAGCATGGTCGGAGTTGCTCAGAGGTGGTCGTCGCATATGTTTTGACGGCAATATTGACAAAAAACAACAAGTTGCTGGACAAACGACGACTGAATCATCGCCAAATAACGATGTCTCTGACCCTACTACTTCATATGAGGACAATCATGAGGCTTACAGTGCTGTGCCTCAACCTCACCAATATATCTGGAAGGACCTGATCAAAGTTGACCCGGTGGAACTCAGAGATTTGGAGGAACGGCTACTGTACTCCCGTGTTACCTTGACGTTTGGCTGGTCCGCGGAGGTCAAACGGCTTTGTGTGTTGGGCGTGGAGTGGTGACGATGATCGATATGAAATGGGTCTTGGTAATTTCATATGCTGATATGGGGCATGTTTGTGGTATATTGAAAGGGGTCTGATGGTAAAGCCTGGTCCGAAGGAAGGGGACTATGTCAAGGATGCGGATGTTGTGAACAGAGTAGGACAAGATATCATGGTTTATGTGGCAGGAGTTTACATCATGGTCAACAATCACCGCACTGGTACTACGCATCGATCACAAGGGCCAATCAAAACCAGAGATATGTAAGAACGGGGTTCATTATTGTACCTATCAAGGCATCCAGCAAAGACCAAGCTACTAACTATGCTCTCTCCAAATTCCATCCTGGCAGCCAATTATACCCGCTCTTAACCATTTCCTCAATTTTCCATCAATGCTGTGCTGTGCAAAAAGCAACTCAAAGACACGCTCGCATTACCCCAAAATTCCTCCGTCTAAGAGATCAGATCTCTAGATCCTCCACTCAAAAACATGTCCGCAGCCACGTATGCTTGACCGCTTAGAAGAGCTTGTGCTCAAGGGTCATGTCAGACTCGGGCTCGAGACCGACGCAAGCGCGGAAGATGTTGGTAAGAGCGGCACGCTGCTTGGCAAGAGCGTTGACAACGGGAGTGCCGGGGGGAGTGAGGGGAGCCTTGAGCATGTAGCTGAGGACGCTCAGGACGCTGTGGAAGTGCTTGAAGTCCTTCTCGGCGACGGCGCCGCCCTCGGCAGCCTTCCACTGGATGCGGGTCATCATCTCGGTGATGACGACGAGATCGATGATCAGGGGCGAGGCAAGGAGGGAGTCCTCGCACACGTTGAAGAGCGAGATGGTCTGGTGACCGCCGCAGAAGATCTCGGCGTAGTACTCGTCGAGGGCGCGCTTGTCGTCGCCGACGGCGGGCATGTACTTGATCACGACGGTGTGGTCGGGGTGCTCGCCCTCCTTGTACAGGACGCTGTTGGCGGCCACCATGTCGTCGACGACGTTCGACTTGGAGATCTCCTTGGAGCGGAACTGCTTCTGCGAGGAAAGGTTGTAGCCGTCGTTGTTGCCCAGGTGGTTGTAGGACGCGATCGAGGTCAGCTTGATGCCGGCGTTGATGAGGAAGTCGGTCAGGGCAGACTTCATCTTGGTCTGGCCGGACTTGAAGTCGTCGCCGCCGATGAAGGCACCGTGTCTCTCGGCAAGCTCGATGGCGCCGGGGACGAAGGTGTTCTGGGGAGAGCCGTTGATGAAGGGAGTGCCCTCGAGAATGCAGGCAACGGCGAAGATGGTGGAGGGGGAGACCTCCTCGTGGCCGGCCTCAATGGACTTGAGGAGGTTGTCGGCGGTGTCGTTGACGCCGTCAATCAAGTCGGCGTAACGCTCGGTGTTGGCGGTCCAGAGGACAATGATCTTGTCGAGGCCGTTGGCGGCCTTGAACTCGCGAATGTCCTTGCGGATCTGCTCAACGTGCTCCATGCAAGCCTTGGAGCCGGGGAGAACGTTGTCGGCACGGTTCTCCTGGTTGGCAGCAATGAAGTCGGGGTAGTAGATGGAGGGCAGGGGGGCCATCTTGGACATCTCCTCGCGGAGAAGCTCCTTCATGGTAGGCTGAAGGACCTTGGCGCGATCCATGGCCTTGTCGAGGGGCAGGCCGGAGATATCCCAGCCGCCAATGACGAGGTCGTTGGGGTGGACCATGGGGAGGACGTTGTGGAAGGGAACGTTGACGTCCTTGCCCTTGGCGGTGATGCCGAGCTTGATGGTGGAACCCATGATGACGGAGCCGTAGTAGTTGGCCTCCTGGGTGCCCTCCTTGGTGGCCCAGCTGTACTTGTGCTTGTTGGCGAGGATGCCGGCGGTCACGGTGGTACCGTTGTTGCCGCCCCAACCGACCAGCATCATGCCGGTCTTGGGGACCTTTCTGTCGACCTTGAAGTCGTAGACGGTCTCCTTGGGGACGGCGACATAGTTGTCGCCCTCGACAGTGCACAGGGTGGTGCGGTAGGTGTACTTGGAGCGAATCTCCTCGTCGGTGTAGACTACGTTGGGGGAGTTGACAACGAAAGTCTTGGGGGTGGTGTTGATGTGTCCATCACCATTGGCATGAGCGCCGTTGGTGCCGTTGATACCGTTGGTAGTCATGTTGACGGTAGGGGTGGTTGTTCAGGTGCAGGTAAGTGGTTGGTTGGCTATCTTGGCTGTTGACGGTCTTTTATGGGGTAAAGACCGAGTCCGCTGAACTTCCGGGCGAGGCAGAACAACGGGCTCCTGCGTACGGGTGATGGACTCTAGTATTTATATTAGCAAAGGGTCTAGAAATTGGAATATTTTTCGAACCGCCGGTGACACAAAGCGCAGAGCCGCAAGGGTTGTGAATGGGCTAGGGAATATGGGACGAACTCAAGGTTCCCCGTTCACTAACACCCGCGCGGTGAAGGTCCAACAAACGAGGGCATGGCAACACAACAGAAGGGCGGCAGGTTGGTTGGCGGTTGTAGGGATGCAGGAACGTGAAGAGACGGCAGAAACCTGGAAAACGGCGACTTACGAGTTGAGTAGGTTGGAAAACGTTTTGGCGGATGATGGGATCGCGGCTCGGAAGCGCGATCAGATGGTTAGTTGGCTTTAAGGGGGGAGTGCGAGGTCGTGTCTGGACTTGACAGAATTTGATGTTTCTGAAGACGATGGGGATCGAAACAAACGAACGAGCAGGGACGTTGGTTTTCTTTATATACCTGGGGATCAGATAAGCAGGACAAGGGCTCCGCAAGGCACATGGCGGGAGATGTAGCCTCTTGTTCCGATGTGGTCCGGTGTGGGTAGCTTCCGGGGATTGGAGCTCCATTTCCATGCACCACGCGCGCGGCGGCGGCTGGCGGGCGGTCAAGGATCCAGGGGTCTCGCAACCTTTGCCCAAGCTCCGGGGTTTTCGGGCTCTAGACTTGCCCGCCCGTGACAGCTGCCTGTCCGGTCCGGGGCAGAGGACAATTCAGATTGATTGCAAATCGAGTCAGATGGTGAATGGTCGAGATACTTCACGTTATGTTGGGACTCTGCAACTTGACACGACTGAATGGCGGGAACCAATGACAAACGCCCACAGCCGATTTTCCCAAGGAATAATAACATCAAAAAGTGAATGTGGTTAATTCCGGGATGAATTTTTGATCTTTTTTTTTTCCTTGGTCGATTCCTTCACCTTCAATGCTTGGCACCTCAACAGTTCCCCCCAACCGGATGTTGGTATCAGACAGACATACCTACGTACGCAAGCAATCCTGGAGCAGAATCTGTTCACAACCTTTACACGCATGCACATCCTGATCCTGTCTGAATCCGCTGTCTTTTCTTTTGGCGGCCGAATCGACAGGCGCCGGTTAAAGTTGCCCCTGGGAGAGACAAAGTCTGTACAACCTTTTCGACGAAAGGGTCGAATTCGGGGTTTCCAACAACCCGCATCGTGCCACGGCGCGTCGGTTGTTACCTAGGTTCCCTTGGGGTTCCATGCGGGCGGGTAGACTTGGCGGGGGTTGGGGACGATGAGGGTCACTGAGGGTTTCTGGAGAGAAACCGGCAGCTCGGCCGCTTGATTGGCTGGCCGAGGAGGTCGGCGGCGAGGTGCCGGTCTTCCACCCACCGGGTCCACCTCCGGACACGGAAACCCCCTGAACCATCTCTCCATGCAATCCGATGTTCTGGGACACCCAGACTCGCCAGAAAGGACAACGCCAGCCTGCCGATTTGCCCACTCGATAACGGACTGATTCGGGTGCCGAGCACGATACCTGTGATCACGGTACGTACGGTCATACGGTGGCCGGTGATGGAAGAGCGGTCTGTCGATTTTTGTCTCTTCTTGCGCATCCCGCGTCTCAAGCTCGACATTGGTCCATCACCGAAAGTGCATTGGATCAGCAATTGTTGTGAGCCTGTGTTCGCTTGTCGTAGGTTGACATTGATCGAACCGCAACGCCATTGTTGATCGATCCCTGGAGATGTTGTCGTGGCAGCACCCGGAGATGCCTGCAAGCAGAGGGCGCAGAACCAGAGAAAGAAACGCCAGAAGCGAGCTCATCGTCAACAAACCCCCACGGCCGTATCATCGCGAACAATAATCACCTATACTCCAGCTGGGCTCAAGCATATACGAATCCAGTATCTGCTCACAAGCCAGAAACGCAACTTGATACGGTTGGCTGTAATCATGATAGGGCTTCGGCTCCCTTGGCTCATGGGATCCTGCGCAAAATACCACAAAGGAAAGACTTGCATCGAATGGCATCGTGGAACACAGGTTGTATCAGAAATATTTTTTTCTTTCTTTCTTTCTGCTCGAGTCCCGTCCTACCCACGCATGCAGCTTCATTTGACAGCGCAAAGTTGCATCATGACGGCAACGGATGGTCCCTATTGGGAACACTTTTCGAACTGATAGGTAACCCCAATGCCATCCACCTGCATGATGAAGGTTACTTTCGGGTTCCATATGCATCCTATCCTTTTTTCCCTCCTGCCAGTTCAAGGGGTAGTGAGTTTGGTGTCTTTTCGTTCGAAATGCTTCCATTAACAGTGATCACCCGAAGCCCCGAAGGAACATTGTAATTTCCCAGCGAATTAATAACATTTCTTTTACGGCATTCCGATGACATTCGCCATCGAGCTAAGTCGTTCTCAGTTATCTGTCGCGAAATCTGTACGCAACAAAGAGCCGACTTGGTGGGATTTGAAGCTCTCACTGCCGAACGACCACACGCACACGCACTCGCACACACATCAGGAAATGTACTACCGAAGATCAAGGGTCTTCGTTACACGGAAAAGACGGCATACCTACCTCAACTCGAACTTTTTTTTTCACCTGGAAACGTGTTTTAAGTAACACAGAACTGACTGTGGCGTGTCTTGGGTACTGCCTCGGGCTATGGAAATCGGAGTGTGTCTTGACCGCGGAAGCGGTCTGGAGTCGAGGTTGACATTTCCCTGTCCTGTGTACAACACCATATCACCAAAAAAAGACAGACACACAAGACAGACAGACATACTTACCGCAAGAACTGAGATGGCGGGTTTCAGACCCTTCGCCTTCCAAGTGTAATGCTCGACTCGACTATAGTTACCCAGCCAGACACACAGCCAACGAACGACGTTGAAAGGGGGGCTATAGTGCCGTTACACAGCGCAAGACTAAGTCATCATTCGAGGCCAACTTTAAAACTTATTGGACTTTGATTGCCCTTCATAGTCGTGACGTATTGTTGACAGAGAGAGAAAGCTCCTTCTCTCATAGATTCCGATTGGAAAAGACATTATGCAACTTGGGAATACCGGCATTTCCGTAACCGGAGTAGAGATTCCGCATTGGTGTTGCAGAAAGCGAAGATAGACAGGATGAGAGAGGAGAGGAGAGAAAGAAGCAAAAACAATAACACGTAAAAGGCAAGTCAGACAGTTGAACTGGATGACGAAGTGAATGAGTGAGTCAAGTCCGTTGACTGACATGAAGAAATCGCCAATGGCAGTCTTCTCGAAAATGAATGGTGTAGTTGGCTCCGGATCTTCGACCACCGCACACCATTCGCGGAACCACAAGGGAGTTGACATGCAGACGTTGACGAGCAGGTGAGTTGACAGGCCATGGCTTGGCTTCGTTAACGAGCGGCTTGGCGGGAAGGGACAGATTCGGAACACATCCGTTCGCTTCGACATCCCACGCGGAGGCTCCCACGGTAACACCCATCCTCGCCATACAATCTAATACTGGTTTGTTTGTTAGCTTGGTACTCCTAGTATACTCGATGAGATCTATCCTGAATTATCCCAAACCTTATAAGGATAAAGTAAATAGCTAGGTACGGATCGGAAAGGGATCAATAAGATTCAATATGACATATTGAATTTCAGAAATAGTATATTCAAAGTAAGATTACGCTTTGGTTATAGAACGAAACGAATCAATTGGATATGAAAACGCCTGGGGAAGTTGACCCGAGGTCTCGAGCTAACAAACAAACCAGTATTGGACTGTATGTTGAGCGGCCGATTGCATCGAGTCAACTTTGGTCTTAAGCTCTGGCTCTCTAACTCGGCGAGTTTGAAAGCCGACGGTTCGTGGCCTGTTCCCCGCATCAGCAGCATCACTTGTTGTTGATTCAGGAATATTTCAAGTCTCTGATTTGGTCTTTTGTTTACGTCACCTGCTTGATGCTATTTGGCGTTCGAGTTGTCGGTTAGAATATGAAACAGGCCTATATTGTACTAACACGTATGTTGTTGACATCGGTGTCGTAGCTTCACTGGCATCTCGGAGGACGGGATATCCCGTATATCAACAAATAACGGGCTGTATCGATGCCGGAAAACCAGCTATAGCATCAGTGGGCATTGAGACTTGGGACAATCAGCCACATCTGGCGAGACATGACTGCCGAGAAGGTTTGAAACAATGCGCTTTGTAATAGAAACGGCAAAAGGACATCATGTGGGAAAGCAATCCAGAACAATTCGAGGTCATAGACTCATAGTAACCTCGGTGGTAAGGATGGCGAACGGTACATCATCGGAACTGAGTATGACGAGCTGGTCAAGATCTTTTCACCTCCAACGTCTTTGAGAGATATGATGGCGCTTCTTCGATATCATGAGCTCAAATCAGTCCCGAAATGGACATTCCGAAATCACATGATGGGAATGAGACGTCTGCGACCCAGAAGATGGGCTGGCCAATGAGGTAGTACCAATGGGTTTCCCTTGTCTCAGAAGAAATTTTGATATAGACAGTGTCGGGTATACTTAACCGTTGGCGAGGTCGTACTGCGATATACAGTCTCGATGGCTTTGATGAAGCTGGATGATATCATCTCAGCCAGGCAACATCAGGCTCGGTCTCTTTCACGGCTGATTCCATGTCATGCGGGGAGACGGTCCCAGTCCCAGGGGCCTGATGAACCATGAACGAGGTCATGCGCATCGGTGGTTGTGACGGCGGGATATGATGATGGTTGGCGCGCCAGTTTCATCACGTCCGATGTAGATGTTTCTTGTGCCGATTGCATGATGATCCAAGTTCTCTGGAGGATGAGCCGAACCTCTGCAAGGTACGGGCGAGCACTCCCAGGTACAGGGCCCTGAGCGGCCAGGAGGGTGTCCAGCCATCAGCCAGTCGGCGAGCGAGGACCATTCAGAGGCTCCACCCGTTCCTAGATGTGTGGAGAAGTGGCGCTTGCCCAATTCGAGATGATGAGCGACTCTCCAGCGAAACAGGTGCGCTACAGTGGACTTCACGCCAGGGCGTCGGCGGGCTGGGAGGGTGCCAAGTGGAGAGGTCAATAATGAGGAATCAACAAATGGACAATCAATGGATGCGTGGACCGGCGATTAATTGCGGACGGAATGACGCGAGGGAGATAAGATGGTGCTTGGTCGGGTACAACACGCTGCAAATGAGGTGACGGGGAGCAGCTATGTTGGTATACCATCTCTTTGGTGCGCATGGTGTTGGTAACTGATGGAAGGCAAATGAAAGGGATGGGATAATGCTAACGTCGACGAATGTGACGCAATAGCAGCAACACTATTTTTTATATGTAACCGCTTTATAGCTGAAGCTTTAGTGCTGACTGGAAGGTGAACAAGTGCGGCCTTGCCTCCTCGATCGCCGTCGCAACATCAACCAGGGCACCACTTCGCTTCACCAAAGTGGTTCTTGATGGAGATACCTTCCCAGCCCTTTGACGACCTCGCGTTATCTCATCAATGAAATTGTTTTCCGAGAATACCGGCGTCACTCCTTTAGTCTGGCGTAGAACGTTGAGCAAAGTCCCTCGCTAGAATTTCTTCGCCTTCTCTGGCTTCCTTTTTGGCCGCCTTTTGGATCCTAGACTCCTCGGTTCTGCAGCAAACCAGCAACACCAAGACGGCAGCGCCAATATACCTAACCTAGCTTGGATCTTTCAGGGGCAGGGGGTCACCGGGCACGCCTCTTTCGCGCCTCCCACGCCTCTCGCGCACGCTTTTTTTGGACAAGACACGTCTTTGATCTTGATCTCATCCATCCCCAGCTTCTCTCGATAGCCTTTGTCCTCCCGGCGTCACTCGAGGCAAACAACGTGCCCCTGACGCCCACCGCACTTGGCTCTTTGTCATCGACCTCCCCTTGACGCCCAAACAGAACGCCCCGGATTCCTCGCGTCAGCATCGACTGCTACGGCGCTGTAACATTGAGGACACCCTCACCTGCCTCACACTCCTTCAAAACGGAGAACTAGGGGGGGGCGCGAGAGGGGTGCCACTTGACCAGGGACTTTTTGCTGGGGTTGGCTAGCCTACCGCACTGGCAGCTAGGGGCGTTCAAGGGTCGCATCCAAGGGTTGCCGGGGTAGGTCGTCCACCTTCACCCTCACCGACCTGATCATCCTTCTTCAACGCTTTCTCGCCGTTCATACAATTCTTCCCGATTCCGACAACATTCCATTATCGAGACGCACCGAGACACCGTTGTGTCGTCTTCCCCGCATTTTTACTTCCCGCTGTCGTCTAGCCCACCGACAGCCTTGTGGTGCTTAGCCCCGTTCCTCCTCGCTCAACGGGAATCCTCGACTCCAGCTCGTGGCGCGCATTCCTTCGAGTTCAGTCTTCGACCAACCGAATCCAACATCCAACTGCAACTGAGAAGATCCGGGGACCCAGGAACCACTTGGTGTTCTCCCGTTTAATATCCTACCGCCCGCGAACAGACCAGCCTTTGTTGCTCGACCGCCTAAACGATTACCTGGCATCCCGCTTGACGTAAAGCCTTCGATCGCCTTAGGCCTTACCTGCTTTAGGCACTGGGTTGGACAGACCTCGGGGATTTGGGGTGATACGTGTAATAGGCAGCGTTCTGGATGAAGCATTTGCGGAATAAAGCACCCGTTGTTACAACATTAGCTTTGGTCATTCGCTTCGCTCCTTCTAACTTCCCCCAGCAAACTCGGGGACCTGCATGGTGGTTCCTTCCAATTCAGCCCTTTTCAACCGTTAAGTGACGCGGCTCAAGCCCAAAGAAGGCAAGAATGGCTTCGGAAAGCTTCATGCCGACAGTAAAATGCTCCTCATGCGGATCCCAAGTTCCGATATTACTGATGGGCGAACATGTTTGCGCCGGAGGGTCAGACGCAGATGATAAGGCAGACCCATCACCAGCAGACGAACCTTCTTCAGCCGCTCCGCCAGCCCCGGCAACTTCACTGTTTGGTCGACTGAATCCTTTTAGTGCCTCTCAGGCGCCTCAAGTAGACACTACTGTCGCTGGTAGGTCTCATCCTTGATGTGCTTCAGATTCCCGTACTGACGATGGCTTCTCAGATCGACTATCCACAGGTCCATCCCAAGACACTCGCGGATCGATAAGTTTGTCGCCAAAGACCCAAAGTGGACGACCTGGTCTCGGGAGCACCGATGATTTACAAGCGTTGCGCCGGCCCAGCGCCTTCGCAACGGGTAACGCGGACCGAGCCCCAAACTTGCTACAACGTATGAACAGCATGACCCCTGGGCCATTTGATACGGACCGACGGCCGTCGGCTGATTTCCGTCCGACTACGCCCCTGGGACGCAGCATGACAGACTTGCGACCAAACACACCAGCGCGAAGCATGACAGACCTTCGACCAAATACACCAGCGCGGAGCATGACAGACCTAGGACCTAACACGCCAGCAGGCAGCATGGCAGATCTGCGACTAAACACACCAGCGCGGAGCATGACAGACCTAGGACCAAACACACCAGCACGCAGCATGACAGACCTAGGACCAAACACACTAGCACGCAGCATGACAGACCTAGGACCAAACACACTAGCACGCAGCATGACAGATCTGCGACCAACCACCCCGATTCAACGGCCAGGGACATCGGCATCAAACATTTCTGCTGGACCCGGAAACCCGGTGACGCCAATGAGAGGGAACGGACCTGAAGGATTTGGCCCTCCCCAACGAGGGCCTCCCCCACGGGGGCCGCCGCCAACAGGGCCTCCTCCATCGGGACCAGTTCAACAAGACCTGAAGCCCGACAACGCCTTCACCATGCTGAATCGCGCCGCGACCTTTCACGGGCCAAACCATACTCCAGAACCGCCACACCGGACACCGTCTGCACCTGGATTCCGTCCCGAACGACCCCGACGACCGTCCGAAGCAGCTAGAGATGCTGCAAGGGGCCCGGTGCCAGGCCCGAGGCCAGGCGCGATGTCAGGTCCGATCCCAATGACGGATGATCGAATGAGAAGGCCGAGTAGAGGCCCAGACACATCCCGTCCCCCACCGCCGCGAACCGGCCTCGTTCGGGCGAGAACTACAGGGCCAGATGGAGCCCCTGCCGTGCCAGCCATCAATCTCGCGGAGGAATTCGGAGTAGGAAACCCATATCATACACCATCCGAATCCGTTTCATCCAATGGGTCGAGCCAGGCTTCATCCAATGGCTCAACCCAAGGTACTACCTTGGAGCGCCGACCTAGTCAAGCAAGTCAGGCTAGCTCAAGGACGAGCCCACCCCGATCTGTGGCATCCAGTGGGAGGAAAGGATCGGACACGCCCACATTTGACAGCTCTGTAACAAGGGCGAGCCCACCCCAATCTATGGCATCCAGTGGGAGGAAAGGATCGGACACGCCCACATTTGACAGCTCTGTAACAAGGGCGAGCCCATCCCGATCTGTGGCATCCAGTGGGAGGAAAGGATCGGACACGCCCACATTTGACAGCTCTGTAACAGACCTACAGGTGGACGAGGATGGAGGTAAACTGACGCGGACACCCTCTACGCAATCAGTCCCTTATGATGGTGGTATTCCTCAAATGCTCCGGAAGCTGAGACCACCACCCCTAAGCAAAAGGCCACCTCCTCCAGAAGGTGGATATGATCCACGAATCGACCCACGCTTGCAGCGGAATAAGTCACCCTTGGCTTCACCTGCTCTTGATCTTTCAGGTCTCGACGACCCGAATGCCCAATTTGATCGCGGAGTCTCCCCACAGCCCGCACCATCTGCATCTCCGCTGCTGGCCTCGGCAACAATCGAGAGAAGGGATCGATCCTCAACTGCAACCGCGAATAGCCAACAGGAACGCCCGCCTTCTCAATCCCCTCAACGTCCAACAGAGCGGAGCAGTCGCCAGTCCCTGTCCGCACCAGATGTGCAACAACAGGAGCCCCCACAACCGGAATCTCCCACGTCTCCGGCGGAGGAGAAACCCGAGCCTCGAATCGAAACCCAGGCTAAGGAACGACAGCCTTCTCAGCCGCCGCAAGCCACTGAGCCGCCAGTTGTGAAGCCCGACGAAGAGCAACAAGAACCGGAGACGCAAACAAGCCCACGGGCTCCAGGACCCGACGACCAGCAGCGTGGGAGTATCGATCGAACAGCAAGGCTGGATCAAGAACGGGAGCGGACGCCCTCACAGCCTCGACAGGCTCCTCCGACTACCTCATCTCGTGGCGACTGCAAAGGCTGCAGCCTGCCCATCACAGGCAAATCCATTTCCAGCGCGGACGGCCGTCTGACGGGACGCTACCATAAAGCCTGTTTCGTCTGCTCGACCTGTCGCCAGCCCTTCTCCTCCGCCACCTTCTACGTCCACCAGGACCGACCGTACTGCGAGCGCCACTACCACGAGCTCAACGGAAGTCTCTGCGGAAGCTGCGACAACGGTATCGAAGGCCAATACCTCGAGGACGAACGGCGCAGGAAGCACCACGTCGGCTGTTTCCGGTGTGGCGATTGCAAACTCGTGCTGAAGGATGGCTATTTCGAGGTCAACGGGAAGGCCTATTGCGAAAAGGACGCTTGGAGGAGGGTGCAGTGGCTCGCTAGTAACGGCGGTGGGGGCCCAGGTCGGAAGCCTCCTCCGCCCGGACCGCGGTTCGGACCTCCTGGAGCGGGGGGGCCACCACGGACTGGACCTATGGGACCTGGTATGGGTGGTATGGGCCGCCCCGGCATGGGTCCGGGCGCACATGAACTACCGCCGCCGGGCATACCGCGCATGGAGAAGCGTATGACTAGATTTGGCATGATGTCAGCTGCTTAAGTAGAGGCACTCTTGAGAGCCGAGTGATGGTTCTCTCCAAAGGTTTACATATTCCCCTCTCTCTTATGAGAAGGGAGGGAGGGAGAGGGGCCGCTCTTGACTGGAATATTGTCTCGGCCTCGTTCTCCCTTGCGGTATGCACACATACGGCTACTCGCGTTTTGTGCGCAAGAAACTTTTTCTTTTGGATATCATCGCTACCCATAGACTGGGTTCGATCCGACACTTTACTTACTTTACTTTCTTGGTTCATTTCTGATACCCATACCAACTAGTTTGGCTTTATTTACACAATCCCCTTTTTTCCTTTCCCTTTGTAAAAAAAACACAATAACATGTAATTTCTGATGATAATCTCACAATGTATAGCAACAACAATTCATCTCCAAAACCTACTCTATCTACTCGTGGGTAGTTATGTAGGAGCAGATGGGGATTCGGAACAGGCAGGGGAGAAGGAAAGGAAGAGGGACTTGAGTTTCAGGAGTTGCTGGGAAAGGAAGCACGTGAGCGAGCTGAGGATCCTACTGTGACATATCAAGGGTCGGGTAGTAGTACAACCGGGAGGTTGCAGCGCCAGATTGCCCCAGGGGCAAATGGATATGAGAGAGAGGGGAGGGAGGAAAGGAGCAAGATAGAGAGTACAAATATACACGCTGTAGCACGCAATGCGTCACAGTAGTTGAATCCAGCCATTGGCCATCGTCACTATTCATCTTCGTGTTCCCCCTTGTGCTTGTGGGTGAGTACTACCGAGCTGAGGTGGTCTCGGCAGTTGGACTTTTTGGCCGTACTTTTGCTTAGAGGGCCTCGAGGAAGCGGAAGAGGTGAGTGAGTGTGACGTTCGCTTGGGAGTTGTGAAACCAAACGGTCGTCAGGGGTACCCGGACACTTGGGTAGGTAGATCTGGGGGATCTCCAGATTGCATGCATGGGTCCATCTACATTCCTGCGGTTGGAAGATGTGTGGTCATGAGGTTGTATTGGTTATTCTCCATATAGTCTCTTGCGATTCACATGTCCTTATCCCCGTGAACACTCGTTTGCAAGGCTCCTATCTGTCTGTGAACGAAGATGAGTGCAGTGTTTTCCACCATGGATCCAAACAAACCAAATTGTTTGTCCACATCCGGGAGACGGCTCGGTGCGTAGCCGTTTAATTTGCCGGGGTAATTCTAAGCCTCTATTCTAGAGTCTAGACTGTCAGGATTCCCGTGAGGAATCGCCAAGAAGGTAGATAGCCATAAGGAGGCTGATGAAGACAGGTTATTGCCTAGTATGATTCTTGCAGTTACGAGACGGAAGGATCTGAGAAATGCACATTTGGCGGTGATTTGCTGTTCTTCCGTAGGCTGGGTACTATACACCAGATCACGCAAAGTGGTAATTCCCAGTCGGCCGGTGTTGGATTCTTGTCGATACCATCCTGGGACGGGCACTTACACATCCGCAGTCTCCATGCCAGCCCGTAAGGACATTCGGGTTCATCCATCCCCTCCTGTCTGCATTGCGGAAAGTGGTGCCCTCTTTTATAGTCCGCAGTGTCTAAGTATTTTGACGGGAGGCCAGCGCCACGCACAAGTTTCCGTGTCAACAGCGCGGGCAGGTGCTGTCCTCGCCCAAGTGAACGATGTTTCCCGTCGAAGTGGATGTTACAAACGGAGAGCTCCTTCCATTTTCATCCCATCATTTCTGGACCGGCTGGTTAGTTAGTCGTAACACGTGGATAAGGTACGGCCGACGTTCAGGTTTCTTCGTCCAAGTGAAGGGGGAAGGAACCAAGGTGCGCGCTGATAAGGGCGTTACGTGTTTCATCGTGCTACCTCTTGCTGTCCTTGATGTCTCGCCAGGCCGCTTGCAAGTTGCCGATCACAGTACCCAGACATTTGATAGTATGGTGATTGAATTGATTCCAGCATCTATCGAGATTGCCCGCCCGCATCCCTTCGAGTTCTTCAAGTCGACCTGCGGGCCACGAAGACACCTTGTCTTGCCCCTCCCCCTCTTCTTCCTTACTCCTCGAGCGAGCGCTTCACTTTCCGCTAACTATCTCCTTGATCATGATTTCGACTACCAAATCACAATCTTTCTCTGTTAGGTTTTCCAAGTGGTACTAGGCGGGACTGTTTGATACGGTCAGGCGGTCGTCGCCTTCATTGCGCGCTTACGGAGCACAGGCACCTGGAGTGCCTACACCTCAGCCATTCGAACCTCGCACTCGTTTTCTCAACCATGATAGTCAGACTCCGGCGTCAGCGGGCGCTGGGCCAGCCCATCGTTCTTGTTTCCATTATACTTGTCATACTTGTTACGGCGAGTTTTCTTCTTAGAAGCCAACGATACAAGTCGATACAGCTGTCGGAAGCGACCGACTTCACCAAGCCGCCGCCCTCGGGTGGCGCAACAACTACGCAGGTCCATGAGGTGATACACTCCGACACTGAGGTCGATAGTCACCAGGAAGTACCAACACAGGAAGAGTTCGAGGAGGAGAGTAGGGAGCTGCTAGAGTAAGCCATGTCCCTGAGTGGCAGCATTCAGCCAGTCAAGTCCAGTCGCACTGACAATTTTGACCGATATAGTAATCCCGACGCGGGCGCGATTTACGGAAATACCCTCGAGACACTCATCGATAAAGAAAAGCGAACGGCTCAACAGAAGAAGTTCCTCACAAGAACAGGGAGCAAGGTGCCCTACAGTCTCGACAAGCCGTATATCTTCAACCCATATCCACAATATAACAGTCGAACATGCTTGGGTCCAACAGGGAAAGAGGTGGAAGATATCCACGTCTTCAAAGGTCACCCAGCCAGGTTCCCGGAGTCTGGTTTTGGCAGCTACGAGGTTTTGGGGATTGACAAGAATCTTTGCTTTGAGCGAGAAACCAGGCTGGGTCCGTACGGGGTGGCACCCGTCGAGGATAAGGATGGGCAACCTGTTGATTGGGACAAGGTGGACTGGGGAGGGCTTCAGTTGCAGTGTCTGGAGAAGAACAAGGGACGGTTTGCGACGGAACATCCTGCCAACAGCTTCTCCGACAGCAACAGCGGATTCCACGTGGCGACAGAAAGAGAACACAGGGCAGACGGGCCTACAGACTCGATCCCGAATAACACGAAACGATGGTGGACTCCGAAAAAGCAATATGGATCGCCTACCAACATGACGGGTAGAACTGACACGTCGGTAACGGAGCCGAAAAGCGCCGTGCTTCTGCGCTCTTATACGGGGAAGAAATACACAGAGAACGACAAGCAAGTTATCAGATCCATGGTGACGGAGCTGAGCTTGCGAACAGGAGGACAATATCAAGTCTTCCTTTTCGTTCATGTCAAGGAGGACCGCGACATCTGGTCGGACGACAAAGCCTATGAAGAAGTCTTGGATACTGCCGTTCCTGTCGAATTTAGAGGGATGACGGTGCTTTGGGATGAGGCATCCATGAAGTTGGTATATCCCAAACTGAGCAAGGAGGCGATCCGAGTCCACAACGCACAGTTTCTGTCTGTCCAAGTATTCATGCAGAAGTTCCGAGAGTTCGACTACGTCTGGAACTGGGAGTTGGATAGTCGTCTGACCGGCCATCATTACGACTTTTTGATTAAGCTTATTGACTTTAGCAGGAAGCAACCAAGAAAAGGGCTGTGGGAACGAAACGAACGGTTTTATATCCCATCTTACCATGGTGATTATGACACGGAATTCCGCAAGAGCGTTAAACAGGCCGCTGGTCAAGATTCCATATGGGGCGCCCCTAACTTACCCGTCGTCAACCCGATCGGGCCAAAACCACCAGTTTCAACACCAGAGCTGGACCGATATGAGTGGGGTGTCGGCGAGGAAGCTGATCTCATCACCCTGTCGCCGATGTTCAACCCTATAGACAGCAACTGGGTTCTGCGCGATCAAGTGTGGGGTTACCAATCCGACGCCTTCTCAGGCAAAGATCTCCCTCGCAGAGCCACCATCATCACGCAAGCGCGATTGTCGAGGAAGCTTGTCGATGTCATGCACGCCGAGAACCTCAAGGGGAATCACGTCGGCTCCGAAATGGTAGCCCCAACTACTGCCCTGATCCACGGACTCAAAGCCGTATACGCCCCGATGCCCGTGTTCTTCGACAGGCCATGGAACAGCACTCAGCTGGCGCGATGGTTCAACGGTGGACCGCGAGGGCAGAGCGGCGGGCTGGGGAGCGCGATGGGATGGGGCAGAGAAGGGCGTTTCCAGGGTGCCACGTGGTACTTCCGCGCCGTCCCGCCGCCACGGTTGTATAACAACTGGATGGGATATGAAGATACGGGTATCGGGGGTGCCGAGTGGGAGCGTAGTCATGGGAGACCGTGTCTGCCTGCCATGTTTCTCCATCCGCTCAAGGACGTGAGGCCGACACCGAAGGGGTATACGTCTGAGTCGAAGTTGCCATACTGAACATATGGATGTTGAGGTTAGAAAGGGATTGTAGGCATAGTCATCTTTTTACGTGAGGGGGACAGCATGTATGTGCTTATGCAAGCCATGTTATTTCGGCTGCAGCCTTTTGACAGATATGTTGATGCAAGACGTCATGTTTGACTCCTCATAAAACAAGTTCGCCGATGTGCCCGCTCCGCTGGTGAGATTCCGAGAGGTTTTCGAAGCCGGAGCCGGATGGAATTCTGCAATGACAATTGATGGAGGAAAGGAGACGAAGTGTCATACATGTGGACTACTTGAGTCTTGTGACGTCGTCGTCATGCTGCGATGACTGTGAGCTTGTCGTGGTTGTGAGCATCACCCCCTTTTCAGAACCCTAACCCTTCATTCCCAGCAAAGAGAGTCACGAGGGTCAAAGGTGGGCGGGAAGCCCCTTTTCAGGCTGCATGGTTCCAGACCACACCACGTTGAGCTGAATGGACGATCACAGGGCGAACTATATTCCTTTCGAAACAGGAAGTGATCTTATGTCTTTGTCGTCCACTCGTATCAGGCAGGCGCACACACTGCCTAGAACTGCTAGAGTGCCTCAATGCCTAGCTAAAACATTTGGCTGTGGGTTTTCACCGCTGTTGGAATCCCGCCAATATGGTGTTCTTCTGCTGGGTTTAATTGAACCAGATGAATGGAGTTGCAAGTTGGGATTTGCATTTTGCGCAATTCGCGTGCTCCCTGATCCTCGCTCGGAATGTGCAACTTCCAGAACGTACGATGATACATAGCTCGCTCGCGTGATAGGGAGATCTCCTTGCCTGCTGGAAATGAAAATCCGGTCCCGTTGAAGGATGGTTTAGTGTAGGGACAAGCGAAACGGGCTCATGCTTCCCCGTCATCCGTCATCAGGCTCCGTTTGTTGATGGGTATCTTTACCCAACAGAAACTATCCAGAGAAAGGGCTGGACTCTAAGTGTTTGGAGCCTATGTTCAAAAAAGGGTGTGAATTTGCAAAAGCCAAGCAAACCCATGGAAATGTCAGATTGTCACAACACGGACAGTGCGCTCGTAAAAAGGGTCGTTTTAAGAGAAAAGATTGGCGTTGATTGGCAGTCCCATGGACTCCATGGCGGTGAGGTGTGGGGTCCAATGAGGGTGAATGAGGCCAACCTGCACCCAAAATGCGCCAAAGTGCGCCAAAGTGGCACCATGTTCGGCTCGCGCCCGGCTCCGTAGAATGTGCGGAAGCTGGACCCTGGTTTGCCTGGGGACGGGACGTTTTGAAGTTGTCAGCAACGAAAAACTGTGGTTGCAGCTGCGACACGACGGAAAGCACAATCAGACGAGAATGACAAGCCACGGACCAACGCTCAGCCACTTTCTTTGAAATAGGAAATGTCTAATTGGTTGGAAAGCTTGCGGTTGCAGGCTTGCAGCAGGCTCCCAAGCGGCTCCAGGCGGCCAGAATTGAAAATTGGAGCGACTTGTTAAGGAGCGGTCGGAAACGCCTACGGTAAGGTATACTGGTACGTACCAAGTACACACAATCCCTATGGGCTCTCTGCAGGGTCAACTTTGTGTCAAGCGGAACGAGGAGAAATGCAGATGTGAGGTGCTCCTTTTCAAGGCTGGCGTTTAAAGAGCTGCTTTTCCCCAGCTTCATTTTCTTTTCCTCCTGGTCTTGTCTGTTCTGATCTTCTATATTTGTACTATCCAGTCATCCTCTTTTACATGTTTTGACCTTGACGTTGTCTCATCATCAACACAACAACGCTTCCGGTTTGATACTCCAACCAACCGCCGAGACTCCACTCACCACTTACACCCGACAACACGCCTCTGCCTCTCCGAGAGAATCACCTCGAGAACAACCTCAACTCATATAAAACGATTCAAGATGTCGCCCACACACACCATGTCCGCCCACCTCTGTAAGCAGATTTACAGTGCGTGGCGGCAAGACCACACAGGCAGCACCTCCCCTGAGCCCCATGCCACCAGCCCGCTGCCATCGCCCACCAACTCGTCCGTCTACTCGGGCTACTTCCAGCGATCGCCGTCCCCTGAGCAACAGCACAAGCGGTCCATGGACAGCGACCGCTCGTCCTCCTCCAACTGGCGATGGAACAACAAGGACAACTCTCGCTAAGATAAATGGGATCTCAAATGTCCTGAAAGGACTTGTTTTCATTTTTTTGGCGGACATCATTTACTGGCGCATACCTACGAAACGGGACTGGGTTGGGCTTTTAGCGGAACGGCGGGTAATGCATTTCAAGCGGTTTTATACAGCGGACAGCGAGCGGATAGTGAAACTATCAATAGCGCAGTCAGTCCTACGGGCATATCATTTACGACGAACGGCAACAATAACGACACCAGCGACTACAAATCCCAACCAGAAGACCACCAGCAAGCGGAAGGCAACATCACGACGGACTATTCTATGGGCTCTCACTGAATTTAGCCTTCAGTAAAGACAAATCTTGCCTACATATCAGTCTGCCTATACTTCAGGCAGGCAGGCATGTCCATGGCCATGTCCCTTGGGTGTTAAGTGTCACCCACCTCCAAGCACCTCCAGCTCCGGTAGCTTTGTCAGCCCTACGAGCTTCGAGTTTTGTCAACAGCACAAGGCTTCCCAAAGCAACAACGTTCGGCTCAGACAAGCGCCGGGCCGATACTCCCGTCCTAAGTCGATCGTTCGGTTTCGCGGCGGCAGTGGATGCATCACTTACACATCGTCCCATTTCACCATCTCATCACGCCATGTCGCTACTGTATATCGCCAATCCGGAGTGAGACGGAGCGGAGGGTTAGGGGAATGGTGGGAGCGTATGATGGTGGTATCACGCCATCGCACGCCACTGCACCATTTCCAATCCCAAAGCAGAAAAGGGTGGCATTGGAAGATGGGATGTTATGTTGGTGTCACTGGGTGGTCCTGGGATTGTTCTGCTGTTATGTCTTGCCTCGTTTTTATACTTGATTGATGCAGGAGTTGTGGGAGTTTATCATGTCAGTCAGTTTGTCATTTAGTGCTTGACGAGTTGTCTCTGTCCACTCTAGAGCAGATGTCGGGATCATCGACGGAGGATTATAATAGGATTGAGACGGAATTTGATACCCTCTTGAAAGGAAACTTCTGAGCAGATATTGCATGTCTTTTGAATAAGTATGTGTGTAGTGACATGCTTGATGATACTCTTCAGCGTTTAGAGTGGTTGTTGATCAAGGGTATGATAGTCATCTCTGTGGAAGCACGTCATTTGTCTAGCAATCACCTTGCCCAAGACCGTATCACGACTTAAAGGCACAACAGTTTAACTGTACTTGGGGGTTATAGTGCGGTTTAGTGGTGGGACCTTTCCTCAACCCCCTCTCATAAAAGAGGGGGAAATTTTTATCTGGGATAAACTTTTAATCTGGGACAATCTAAAATGTTAGGATGCACCATCGAAAATTGTTAGTGGGAAAGATGCAACAATAATAACTACATCCACCAATTTTCTAAAATTCTAGTAAAAATTGGAAAGTAAGAAAAGGATATAAGAAAGGCTCCTTCAAAGTTGTAAAAAATTATCTTCTAAATTGGGCGAACGGTGGCTTCTGGACTTTGCATTGACACCAAATATCGTCATTTTTGGTGTCGCGAAACCGCTAAGCTAAACCACGCTTCAATAATCAAAAGGTATGCACATCGAAGATATTTCAATAACGGCCTAACCAAATTTGATGCAAATTTAGCAACACCTCCATTAGAGCCTTCTTATTCTCCCCAAATTTTGACAGATTTTTTAAAAAAATAGTAGTGTAGTTGGATAGTTGTTACATCTTCCCACTAACATTTTTCTGTGGTATACGCTAGTATTTTAGATGTCCTAAATTAAAAGTTTGTCCCAGATAAAAATTTCCTCCTCTTTTATGAGAGGGATTGACAAAAGGTTCCCAAGCCGCCTAGCCAACCCCCAAGTAGATGTTCCTGAATTGCTCAACTCATTTACCTATGGAGATAGGGTAGCTTTCTGACCCATCCCCACTCTCCTACAGAGAGTGGGTCACAAAATCGCCGGACAGCTCAAAACCGCTGGACAGAACAGTTTTGTATGGCAATTGCTAGTAAAAGTGTTAGTGCAATATTTTAAGGAGATGTAATACCACGACCTTTGGAGCTGCAAAGCCAAGAATAAAGGGCAATATTCTCAAGAGGTAAAAGAAGATAATTGGAGATTTTGAGAATATTTGGATAAGGTTTGGTTAAGATGCAACGAAATTCCTTACATTTTTCCGAATTTGTCATGTAAGTCAGATTTCGATAGAGCTGCATCTCTCAGTGCATTTTTGCCCATTTTCGTCGATAGAGCTATAAGAACTCTATATTTATTTTTTATTAAAATTTCCTAGAGAGATTTCTTATTCTAATAGAAATCTATATTTGAAATTTCGTCTTATCTACCCTTATTTTCGTTGTGTTATAGGCGTTTTTGTCCTTGCACTAACACTTTTACTAGCAATTGCCATACAAAACTGTTCTGTCCGGCGGTTTTGAGCTGTCCGGCGATTTTGTGACCCACTCTCTGTAGGAGAGTGGGGATGGGTGAAAAAGGCCACCCTATCTCCACGGGTACAGACAGAAGAGTAACACCCATACTACACCACCTAAACGCCAAATGAATGAACAGGACGAAAACACACCCATAACTCCCTTCTCTTTCTTGTCATGATGCACATAAACGATGTACTCGGCGTTGAAGCCCCAGTTGACTCCTTCGCGACTGGCCCTCTCGTCATTTCCCATCTAAAACCGATCACCGAATCCCGCCACCAGCGCTAGAACCACATATGGTCGGATATTCCTTGCGATCTTCTCTATCCCATCGGCCCTGTCAGCCCAAAAGAGCCGTACTCATCCAAGAAGTCCCGAATCAAATCAGCTCTCCCTCACCTTCCTCCTCATCCATCCCCTCCTCATCCTCACTCCACTGCATCTCCGCAGCCGCCTTCTCCGCCAACCGCTGCACTTCAGCCAGCCCACTCAGCTCAGCCACGTAGTCCCGGCTAGCCAGCGCCGTCTTGACAAACTCCCATCCGCCCTCTTTGTACGCGTCGAGGATGGGCTTGCTGCAGGCGCTGCACTGCGGGTACGACTTGCCGCGGATGACCATGTTCTGGAAGTTGGACAAGAAACCGCGGACCTGGTGCGGGACGAGACCGAGGGGGTGGTCGGGGGGATCGCGCTCGTACGAGACGGCAGAGCCGGTGCCGGTCGAGACAGGCGCGGGCGCGTGCTGCTTGAGCGGATGCTGGAGGATGCTGGTGAGAAGCTCGACGAGGAGGGCCGAAGCGATCGCTGCCACGCCGGGACGGGTGACGGTACATTGTTGATCGAGCGTTTGGTCTTTCATTGACTGGATTGTAGACTTGGTTAGCTTCTTTTCCTAGTGCGTCGTGGACGAGTCAGTTAGTTCTTACATCGGCAGCAACTACTACGTCGTTGCAGAAGTAGCATCCGAGAGTCTCTTCACTGCCGTCGGTCGGTGCCGCACCATGTCGCATGACAACGTATGTGTCGAATCCGAGCGCGGCATTCATAACGATCTTGTTCGCAGCTTTGCCCATCAGCGTGGGCAACCATCGGGACTCGCGCGTATCCATGAGGAGGAAGATCGCATCGTGTGAATCGATCAACTCCTTCAGCTTATCAAAGTCTGCCTTGGTCTTCGCCTCGTTGTGGATCGGGTGATCCAACATTGGGACGGAGAGTGCGTAGCCCTCTACATCAACTCCTGGATAGATTTCTCTGAGTGCCTCGGCAGCTTGGATAGCCTTCGGCTTGCCCCCATTGAGACAATCTTCGAACTTGAAGAGAGGCTGCCGTACTGGATTTGAAAAGGATACGTTCCCATAATCAATAAAAGTGATCTTGCGGACTCCCCACCCAAGCAGGTTTCTCGAGACATAGCTGCCAAGTGTACCTGCGCCCAGCAGCAAGCACTTGGTATTCTTGATCGTGTCCAGGTCAAGATTCGGCGCAAGCCGCCACTTCATCAGCTTCAAGTTCAAGTCCACTGCCTGGTCTGCTAGTCGGGTGGGATCCATGTACTCTGCCAGATTCGCGACCCGTGGCCTAAGATCGCCATTCCCGTTCCTCTCCCAGCCGGTGACCTTGGGCATACTCTTCAACTCCACGTCGTCGACTTTATCCATGGCCAGTGGCAAGATGATGCTCCGTGCTTCGTGCCTCCTAGGCTGTGTGTCGCGATAGCAAAGAATCTGGACCTTGTTAAGGCGGTACCTCTGTCGGATGAGGATGAGAAGATTGCGGAGAGGCCACGAAGGGTATTCGGGATAGTTGGATGGGTCCACGAAAGCAACGTATCTGTCCTCTTCCGCCGCGTCGTTGAAGAAACCCGTCTCGAAGTCTCTGAGAGATCCAATGTCCCAACGGTAGCCAATATCGACCCCGGGATCATCAAGGGAAGATCTGGGGCCGGCGGCTTCGCCTCGCACTTTCTTTGCGAGGAAGAATCCATGCTCTCTCCTGTCAACCATGTATCGCCATGTCCCAATGCGCTCGACCAGTGCGGTGCTTTCGTCCGAGTTCAGCCGGCCGATCGGTCCTGTTCGCTTCCACTGCGGCTCCGAGTGTAGGGCTGGAAATGCGAACCAGTACGTAAACTTGTACTTCTTTAGGTCGGCGTATGACAGGATTCGGAAAGACGCAAGTAGTGATGGACATGAGTATATCGTGCCATCTTTAATCGCATCCCAGATCTATTACCCGCCCATTAGTAAACTTTCGTTAAAGCGCCAGAGCACTGGCATGACCCAAGTGAAGCTACTGAAGACGAACCTGCTCGCCCGCCTTCTTGATCATCGCACTCTTGTCCGTGTTCTTGAACTCCTCGATCGTGTTGACGTTCTTAATGTAGCCTTCGGCTCGAGTCATGCCCAAAGGCCCGCTTTCGTCCCTATCATCAGGCTTTGGTTCGTGAAGTATAAAAGCAAGCGTGCGTGGGAACTTACTGGTCGCTTGTCAGGGCGCTCCCCAAGATCTGCATTCTCGTGCTGGCCTCTGGATTCGCTTGCGACCGAGGTTCATATAAGCCCAAGACGGGGCGGGCCGAAGAGTCGAGCTTGTCATGGTCGAGTTTGGATGAAAAGAGGGCCGAATAGAAGGGCAGCTCGATCTCCGAGGAGAATGTCGCAAACTTGAGATCCATGGCTGAGAGGGCGCACAGCCGGCCGTGATGCGCTTGGAGATTTCGAGTGATGGAAACTACTGATAATGATGTTGATATGCGGTTTCTATCCCAAGAAGTAGCGGTCGAAGAAGGCCAAGGTTGGCAGCCTGACGCCCACTGCCTAAAGCTTGTTGATGCGACCTTTTTGGGACAACACTGACAGCAGCCTCGTCTCCGGAGGGGAGTCGCAGGATGGACGAAGAAGACGGGTTCACAAGAGCGTGGGCGGTGGTCAGCAGTTCTGCGTCATCTGCTGTCTTCCCGATGACCCGATCCCTTGTCACCGGACTAGATACGCCGCCAATATGCACTCTGGACCGCTTCTCCGATATAGGAACCAGGTAGGTGACGATGGTCTAGAGAACAGAACTTGACCGAAACTGCTGAAGCTGTGTAGATGGGTAAGGCTGATAGCGCTCGAGTGTCTTCTTTCATGAATGAGTGGTGAACGGGGAAGTGGAATGTCTGCTTTGTCAGTGGCCGACGCTGCCGTGACTCTTTCACGGTGGGAAGAACTAAGCTCACTCAGCAGCTGTACCCCGCAGTCTTCACCACAGGGCTCAGCCGACCAACACCCGACCCAAGAGCAGCCAAGACGGGAGCGGCAACCCACTCCCAGCATGCACAATGGGTGGGAATACCCCGCCGGCAGATCCTCGGTGCCCTGGTAGCGGCTGCACCCACTAAACGCGTTTCTGCAAGTCCCCCGACGCGTCTTGTTCCACCCCATCAGGAAATCGTTGAGTACACAGTAAATGTGTTATAGAATGTGTCTCAGATTGATGTCGTGGTAGCAGTAATTATTTTATCCTCACCATAATTCTCCAACACCGAATCCCAAAGGAAACTCGCCATGTTCATCGGCATCTGCGGCAGTATATCAGCCCCTCCTGCCCTTCCACCCTCCAGTTGAGTCACTTACACCATCAACAGGTATTTGCGCGGGCAAAAGCACCATCGCCCAATATCTCGTCGAGCACCATGGCTTCACACGTGTCTCACTAGAGCACACAACCAAGACCATCGATGATATCGTCAACGGCGAGACCCCCTCAAGTGACCACGTCAACGGCCTAGTCCGCAAACTCTTGCCCGCCTACAACACCTCCCACTCCCAGTCTTCCACCTCCGCCCGTTCGAAAGGCCATGTCTTCCCCTCCGCCGACGACCTCCTCGACTTCATCACCAAACACTGGCGCGAAAGATGGATAACAACCGACATTCCCACCGAGGGAATCCTCGACATGTACATCCGCCGGCCCTTCTTCCTGCTCATCAGCGTCGACGCCCCGCTCACCGTACGATGGCGCCGCTTCCGTGAGCGCGAGGAAAAGAGACAACAACGTCACCGAAACAACAAGCAGTCTTACTCCTCCGCCGGCGGCGGCGCCGCTCTCGAAGCCGGAGACGAAGAACAAGAAGAAGAAGAGCCCCTAACCTTCGAATCCTTCGCCCACCTCAACGACACGCAACTCTTCCTCCCGCAAACCGGCCGGCTACCACTAATGTCGCGCGCCACTGTCCGGCTCCTCAACACGTCCCCCTCGCTCGCGCACCTCTACGCCACGCTGGGCAACCTCGACCTGCTCAACCCGGACCGCCTCCGGCCCTCGTGGGACTCATACTTCATGGCGCTCGCCTCGCTGGCCGCGCAGCGGTCCAACTGCATGAAGCGGCGGGTCGGCTGCGTCGTGGTCCGCGACAAGCGCGTCATCAGCACGGGGTACAACGGCACGCCTAGGGGTTTGATCAACTGCGGCGAGGGCGGGTGCGGGCGGTGCAACGAGGGCCAGGGATCCGGGCAGGGGCTGTCGACGTGTTTGTGCATGCACGCGGAGGAGAATGCGCTGCTGGAGGCCGGACGGGAGAGGGTGAGGGAGGGCGCGGTCTTGTATTGCGATACGTGCCCGTGCCTGACGTGCAGCATCAAGATTGCGCAGGTGGGGATTAGTGAGGTGGTGTATAGCCAGGGGTACAGTATGGACGGGGAGACGGCGGCGGTGTTTAGACAAGCGGGAGTGAGGTTGAGGCAATTCGTTCCGGTAAGTGATGCTGTTGTGTTTCTTACATGCTTATCCTTATCCTACATGGCCTGCAAAGCTGGAGCTGGAGGTGATGATGTGCTAACAACAACATTTGTGTGTAACAGCCAGCGAATGGTTTGATACATTTGGAGAAGACTGACTTTTGCCCTTAAAGTAAGTGAGTTGGAGCATCGATAGACATGAACATGGACCTGTAGGGAGGTGCCAGTAGCCAGATCACTAGAAATGATGCACAACTATACTATGACAGATGACAACCTCACAACAATACGAACCACAAGTTTAAGGCAACAGCATTCACTGATGTATCACGACTGGCAATGATGTTTAGACATCTGAGCAGTAACATCACAAACGCAACAAACAACCACGTTATGAGTAGACAAACTAGGTATCAATAATATTAAGGCATGACTGAAGTATAGAAGGAGCTTATAGTAGGCTGCAGCAGTGGTAAAAAGGCGTTCAGGGTCCCCCACAAACGTCCACCTTTCCCTCGCTCCGACCTTGGCGATGGCGATATCCCAATGTCCATTGAAGCTGCAGTCCACAAGTCCAAAGGGAAGTCGCCATTGAATCGCTCAAGGTTCGATTAGAAATGGCCCTCTTGCAGAGATTAACCATTTCCATGTTGGCCGTGTTATCCCATGCCCTTCCTTAACCGCAAAAGAAGAATCGAATACCGAGGGGGAAATAGTAATAAAAGGTTGTAGCCCAACAATGGCTGGGAAACGACCAATATCGGTATCGGTGGATGGTGGTGTGTGTGTGTCGGTGAAAACGAAATGACGAATCCGGGGGACCCTTCTTCCCATTTTCCAACCGCGCCTTGAAATAGCACTCCCTTTCTTCCACTTTTGCAGCCAGAGTAAGCTCATGGGGAAGCCCGTAGTAAGTAGTAGGGATCACCTCCCCGTCCAAAACACCCAAACAATCCGACGAACCCTCCCAAATTCATTTCCACATACATACCACCCCTCTCCCAAAGGTCCAAATCATAACGATTTCATTAACATCCCTCATCCTTTCTTCATCTCTTCATTGTGGCCGACATGTTCTTGCGTGAAGTGGGAGAGGGGTGGGTTCAGCAAACTTGTTGAGTTTGTGTAGGTAGCTTAAAACTGGGTGCCCTTGCGCTCCCGGCGGGCAGCGCACTTCTTGTGGATGAAGAGAGCGACGAGGCCGACAAGGACGATGAAGACGACGCAGAAGACGACAATGACACCAGCCTCCTTGCCAGCCCAGTTGCTGTGGCGCTTGGCGATGAGGTTGAGGGTGTCGCGGACGACAACGGAGCGCTGAATGGCAGGCATTTTGTGATGTCTGGACGAGCAAGGCAATGTTAGCAACCCTGCCTGAATGAAGCTGAATGGCGATGCCGAACAGAGGATTGTGGGAGGGAGGTTGGTGAAGAGTGGGGTATGATATGCAAAGGCTGCCGGAGGCGGTGAGATGAGGATCCATAGGCCGACTGTAGCCCGACTAAAGGCCGGTAGGTCCGGTGAAATGAACGGGGTGCGGAGTGGATATCGCGTGGGTGATGCGATGATCGTCGACCTCGCCAATCGCGGACGCCAATTGGCAAAGTGATGACGGTGGGGAAGAACGCCAGGTACCTGCAAGCTTGGCACTTGGCACCCGTCATGTTCCACCCTCCCTACCGTTCCACAAAGCCAAGCCAAACACACGAGCTCCAGTTGCCATCCAACGTAACCATAGCAAATCGCATAGCGAAGATCCGGAGCGGGCGAAGGAAAAAAAAGTCCCTCTACTCGCAACCCGAAATGCTGTGTTTCTCTGCTGCTGGCCACGCTGGCGGTTTGTGCTGGTGCGGTGTTTGACTTTGCTTGGGAATGGATGACGGAAGCAAGGGAAAATCGCGCGACGCAAGAGGATCATTGCGCACATTGCGTCCACGTGATAGGTTGATGATGGTGACCGTGATATGGGAAGAGAAACAGACAGGAACTCGGGGAACGGGACGCTTACGGTTTGAGAAAACTCGAAAAAGAGCTGAGGTGTAATAGGTATTATTGATCCTGCGTTTCGCTAAACTGAAACGAATCGGCAAGGGCGAAGCTTCAAGCTTTGAGAACGGAGATGGGTTGGATGAGGGCCGTAGGGTCGAATTATATTCGATTATGAGGTGGATAAGAGGAGGAGAATTGGCGAACAACACAGGACGAGGGCAGGGAGATTTTGTGAGGATATGCAGAACCGACTTGGAATAGCGGGCTAGGGCGGAAAGTCTCCTGTCTGGATGATTGCTGTCGAGTGAGGTTGAGGGGAAAAAAAGGAAGAGAAGAGAGGAATGGGCGCGTGAATCGAGGGGGCAGACGGGGAAGAAAAGGAAGAGAGAAACAAAATACCTCCGGTGGAGCTTTTGTTTCCTTGTTCTCGGTTCCTTTTGGGGGGGTGCGTGTTGTGCGCGAGCGATGCCGCCGACTGATTGGGATGGGGTGTGAATCCGGCAGGAGAGAGTGGGAAGAACTCGCTCCCGTCGAACAGCAGCCAGACTGCAAGCTGCCAGGTTACCGTGCCGAAGTCCATCCCACGGCCCACGATACCAGCGACGCCCCGGTCAGGAAAACCCGCCGTCAGTGCGAGTGCGTTGTGGGACTGTGCACGGCACGGTGGCCAGCAGAGCTCTGGGCGCGGGAGGTTGACCAAAAGCTTTCACTTGGCCACCCGGACAGCCTGTCACGGTTGTCACTGGCCTGTCGACTCGTCGAGCCTGGCTCGCCTGGCTTGCAGGGCGGGAGGCGGGGAGCAGGGCATCCCTACTGCAGTGCGCGAATTTACCCCATGCTCTCTCGATGCGGGCCTGACCGTCAGAACGACACCCACCAACCAACGACACGACACCAACCGACTCCAACCACCACCACACCAGTCCGATCCGAGGGTCGATGGAGTGCCGTGACCTTTTTCTCCCAGCCCTGGCTATTCCCTGCAAAAGCTCTGCCTTGCTGAAAGCTTGGTGGTTCTCTTCGTCCCGTCCCTTCTGATGCTTTGCTCCCCTGCGAATAGCCTTACTAACAGCAACTTTGACATCAGACACCCAAACAGCGCCTGTCAAGCCTTTTCGGCGAAAAGAGAGTGACCCCTGGCCTCCCCTCTGGTCAACTCGGCCAGCGATCTCCGTCATTCCGCCCAGGTCCCATTCGACAACGAGCACGACCTAGCGGTGCCATTGCGGCGTTCGCTGCCGACACAAGCGGACACCGCACAATGCCGGTCGGTCGTGCTCCGCGCATGTGGATTACACTCTGGTGGTACCTGCTTCTTAGCCGTTGCCCTAGCTCACCTTGGTAGGTGTCGGTGCGGGTTGTACCTTTGTACCTAGCAGTGAGCCAACGACGAGAGGCACCAACGGCCCCGTTGTCCACCTCCCGCCGAACCAAGGCTCGCAAGGTACTGTGGTACAAGAAGATAGGGCAAGGGTCACCCGGTGGAGAAATTTGGACCGAGAATCACCGTGCAATCATGGCGATTTGCGACGAAAGCAAAGAAAAAAAAAACCTTCACACAAAAGCACGAACGAAGCACGACTCGCGGCGCCAACGACATTCGTTCAATCAGTAGACCCTCCACACAGACAAGGCGGTCGAGAAGAATCCACAGTTCTTCAGGTACCGTTCTGCCTACCGCGTATGGACGGAAACGGGAACCATCGGAGCGGCGCAACGATGGAACAGAAAAACCCTTTTAGGGTTTGGCTTTGCATAGTCGTGCATAGCTAGAGGAACCCTGAATAGTCGGGCGCAGACCGCATGTCTGGAGACCCTGAGATAGAGGGTTATGCAATGCTTTTGTGTGCGGGAATTGTTGACCGGGCAACATCAACGTCTTCGCAAGAGAAAACAAAGAATGGGAAAAAGCACTTCACCACTACAAGTCTTGGTGATACGCCAAGTTTAACCGCCTCGATTGCCGAGGTCTTGGATGGGGAACGTTCCTTCATCACCTTCGCTTCATTTTACCCCGGCTGGGGAATAGTTGGAGGAGATCACCACCGAGGTCGTGACTAGCGAGGCAGCTGAGTCCAGCACAAAGAGCATGGGGAAAGGCAGGGAATCGTCCTGGCGTCACGATCCTACTGATGAGCTGTTTCTTTGTGGTAACAGCACCAGCATATCGTAGTGGGGTGACGACTTGAACGAAGCACCCCGGCCATAAGCTCGGACCAGCAGGCTGGAGAGTGGAACAAGTCATTTTACCTGGGCTCCAGTCGCATCTCCATCTTGGGGGCCATCTTGACTCCATTCGACGAACTCAGTAATTGTCCATTGGTCACAGTGTCGCAATGGTCAGTTGGTCGGTGAAGAGCAGACGCAGAGCTTTGCCGTTTCGAAACACGCGCACCCTCGCGGCCACTTTGCGGGCTCTCTCGACAGTGCTTTTGATGCTCTGTTGCGGTTCCTCGACTCTGCGCGCGCACCATTTGGCACCATTTGGCACCAGGCCAGGAAGGGATCGGGAACCGCGCAGGAACGTCAGAAAACCCCACCTGAAAAAAGGTCGTCGAGGGTTCGACCTGGAACAAAAACTTGATCCGCCAGATACCGAAGATGCCTGATCAAAAAGACCAGGGAGCCTGTGCTCACTCCAAGCTCGCCCTCCGAAATTTGTGCTTATCTTCCCGAGTCCACGAAGAAGAGTGCCCACGAGCGGTGACGACTGTGGACGACAGCTGGAAGCCACCAGTGATCGTTCAGTGGTTACTCTCTGGGAGCCACAGGTGCTGCACTGGATTATTTCCGGTTGATTCCATAAGGTAACTCACCCTCTTGTGTTGCATGCTCTATGCATGACTCCACGCGACGATATGCACCAGTCATGTCCCGAGCAATGCATCTTGCGTTCCTTCGTGTGGATGCCCGCGCTGCCGCGGTTCCTTCAAGCTTTTTCTGCATGCGGCCCTTCCGAGCCTTCCATGCGGTACCCCTTTTTTGGCTGCAGCTTGCTGGCTTCGAGAAGTACCGTGGAAGCAGAGTGCAGCCAAAAGGCAGCCACTGAGAGAAGCCAGAATGACAGCCAAGGGCACTCAACTCAGGAACTGCCGGCATCCCACGACCAGGTGGACATCCGCTCAACACTGAATCTCGAATCTGTCAGGAACACAGAGGTTTCTCACTGTTTATTAAGGATGTATGGTGGACGGCGCACTGCTATGCAGCGGTTCCTCTTCCCTTGGTAATAAAAAATATCATCCAGGGCTTCTCGCTCCATGGCAGCAGCAGGCATATCGAAGCCAGTCCCATCCGAATCCTGCCAGCCTCGATGCTCAAACACACCATCCGAACGCCCTCATCCGTCGAATTTCCGTACCCGAGCCAACCTCCACACCTGTTCACTTTCACAGTACCCAACCTCCACGACCAAAATGCGCTAAGGGAAATATCCATCACTCTGGCTTAGCCCGGACGACTCCATTCAGCACGTGATCGTTGCCGGTCCGGGGACGGTGTACGGTTTGCCGTCTAAATCCGGTTGACCCAGCTTACCGTAAATGTTGATCAAGATGCCCGGGTCGTTCGACTTGTAAGCACCGGGGAAGCTCACGGTCGACGAAGGCGTGAAGGAACCGGACCCGGAAACGTTGATCTGAGCGCACGACTGGTAGAACTGGGCCTGGCCCGAGTTCTTCGCTGAATGCAAGGCAATAATCTCGACGCGCAGGAGATATTGGCCAGGCGCGATGCAGTTGGGCAGGTTGAAGTAAGTCCAGCCGTTGTTCTGGAGCATGTTATCGACACCCCATTTCCGGCTACCGGTATCGAAGCCATCCTGCCAAATCTTGAACCACTTTTGGCCGCTAGAGCTAGCCGATGCCGCGTTGTCGACTTTGGCAAGATAGGCGATAACTGGTCCCTTGTGGGACTTGGCGAAACTGGGCGCCGCCGATGACATGCCCCCAGAATGCGCCGAGTCGGTCGCCCGGTGCGACGTTTATTACGGCCTGGGACCTGGTGCCCCAAGCTCCGCATGCCATGTTGCCGCTGCTCACATCCTGAACGGGGTTATTGTTCCCCGGAGCACGGATGCCCGTGAGCTGGCCGTTGTCTTTGCCGTTGACCGAGAGTTTCTAAGTCCCCTTGTCAGCCCCAAGTCCCGTTGCCTGGAAGACAGAGTGCGTTCTCTATGCTTACCTGGAAGATGGCATGTGCCTCCACTGCTAGCCCGTACGTGATGAGAGATAGCAGTGAGATCTTCATTGTGAAGCCTGTTGAATTGAGCGGTGCCTATTGGGGATTGCCTGTCTTGCTCTGGTAGAACAATCCCACCGTATGGCTGCTCTCACAACTTCATATTTATATCCGCTCCAACGACTCTTTCCATGAGCATACTTGCTAGATGGCAGCCTTTATCGACGGAGGTAGTTTGTCCATCCGAGAATTGCACCGAATCCCTTAAGTCCCGAACAAGTCAGAAGCCACATATAAATGAATATCACGGCAATCCCTGTTTCCATCATCACTTGGGACAAATGGACTGCGGTGTCCAGAGCTTGTCAGGCGGCTTGCAAGATCGGTAATCCTTGGAATGGCGGGGCCCCGGATTATGAGAGTGTGTCCGCAATCTATTTTGATAGAATGGTTGTAGATTGGTTCCGGACTCAAACGCGATCGAACGGGTTGGGCATCGCTACCATCAACGGCCGTCCCGTCTTTCAGATTGCGTCTGGCATTAACCGGGCCAGTCACGGGGCCAATTACCGGGACAACTCAACGATATCTTTGCTGACATAGAAATAGGGACAAGACGGATGAAGTCGAAACTGAGCCGGACGACGAATGAGGAGAAAGCAGCATACTATAAGTAACACTGCGATGATGTCGATCGACGGGCAGCCTGTGTCAACGATTCCGGTGGGATTGATATGCCAGCTTTGACTGTCGAAAACTTGTCCTGCGACACTTTCTCAAGCTGGTCGTGATTGATGGAAAAATCATAGAACAGCAGGCGACTCGGATTGTTTAACCTCTTTTATAGAGAATTACAGTACAATACTGGTTTGTTTGTTAGTTTGAGACCTCTGGTCAACTTTCCTAGGCGTTTATATATCTAGTTGATCCGTTTCGTTCTATAACCAAAGCGTAATCTTACCTTACATATGCTATTTTGAAAATCTAATATGCTATATTGAATTTTGTTGATACCTTTCCGATCCGTACTTAGCTATTCATTTTATCTTTGTGAAGTTTGGGACAATTCGGGATAGATCTCGTCCAGTATACCAGGAGTACCAAGCTAACAAACAAACCAGTATTAGATTGTACGTGCTATGGCAGACTGTTGTGCGCAAGTCAGAGTGATATATCTTTCCAGGCAATTGGAGGAGATGACATTGAACATTACGAAGGTGTTTTGCACGAATCCTTCAGAGTAGACACAGCTTTAAAGTAAGCTTTGCTCTGAGGAGAGAAGAATGAGCGGGGAGAAGTCCAAGGAAAGAAGGGTCATTGAAGACGGGACGGGATCTCACGTTGACATGAACTGATCAGCTGATAAAGCACGATTCACCGGACCACAATAGAGAATGCGCTTGCTCGCGCGGAAAACCAGGCTCAGGCAGAATTATGTGAGAATTGTGTTCTTGAGTAGTGGAATCATATGAAAGACTCAGTGCGCTTTCAATCAACACCTGTTGTGTAGGTGAATCAGTGAAGTGTCAACAAGCCCTCGATGTTGTCGTGAATATCAACTCGACTTGTGACGTTTGAGATGGTGGTGAGGGTGGATCCTCAAGCGGGACCGATGGCCCAGTATTCAACCCTAACCCAAAAGATGATTCCTGCTTGGCGTTAGGTCCGGCAGTGACCGGCAACAAGCTTTGGTCTTGCCTGCCTGGAGCCTGAGAGCTTCACTTTGCCAAGCCGCCGCTGGCACTTGTGAAGTCCCACTCTGGACTGTCCCGCGACGCCTGGGTTCTGGTCCAGTGTTGACTTTCGCGGCGCGCGACTCGAGCGTCAGTTTTTCCTTTGACTTGCGACTGACGACAACAGAAGACGCCCAGAACCCAGCCATTGACGAGCTCAACCTCCGCATGCGCCCACGGCCACGGCCATTCATCTACTATTAACCATTATCGACAGCGAGAACGACTTACAGATCACAAAAGCAGCTTAACCGATCGGCTGCAGTACGGGCGCAAAACGGACGACATCATCGACGAGATCAGTGACGATACTGATAGTCTTATCAACCCCATTAAGAACGAAGCGCGTCCTCCGACCACCCAGTACATCATCCATATCTTTCGACCAATCAACCTGATTCAATAAGTTACCATGGCGACGACCGTGACCCGAAATGTCCTAACTCCGGTCAAGCAAACCGCCCCCGCCGCCACGGTCCAAGCGAGCCCCGGCAACTGGAGGCATCCTCTACTGGCCGAGATAACGAAGCGGCGAAGTAGGACTGTCTTTGGCGAAGAGAACGTGAGGCAAATCGCATACAACTCTTTGGCTCTCTTCCTTATCGAGGGCCTACGGGCGGTTTTGCACCCTTACTTCCGCGTGGATTTGTACGTTGTTTTGTCTCCCACCGTCCCATCCCGGCCCATGAACCCAACTTAATCCTGGGAGCAAACAAGCAAGCAATGGTACCAACGATCCTGACCATTGTTGTATTAGCCTCACCTTGAGTTCGAAAAGCTACGGCAGCTGGATCTACGCCGTCCTCCTCCTGGTCCCTCTGTTCAACATCGTCGTGGCATTACTGCCGCTCTTCCGCCCGGCAGATGACCTCTCCGACATCCCCCTGACGCCTTCCCAGAGGAAGCTTCTCGGACTGCCGCCGATCGCGAAAGCGACCCCGGGGGCCACCGCTATCAGCACACCTCCCAAGTATTCTAGGACGCCATCAATGGCAGGAACGCCGGCTAGCATGAAGACGGGTGGCTCTGCGCTGTCGGTGGCCAATAACGGTAGCCCGGGAAGAACTCTCAACGCGCCGTACTCGCCTTCGCCCGTCAGCCCTCTGTTTCAGAAGTCTACGATGAACGTTCCCAGCCCGCTCGGCGCCAGCACGATGAGCAACCCCTTTGCATCGAGCATCAGCAGCAGCGCTTTTGGATCTAGCACAGGCAGCAGTGTGTTTGGTGAAGGTCCGGCCACGCCGACCCCGGCGTCTGGAAAGCGGTCGAATGTGTCGAGTGTTGCGTTGACCAACAAGTGGCTGTATGAGAAGCGAAGGAGGCTGGATTGCTGACTTCTGCTGGTATGTTCTCCTTAGGACTTGACTTTTGTTTGCTCACTCGCGCTTCCTCCTCAATCAGTGGTGGTTTCCTCCTATGTCGACTAGAGGTAGCAGCAGCGTGATGCAGCAGGGTCTGTGATCACCACCACTTCACTTTGGCGGGATTCTTCCTCCGGTCTTTGTGAGGAGTTTTCTTCCCTTCTGTATAAGGTTCTTGTATGTTAGCTATGGACTGGACGTTGAGAATGGTCTGCGTGGCTCTTTATTTTCATGAGTCGGCACGGTGATGTTCAGTCAGTCAATGATGGGGGTTTCCGTTTTGGGGCGCATTTTTCTTAGCGAGAAGAGAACTACTGATCCAAGATACCCATTTGTTTTTTTTCCAGCCCTAGAAGTCTACTTCTCAGTCTGTTGATATTCCGATCATGATCATGAGGGCGTGACAAGGCCCTATGCTACTTCTACTCATCGTAGGGGTATGGGTCATTTCACCTTGCATCGCTCTCTGTATTGTTGGTTGGTAGGTAGTACAGATTTTTGGTATTCATTCATCTGTATCTGAATCCAGCGGCCGTGTGCTGCTGCTGCTGCTCTTCAACTTCCATTCCTCCAATTGTTACTTTCCCCATGGTATCATTTGAGCTCTCAAAAAACAGAAACGGATCGGAAGAATAACAAAGCAAAAGGGGTCCCGAAAATATCCGCTTATCAAAAAGTGTTGTGGTTGAAGAAAAATCCATCCAAGCAAAATCTCCCTTTTCACATCAAAATCCAAATCACATCATGAGAAGTTACCACTTTTCTTCCCTTCTTCCGTCCTTTGATCTCACATCACCTCCGTTTCGCTCTTCACCCTCTCCCTACCGCCTTCGCCCCCCCTAAGAACTCGGCGACGGGCTCGGCGTATTAACCAGCGTATCCGGACTCTCGCCCTCCGACTGATTCCTCGTCGGCAGATTCAGCAAATTACTATTGTTCGCTGGTGGCGGCGGCACATTCGCAGCGGCAACCGCTTTGCCCTTCTCCGGTTTCGTCGATCTACCACGGTGCTTCTCTTCGTCGCTATCTTCCGCTTCTTCTGGGATCGTGGAGGTGCCGGGGGCGATGGCGACCACTACCGAGGGCGGTTTCTTGAGTCCGTTGTTGTTGTTGTTGTTGTTGTTGTTGTTGTTGTTGTTGTTGTTGTTGTTGTTGTTGTTGTTGTTGTTGTTGTTGTTGTTGTTGTTGTTGTTGTTGTTGTTGTTGTTGTTGTTGTTGCTGCCACTGCTGCTGCTGATTACATTCTCGTCGACGGGAGAAGCGGGGACGACGACGATTTTGTCCAGTGAGACGGGAGAGCCAGAGCCGAGCGTGCCATCTGTTGGTGACGAAGGAGAAGGAAAGGATGTTAGGGAGGAGCCACCACCACCGGCAGCAGTCTGTGGTGGTTGTTGCGGTTCTTTCGATGGCTGTTGCTGGTTCTGGTTCTGAGACTTTGCTTTTAGTCGCGGTTCCCGCGCCAACACTTCCTTCGCCAGCCCCTTCACGCCAGCGACGATAATCTCCGGCCGCGTGAAAGCTAGCAGACCTTCAGCGTGTCCGGAGGCGCGCTCTTGGAAGACAACGTCGTAGGCGGAGTTGCCCCATGCCGGGCAGACGTAGGTGTGTTTTTCGGCTGAGCGGGCGGCGGCTTCGGAGCGGGATAAGGGGACTTGCTTGTTGAGAGCGGGGAGCGCATCGGTTGATGCGCCTGCTGCAGATTTGGCTATCGCCGCCGTTTCTGTCGCTTCAGCTGCAGATTCCGGTGCTGCTGCTGCTGCTGCTGCTGGAGATTTGCTGCCGTTGCTGCTCCCGGTGCCAGTGAAGACGGTTATCGCGACCTTGGGCTTCCTATTATTCCCCTTTGTTGATTTCCCACCATCATCCTCAGGATACGCAGCACAATGCGCCCAGTACCTCATGGCCGTCTCCGGACCGGGTAACCACAACATATTCGTCAGCGTAATGATCTTCTCATGCGTGAAAGACGGCGACGACAAGGCCGCTTCATCCAACCCCATGGCGCGCAACCCCCTGAGCACGAAGACGAGCATGCCGGTGGGGGAGTCGCACAGCGCGTAAGCAAGCGTGTTGGGATCCTCAGCGAGACCACCGTCTCCACCGAGAGCGTTCAAGCCCATCATCTTCCTTTTTCCTTCACCGGCCGTCGTCTTCGTCTTCCCCCCGTTGCTGTCGTTATTCCTCGCCGCCGCCAAAACCCCCCAATCCTCTCCCTTATACCCCCACTTCTCCCTCTTCAACATCTTGGCCACCTTCCACTTAACCCACGCCCCGGTACCTTGTTCCTTTCTCGTGGGCGCTTTGAGGGGTGGAGCAATCAGGTGGGCGCCCACGCACGACTCGGCGTGGTGCGTAGCCAGCCTGTTGACTACCCGGAAGTCGATCGCGGCCGGCGAGAGGTGGCCCGGCCCGGAACCCGTGACGAGGTACTGGGCGTAGCCGAGGCGGCGCATCAGAGTGTCGAGAATCGTGGCGGAGGCAGGGATGGGCGGGAGGTTGGCGGGGAGGGCGTCGCTTAGGCCGAGGCCGGGGAGGGAGGGGATGATGAGGTGGAAGGCTTGCTGACTCTCATTTTCTGATGCCGCATCGGGATCCGTGAGGGGCTTGATGAGGTGCCCCAGGGACAGGTTGGTGAAGGGGAAAGGAGGGACCAGGAGGAGAGGCACGGCGTCGGGATGGGGAGAGCGGGCGTGGATGAAGTGGACTCGGAGGGCGGCGTTGTCGAGATTCGGAAGGGTGATGGTGGTGCGGAACTGGGGGAGGGTGTTGTTGAGCGTGCTCTCTGCTTCGCGCCAGGAGTACCTCTCGAGCCTATGTAGGAGCCATATGTTAGTCTAGAGTCCCGAACCTTCTTCCGGTATGTTTAAGTGTGCCCTCTGATGTGTTGTGCATACCAAAAGTCAATGAGCGGTTCCACGATCGGCTTTGGCTCCCACCAGTCTTTAGACTTGTTGGCTGAGCTGGAGCTGGAGCCCTCATGGGGAAGACGAGTAAGCTCCAGCTTCTGTCTGGTGAGGTCAAGATGCTTGGTAGGGATCTGATGATCTCGGATTAGCCATATGTCTCAGCATAAAGACGAGTTGAGTTATGTGTACTCACATGAATCTTATAAACCTTCACTTCCTCACCAGGGGCTACCTGGACATCACTGCTTGGATCCGCCATTGTTGATCCAGCTCTATGATTCCTCGTTTCCAAAGAGCTTGTTATGCAGTATTCGAAGTTATGGGACGAGACAGGTGAAGATGGCTATGGTTAGTAAATTATAAGTGCAAAGATATATCGAAAATGACAGTCGAGAAATCGATCGACACAGTTCACAAGTAAAAACAAAAAAACAGTTGAAAGTTTCAGTGCCACCTAGACACGCAGAGGTCCTTCAACGAATATGTATACATGTGAGAAAGGAAGGAAGGAAGGGAAAAAGAAATAACAGAACGAAAAGGATCTTCAGCCACCAGATGGGGATATGGGTCTGGGCTGAAGAAGACCAAAAAGAGGTAGGGGACTAGGTAGGTATGGTCGGTACCTAGCTTGAGAGGAGGAGGTAAGGTGTAGTGTAGAGGCACACCCCCCCCTAGTTTATAAGTACATACAGAAGAATATTTGAGGACCTGCATGCGGACTCGCAAAAAGCCGTAAAGCCGTTGGCGCACCTTTATCAGGCCATCCGAGAAGCAGGCCAAGAGAAAAAGTACCTACTTTTTGCTGTGCTTATGCAAGGTCAATCATGTACATTCATGCGCGCCCAAAAGTAGTAGCGCCAGAAACACCACGGCAGATTTGTTCCAAGCCATTCTAGTGTACTTCCTCGGGTACGCAGTGTACCTACCCGCATTCTTCTCCTGTATGCTGTACCTATGCTGTATGTACAGTTGTCGGATTATAGCTATTTTAGTTTTAGCCTCTGTTGTTTGTGGAATGGGTTTTTGTTTATCAACTGCTTGTTCCCCCCTCCCCTCCCGGTCCGCATTTCTCTGTTACCTATCGCATCACAAACTTCTTTCTTTTTGCTTGGCTTGACCGGAGGAAACCCTACGAGAGGGACCCGGGATCTGGTACAAGGAAATGACGGCAGCAATGCGCGCCATATCGCCAATGATACCGTACATAGTCATATTTAAGGGGTCGGACTAGGTAGGGGGGGTTGGGCCTGTTTGGCTTGGTGGGGAGAGGGGGTACATATTGACCGGACTGACGACAAGGTCACAAGCCTGCAATGCGAGAGGAGGGCCGAAGAGAAGAGGAGAAGAGGAGACAGAAAGAAAGAGAAAGAGGGTCTCGAAAGCAGAAACGGGCGATGCCAAATCTCCAAATCAAGTGAACGAAACCGAAGTTCGTCGCATATCCACATCCACATGCGATTCTGGGTGATGGATTTCCGGGGTCCGACTGCGTACACACCATGATGTTCGACAATGAACATGGACCGTTTTCCCAAGTTCCAGAAACTAACCTCAAGCCACGCCCATTGGACGTTATGATTCTGTTTACACAGTAGGTAGTTCTCCCTTGATGTCCCTTTCCAAAGACCAATGGACGTTTTAGAGCCTCTCGTCCGTCGTCCATCGTCATCCCCACGAACCGTTGGACTTTCACTTGACGCGCGCCGCGCAAAAACGCACCGCACCCAGGCGATCTCACAAGTCACAACCCACCACCCTGCCGCCTATCTGTGGCTAGAGCACCCCCTTGCACAATTGGACTTGAGGGTCTTCTCCTATCTCCATTGGCCAGTGTCCCCATTTGCCGCGGTAGCAGCCACACGAGCCGTGCCTTGGAAGTCATGAAACAGTGGCGGTGCTGACGAGTCCTTGAATTAGTGCGACCTTGGCGAACCCTTGCAGGTTTCGAACGGGAAATTGATCAACCAAGGGTCCGACCAACCGAAGATTCGACGATGAGATGCAATGGCAGTGTGTCACTTCAGTTTGGTTGTCTCGGTTGTGCCTGCGGGGGAAAGTTTGGGGTTCTTCCTTTGACCTCTCGGAGAACATTTGAGGTTTGCGGAGAGAGACATCAGACAAAAGGTACCTCTAGCGAAGAGTGAGCGCAGGGCACTTAAACCAAGCATCAAGTAACCGCGGTACATGTCACATCATCGCTTGACATCATCTTGGGATTTTAGATGAGGCCAAAGCAATGTCTGTTATTACCACCGAAACTCGACCAGATCGCATTGTGTGTGTCACCCACCCACCTGCCCAATTGATATTGTATGTCTTATGCTACACGACATGTAAGCAAGGCGTCCGTATGCACTCGCCACTCTCGTAGATAGAGCCCTGCGCCAACAATGTGGCTGGAGGGTGTACAGTTATAGTGATATGGGATCTTCAAGCTCATTATTTTGTTATCTAGAGGTAGGTATTTCTGTAGTTGTTCTATCATTGCTCTCGCCACAACTGGCTGAGCAGATCTGTGGGCGGCCTCCCTTGGACTCATGTCCGCCCATGATTATCAGTCCTTTGCAGAACCAAGTTCTTGAAACCTCCTATCACATCCCCAGGCATGTTACCCAACAGCTCGAAGAAGGCCGCTCACTTGTAGTGTAATTGATCGCCACCACACGACGCCGGTCTTCTTGTCGCCACAATGGCACCTCAGCCACAAACAAAACCAATGACTGCAATTGGTGTTCCCCCTATTTCCCTTCCAAGAATCATACACAACAGCCAACAAACCAAGCTGAAACCCATCACCACAGATTCTTCTAGCCGCTCCTCCGCGGGGCCTGGGCTCCTCCTGGAGGAACAGGTGAACCTGCAGCTCCCCGGAGGTTGATAGCTCCGATGCGAGATACGATGTTGCTTCCAACCGCATCCACGGCTCCACGGGGGGAAGTCAGCGAAGGGCCCTGTGCTGCCGTCTGTTGCACATGGAAGAGCTTGATGTTGGTCGTGTTCCAGATGCCCACAGTGCCTCTGGCAACCTGCATTTCGCTGGCAAAGACGAACCCCCAAAGAAGGGACTCGTACCATCCTAGCGCCATCGGTGACCATTCAAACATGTGAACCCGTACTGGGGAGGCATCCACGCCAACAAGTTGGATCTCCTGGATCCTCTGTAAAACTGCCGGCGTGGGCGAGTCTGTAGCAATGGATTGGCGAGGTAGCAGCGCCGTGAGCTGATTGATCAGCGTCAAGATGGTATGAAGCGGCAGCTCTGGGAGCCAGCTATCAATCCATTCAGCGGTTGGCTCAAACGCCCCGGTCTGGGACTGGCCGGATATAGAGTAGCCGCCCAAGCTGCTTGTGCTGTTTTGCCGGGAGAAGCGCGGTCCTGCCGGCATCTTACCTCTGGCCTTTTCCGACATGCCTCGAAGCTGTCTTGGTACATCACTGCCATCCGCATGGGGTTCTACAGAAGATGCACGGGACGGGTTCTCGCTATGGCTTGAAGGAGATGGAGTAGGCCGTTGCTCATCATCGCTGTCGTCATCGTCACCAACGGCGAATGCTCCATCCTCGGGAACATCATGGAGTGTAGGTACCCGCGTGATAGACGCTGTGGGGCTCCGTAGACTCTCCAACGAGCTTCTCGTCGAGTTAGTCTCCAATGGGTCATTTGAGGCAGCAGCCTCCTTCTTTTTTCGGTTACGTCTCTCTATCTCCTCCTGGCCACTTTCCAATGTGAAAGAGCGCAGGGCTTCGAATCGCTTTCTATTCCTAATAATGGCGTATATGAAGTGGGGGTTCTCTGCGGGAATTCGTCAGAACACAAGTCAACTAACTTCCCAGTGATGGTGTGACTTACTCTTATACTGATGCTCCACAATAGCATTGATGGACTCCAACAATGATCTTAGTAGGTTATGATTTGTCTCATTCGCCATCAGGAACGAAGGGGATGACATTGAGTTATAGAGTTGGATGAGTCTGGTGCAGGTAGATCCGCTGAGCCCTTCAAGGTAAGCGGATATGTTATTAATAACAGCCAGGAGCGCAGGATAAATGACGGTCAGCTTCCCCTGACTCTTGGTGATGAGATTATATATAGACTAAGCAGCTGGTTAGAATCAGAGCTCCAGATTTGTGCTTGAGAAAACTCACTTGGATTAGGAAGTCTGCATAGGTTCCCCTGAAGCCAGTAATCCGGATAGCCGGAGGAAGTGTCTCTTGGGCCTCAAACATTTTGTTGAGATTGATGCCGAAGTTCTTTTCTGCGCTCAGGGTCTGGAGCAGGAAAGCACACATCCTCACCACGCCCTGCTTCGAGGCGTCGCCCTTGTACTCAAGCGCATAGAACAGGACAAAAATTACAAAGTCGTGTGCCCGCTCAGTGTCGATCATGAAAGAGCGGAAGCGTTTATTGCACTGGGTCAGTTCCCAGAACAGCATGATGGTCTCGGGGGCGAACCGAACTGAGTTCTGTGCCCCTGGGATATAGGAGGCGTTGGCCTGGAGCGGTTGATGCAGTATCCGTGTCATGCCGTCCACGATGAACTGGAAATCTTGGGGGCGATGGAGCCTGCCAGCAAAGTGACGGTAGAAGTTCTTGGGTGTCAGAACTCCTGGCTCCTCTGGGACAGGGTAGAGCAGAACCACCAAGAGAAACTGCAGAGTATATGTGACGAGAATTTGTTTGGGATCCTTGAAAACTAGAGTGTTGTACGGCACACGCCAGGTGGCAGGGTTATACTTGAGTGTCTAGCACATGATTAGCATGTGTGACCTGCGGGGACGAATATGGTAACTTGCCGTGTTCAGTAGCGAGCACAAGACCGAGAGAACCACTTGCTTGTCTGGACAAGTGCATATGTGGGTGAGGGCCCGGGTTCCCTTCAGCGGCAAGACACTCAGCGACATATACATGCTTTGGCTCGTCAGGGTCAGCAACAGCCGCAGGATTTCACATCGGTTGCTCTCATGTTCTTTGGTAGTCGGTATCGACGTCGCACAGCCCACGCCGCTCTGCCAGATCGAATAGCTGACTTTGGGACTGCCATGTGGTTGTCTTGGTACCGTAAGGTCGGAGAAGAACAACAAATCGACAAGAGTGTCGATAAGCTCCTCAGCTAGCGGCTTTGCGTCCTCGAACTCTTCGGGCGGTCTAGGCTGGACTTCTTGCGACTCGTCGAAGAGCACCTCGTTGGCTATTAGAGATGTCCTGGTGCGTTTGCGACGGCGGGCCCAGAAGAAGTTCTCCTCCCAGGCTTGGAGCGACTCTTTCTCGTAGAGGAACGGGAGGATGCGGGTGAGGACTCGGATGCAGTTGAGAGCATGACTGTCGGGAGCGATCTCGGGATCGGGGAACGAGGGGTGGTGACGGAGTACAAAGAGTCGCGATGTCACGGCTAATATCAACGTTTCCAGATTCTCCAAGGCATTGTCTCGGGTTCGGCGAACGTCGGCAGGGGCGAACAGACTGAAGACATCTTCCGAGGTTTCGGGCAATTCCCAGAACTACAAACACCAGAAAGTTACACGGTTAGCCCCAGTTACCGCTAGATGTGGATGAGGACGGGTTCATGAGGGTATACACAAGAGGGCGGGCGGAGGAGACAGCTGGGTATCAAGGGCCATGGACTAGGCAATACTGACTGATGTCCAGTAGGTATCATCGGCGGGGATGTGTCGTTCTTCAGAGAGGCGGAAGATGCCCTTCTTGAATACTAGCTTAGAGTCGCTCGCACCCATTTTGGCAGCTTAGGGACATAGCATTCATTGATATCATGCCACAAAATAAAATGAACCGGGAGCGGAGGATGGAAAGGCAGAGGTAGATCCGCTATGTCTCGTTTCTTGACGTGTCGCTGGCTCGTTGGAGTGGTGGACTTGTGATGATTTGCAGATGGTTTGGGTCAGTGCAGTGAGGTGCAACCGGCTCGTTACATCACAGGCTGCGACTGTCAGAAGTGTGTCTCTGTCCCGGGGGAAGCTACTGTGTAAAGGGAAAGTGGTTCCACCCCGGGAACCCCCAGGGCATCGAATCGGTGGATCGATCTGGTCTGTGCGTTCTGGGGTCGGCCAGCACGGCATGCTGCCGTTTCAATGTTAACCCATATGTAACCCTAACCCAGCATCATCATCATCACGATCTGGCCTTATCGACAATCCGTCAAGGTGCCCTTCCGAGTATCAAAGCTGGCCAAAACCGCTGATGACAGCAACAACAACACCATTATCAACCTTTCCCACCGAAACTGTGTGGACCTGCCCATGAAATCTTTCAGGTGACATCGGACTAAAGAATTGTGTTTACACCGACGTCAACGGTCTCCTGGTTACCCCCTCCTTCGGAGCGCATCTTGAACCCCAAGCTTCGAGACAGGGACCATCCACCTATTCGCCCACCATGTATACATCAGTAGTAAGACTACAGAATGTTTTTGGCTTCTTCACAACAGTCGCCTTTGTAGTCGCGGCCTTCATCGCCGCCTCCGACTTCGTCACAGAACGGGCGCCGATTGTTCGAACCCTCAAGACAACCAGTGTCCAAGTGTGAGTTGTGATGCCTGCCCCCCCTCTGTACCTGGACACGCGCGAACCTCTTGTGCCATGCACCTCCCATCATGCAAATCGCCTGCTAACCAACTGCCAAATCCCAACAGCGTCCGAGGCCGACCGCACTACTACAGCAGCAAAAAGGAAGAATACGCCATCATCAACTTCTCTCTCGACGCCGACCTCTCCTCGCTCTTCACATGGAACACCAAGCAAGTCTTCGTCTACGTAAGCGCTGAGTGGCCGGCGGCCGACCATGCGAAGACGAATGCCACCAACGAGGCCGTGATCTGGGATACCATCATCACCTCGCCTAGCGCCGACCACCTGGCCAACATTGGTCCTGTGGCCATGAAGAAGCTGCGGAAGAGCGCTGGCGGGAAGAGTATCGATCCTAACCGGTAAGCACCACTGCCTACCACATACCTCTTCTGTGACCTACTTACTTACTAACTCTATTTCTGAATAACAGCGGTAAACTCTCCCTCAAGAACCAACGCCACAAGTACAAAATCACCCACCCCTCCGGCAAGCTCGCCATGACCGACAACGTCACCCTCCGTCTGCACTACAATGTCCAGCCGTGGGTTGGTCTGCTCACCTGGGACCAAGACGTCGACTACGGGTACTGGAAGGCTCTGAAGAATGGGGTGAGCAAGCGCTTCAAGCTGCCTGCAATTAAGGAGAAGAAGGCGGCGTCGGCGGGCGCCCGGTAGGGGTAACATGGCATGGGAGAAGGAAGGAGGAATAAGGGTTGTTAGGGTGTATGGAGAAAAAGCGTAATAAAGCTATGATAACGCCAACATCGGTCCTTTTAGAGAGAAGTTAGGGCAATGTCGCAGTTGGTGAGGTTCCAGAACTCATATCAGTGAATGGGTTCTAGTACGGACGGGCTCGTGGCATCTCATCTGTGAAGAGGCCCATGATCATGTAAACGAAATACGGAACAGGGAGCAAGTACCACAACCAGGAATGGACCAATGCCTGGACTTTCTTCCACAATGTATAACCTGCTGTTTTGTTTCTTTTATTTATGTCATTCATGTTGAAGAGCAAGCGTATCAAGCTACCATAGCAGTTTTAAGGGTTAGGGCAAGGAGGACGGTGATATATGGACAATGTGATCTTTGTTTCCGCTATACATATGTACACCAAAGATAAGGTATACTCCACTATACACTATGCTCAGTGGTTCGCAATACCATACGTCCTGTAAGACCCGTTGTGCGCTTACTCCAATCCATCCACAAGGAGTATAAACAAGTTCGGTACTGAGCAAGTCAAGTATATACAAGTACATGATGTCCCATACCTTCAACACATAACGCTTGGTGTAGCTTGAGCCGCTTATGCCCGGAGGCGCAACTACTGTGAACCGCTGCCCCTACCACCGCGACCAGCACCACCACGACCACGTCCTTCACCCCTACCCCGACCGCCACGGCCACGGCCACCACGGCCACCCCTAGGCGAATCGAGGCTAGCGGGAGGCGGGACTGCAGAGTACACGCCGGGAGCTGGCGAAGCCTGCTGCTGGGCTTCACCACTCAAGTTATCATCGACGTTCGCGAGGGCAGGCGCCGACTGATCAGCACCTCCTGGCTTGCCACCGCGGCCACGGAAGTTACCCCTGAAGTTACCGCCACGTCCACCACGAGCGCCTTGAGGGGTACCGGGGCCAGGGGAACCCTTAAAGCCGGGGTCCGGACCATACGGCTGTCTCTGGGGCTGCTGATGACCGCTTGGGCCGCTGGGAGCCTGGCGATAGACAAGGTTCTCGCCCTGCTGAGGACCATTCTGCTGGTGAGGCGACTGATAACCTCCACGACCACCCCGGCCACGACCACCGCCGTGAATAGCACCGCGCCAGGTTCCTTGCAGAGGAGGAGGCTGGGGTGCATCACGGTATTGCTTGCCATTAGCCTGCATCCCGTAACCACCGTGAGCCGTCAGTGTCGTAACCGAAGGATTGGTGGGTTGTCTAGCCATGGCTGCCTTGGAGCCAACAACGACTTGGCGGTTGGAAAGGTTGAGGCAGGTGTGGGATGGCACCGTCTGGCCACGGAAAGGAGGGCACCGGTCACCGAGAGTGGTCCCACTCATGAAAGTAACATCGAAGACCACATCCAGCAACTTGGCCGTCGGGACGCGGCTGATACCCACCACAGTTCCACGGTAGGCGATGGGAACCTTGCCAACCTCAGCGACATAAACGACACGATCACCCAGGCTGAAGTGCTGGTTTCCAAGACGATGTTCCGCGTCACGAGGGCGCAGCAGAGCATTGCGAGGAACGTTGGGCATCCTCTTGTTCGCTGCAGCTAGTTGTCCGAGCTGCAGCCTGTCGGCTTCGGCAGCGAGCCTCATGACAACATCGGAATCAAGCTGCTCTGCGTCAAGTGGAACTCGCTCCATCTGGCTCGTCTTCAGTGTCTTCAACCAGGCACCGATCTCCTTCACTCTAGCCGAGGCAACAGCCGGCTCGGGCCAGAGATCCGTCTCAGTCAGCTCGGCGCTAGAGGGATTCTGTTTAACGGCAGCAAAGAAATCTGGAAACTTTGTCATATACTCAGCGAGCATCGCGGTAGCAAGCGGACTGAACTCCCAACCGGTTGCGGACTTGCGGGAATAGCCAAGCACTTTCTGCTTCTTGCCTTCAAACTTAAGGTTGAGGCCTAGGTTGACCCGCAAGCCGCCAAGTGTTGTGATGAAGTAGGACGACGTGATCTTGCTCAAAGTAAGAGAGTGAAGGTCCAATTCCCTCGCAACCTTCCATGACGGGGAATATGGGTTGTTCCGCTCTGCGTCCAACATAATCTGGCGAGCAAAATCCGGTTCCCGCTCTTTCAAGGCGGCAAGCAAGACAACAAGCTTGTTGTTGCTGTAACCTTCAACTTCAACTGGGCGGCCATAGTTGAATTCGCCCAAGAAGAAGCCAACGGACTTGATGGGAAACTCTTCCTCAAGAGGCAAGGCAGCCCTCTCAATGAAACGTTCATCCTCGTTGACAACCTCGTCGACAATGATCTGTGCGGCATAGTCCGTCTCCATGCCGGGAATCGGGCCGTACTCCTTCACTGTAGCGCCTTCATCGGTTTTGGTCAGGCCCTTGAGCATGTGCACGTGGACCAACGACTCCACCTGACCGATCAATATACCTAGCCGCTTGCTGTAGAAGTTCTCAATGCGGTGAGCCGTCTTGCCCCATTGCTCGATGTCCCGCGAGGAATGATTACGCGATACCACCTGTCCGCTACCATCTTCTGCCAATTGATAATCAAAAAGCTCGTCGGATACGCCCACGATTTTAGCCTCTTGAAGGAAGGGATAGCCAACGAAGCAGCGCTTTCCAAGCTTGCGCTTCGCTTCCTCGACGTTGGTGCGCTTCTCCGTATCCAGGACATTGACGACCATGCTCTGGTTGCGACTCTCCGACTGGAACACATTGACGCCATGGAATCCAAGAGAGGCGGTGTATGGCAGAGTAGCCAGAGAAGGGAATCCAGCCAGCGCTTCCTCGTTCAGCAGAGCACCGTCGGTTAAACCAACACGATACTCCAGTCCCTCCACGGGCGGAAGATCGAAAATGTTCTCGATACAGTGGCAGTGGGCGATGGACGGGAAGACTCCGACAAGGGAGGAAGGGTATTCAAAATCCACTGAATCGGAATACGTAAACTTGAGGGCGACACCAAAATCGTTCCTCGACTTCTCAACGTCCGAGAGGAGTTCGTTCTTGGGGCCCATTGCTGTGAGCAGCCGCTTCTCGTCAATGAAGGGAATCTTGACGACGGCTTCCCAGTCCATCTTCTTGCCATTCATGTCGAGCTCAAAGTCTCTTGGGTAGAAGTCGATGATGGGAGAATCGGGGTTCGTCATAAGATCCCAATACACTGTCGGCACAATCTTTTTGCTGCGGTCTGGCAAGACACCCATCAGCTGCTCATATGGCTTGAACGGCTGACCCATCTTGAAATTGAGGTCGGCCTTCAGGCCTTTCATGACATCGGAAATCATGGGAGCATAGTGGTAGCGATAGAACCAGGGCCAAGAAGCAATACCACGGTAGTAGTAGTAGAGCACCCATTGAAGACCCTGGACGTAATTCTCCGTCAACTTGCGGAGTTCATCCTCCTTGTTTTCCGGGGTCCAATCCTCGAACTTCTCGGCATAGTACTGGTCTTTCCACTCCTGGAACTTTTGCTGGTACTTGACCTCCATGGCAGCCTTCGAGTCGGCCGCAGTTAGATCCAGGACTTGGGCGTTGTCGTACTTCTTGATGATACGGAGAACGGCTGACTGGGCTTCCTCGTCCTCCTCCGACTCGTCATCTCTCTCGGGGAAGGACAAGATTAGGTGGCGGTGTCCCTCATCATCTTCCTTAGTTGCCCAAGAAATGTGGGCAGTATCAGCCAGGTCTTGGACAAACTTGCGGTCCTCGGCCTTCAACTCGGTACCGAGATCAAGGGTGTTAGTACTCCTGTTGGTGAGGAATTTCCGAATCTTCTGCTTCCAGAGGTTCTTCTGATTCGTGGTGACGATGAGCTTGCCCTTGATCTTGGCCTTTGCTGTCTCTGTCTCGTCATTTTCGAGCATCTTCTTGGCCCGAAGCCAGCTTTGATCCTCATGTTCATGTTCGAAAAAGCGATACTCCTCCTTGCCGAGTTCTTCCAGAAGCAGGCCGAGTCTCTGGAGGTTGACCTTACCGCCCTCGTTGATATATCCGTCGCCGCGTGGAAGAATTTCTTTGTATATCCTGAACATGAGCGAAAGAGCGCCTTCATTGATGTGAAGGCGCGGAAGGTTGGGAAGGAAATCGTTTCCGACAAAGAAGGCCATGAGAATGAAGTCGTCAATAACCTTCTCCATATCGAATGGAAAAGACATGGCTCCAGGTTTCTTGAGATCCTGGAACTCCAGCTCCAGGTACTCGCGGACTATGCAAAGATGCATCAAATAGAAGTTTTGTTCCTCCAGTCCCTTTGCCTTATGCTTAGCTGGGCCGCGGCCAAAGGTAACTTCCTCGCGCAGAAGGCAGAAGTGAGGATCATGGCTGAGGAGGCCAAGCATGATCAGATCGGCGTCGAGACCATACAAACAGTGACGGACGTTCGCGTCGTAGTCGGGTTGAGCGCGCGCATTGCGGATGTACTCCATGATCTTGTGCTCACCCTCACCAGGGACCTCGTGTCCAGACAGGACAATCTCGGGCTGTTGCCAGTCCCTGTCTTCTGATACCTTCTTATTGATGAAATACCTCAGCTGTTGCGACAGCTTGGCCATAAATTCGGTTCCTAGGCAGCTAGTTAGGCTCCGGGAAAACACTCAGTGGGGACCAGTGCCAGACATACCAGGTGTAATGCAGTTGCTGTCGAAAGGTTCTTCTTTGGGCAGTTCCTTGCCCTCACGAATCGCCTTATCTCTGGCCTTTTCGTTGTCCAGCGCGGTACGGAAACGACGAGCACGCTGCTGGTTCATCTTGGCGCGAGGAGCAACGCCATCTATAGCCATGAAGAAGAGCTTTTTGGGCTTGATTTTCCCGAAGAGATGTTCAATGTAGTTGAATATAGCAATGAACATCTCCTCCTCTGTCATCCGGAATTGTACATCGCTCGTATCCTTATGGGTACAGTTGTGGATGATACCGTTCATGTCCAACTGGGTAAACCGGTTAGCTAGGAAAGTAACGCAAGATAGCCATCAGGCCTCGGAAGGGAGCAGCGAACATAAAGGCAATCGAACTCGGGGATACGGTTCTCGGCGATGAGCTGAGAGATGGCGGGATACCGCTCCGAGAGCCATCTGAAAAACTTGGGAACACTGGATGAGAGAAGGTATTAGCTACATGTCTGAACAACGCGCGCGTATACGGCGAGGGGGGAGCTTTGAGAGTAACATACCCCATGTTGGCTGACTGGCGTGTAGCGCCGGACTAGATGTGTACACTACTAGAAGTTTGCGAAGGAGGTCTGAAATCGGGGCGCGCTGAGCGGTCGCAGGAGATGTTGCAGAGTCTACCTAGTTGCTGCTTTCAAGGGGCGAAGAAGAGGCGACAAGCTGGTCGTTCAGATGCCGGCGCTGAATAATAATGGCCGGGCTTTTAGGTAGCGAAACCTCCAGGGATCGCAATGGCACAAAAAACCGAAGGGGGACGAAGCAGCAAGATCCAACTAAGCTTCCAGGCTTCCTTTTGAAGGATAGTATGGAAAGCTACAGGACTGAAGATGCTGTCTGGAAGGGAGGAAGAGGCGTGTCTTTCGAGCGACGGACAGCGGCAGTCGGGAAAAGAAGCTACTATACTGCTAACAAAAGCGAAAGGATAGAAAATCCGAGGAGGGGCCTAAAGCGTGGCGGCTATGTGTAAGGTAGAGATAGCAGAAGAAGTGGTGATGTCTACGAGAGATGGAAAAGTGGAAGTGGAAGGTCCGTCGGTCGGGTACCTTCAAGAGGCGAGATAGCAGAGGTGTGGATGGGACGGGGAAGGTGTCCTGGGCTCCGGGCTGGCTGTTCAGGCTGTGACACACTGCAGTTTCCAGTTGGCCTCCATTGCCCCACGGGCTGACTCTGCCCGGCCAGGCCAGTGGTGAGCGCCCGCCACCTCATCAGGCTCCCTGTCGCTGTCAAGGTGACGAGCCCCTCGACGAGCGGGACAGAACTGAGGTGAAGCTGTTCGGGCGGGCAATGTAGCACGGACCACCTGGTATCCCCGGTCCGTCACTGCTCGGCTCAGGAGTGACATCAAGGAACGCCTTCCCCACCGGCGCCCGCGCTGGCTTGAGGCTCTGTGGAGTACCTTGACGAACCCTTGTCCCATCCGCCCTGCAGCACCGTCGTCTCTCCAACGGAACTGAACCCCACGAAACAGCATTCGTCAAAGTGCCCGTGGTGCATGAAAAGGCGGAAGAGAATGGCAGAAATCAATTAATTGGAAGTCGCGTCGCGTTTAGAGGTAGAGGTAGTTAGCGCTTCAACCACTGCAAACGCCGTCCGTCGCATGGGCAAATCACTTTAACTTGTTGCGCCTTTGATTCCCATCCCCCGCCATTACTTTCCTCACTTTTGGAATCTTAGACCACCTGGAAACTTCCGTTGAAAGGAACATCTCTCGCGCTACTTACTGAACGGGCATATCCATCTACTCACGCTCATTGTTCAGAGAGCTTGTTTCCATCCCTGTGGCCTTCGCTCTCACATCCGTGGTGGCTCATCCAGCACCAGGCAAAACTCCCACTACAGCTGCGCAACGCGAAAAGCGACTCTTGGCCACCTCCAGAACATCTATTACACCCGGCCACCCCACTCACGTTATCAGCTTCACTGAACCCACAAACTCAAGATGGCGCGCGACGAGATTGTCGACGATGTTGACGGTAAGCTTATGAAGCTCGGGTTGCGAGCTTGCTGCCAGCCTGTGCAAAAGTGCTGACGTTAGGACGCAGTCAACATGGAGGAGGACGACGCCGAGGCCGAGCAGCGCCTGATCAACGAAGAGTACAAAATCTGGAAGAAGAACAGCCCCTTCCTCTACGACATGATGCTCAGCACGGCCTTGGAGTGGCCTACCCTCACGACACAATGGTTCCCCGATGTCAAGAACCCCAAAGACAAGAGCCACACCGTCCACAGACTGCTTCTCGGAACCCATACCGCTGAGGGCAAGCCCAACTACCTCCAAATCGCCGAAGTCGAGATCCCTAAGATGGTCGAGCTGAATCCCCGCGACTACGACGAGGAACGCGGCGAGATTGGTGGCTATGGCAGCAAGGCCTCTTCCGGGGAGCCCTTGTGTATTCGGTTCAAGATCACCCAGAAGATCGACCACCCTGGCGAGGTCAACAAGGCCCGCTACCAGCCCCAGAACCCCGATATTATTGCCACCCTTGCTGTTGACGGCCGTGTCTTGATCTTCGACCGCACAAAGCACAGCATCACGCCCTCCGGCACTCCTAGCCCTCAACTTGAGCTGATTGGCCACAAGGAGGAAGGCTTCGGCTTGAACTGGAACCCGCACGAGGAAGGCTGCCTTGCGACCGGCAGCGAAGACAAGACCGTCCTCCTGTGGGACCTCAAGACCTACGAAGGTACCAGCAAGCAGCTCAAGTACTCTCGCAAGTACACGCACCATAGCCACATTGTCAACGACGTTCAACACCACCCCTTGGTCAAGTCATGGATCGGTACCGTCTCGGACGATCTCACTCTCCAGATCATCGACGTCCGCCGTCCAGAGACCGACAAGGCAGCTATTGTCGCCCGTAACGGTCATAGTGACGCCATCAATGCTTTGGCATTCAACCCACGGGTGGAAACCCTCATTGCGACTGCTTCCGCCGACAAGACAATTGGTATCTGGGACATGCGGAACATGAAGTCCAAGGTCCACACCTTGGAGGGCCACCAGGATGCGGTTACCTCTCTTGAGTGGCACCCAACCGAGTCGGCCGTTCTGGGCAGTGGCAGCTACGACAGGAGGTTGCTGTTTTGGGACATTAGTCGTGTTGGAGACGAGCAAACCCAAGAGGACGCTGAGGATGGTCCACCGGAGCTGCTCTTTATGCACGGCGGTCACACCAACCACCTGGCCGATTTCAGCTGGAACCGCAACGACCCCTGGCTTGTGTGCAGTGCTGCCGAGGATAACCTGCTACAGATCTGGAAGGTGGCCAACAGCATCGTTTCCAAGGAGCCCGCGGACATGTCTACTCCCGAGCTCGATGACCCGAAACCGAAGCAATCTAGCCACTAGGATGAGGAAACTTCGGCCTTCCAAGTCCTGTTGCCCTCGATCGAGACTCTAGAGATACAACAGCAACAAGAGGAACAGCAACAGGCGCATGACAAGTCCGCGGAGCAAGCCGCTACCATTGGATCCAGGACGGAAAAGGGTAAAGGTAAAGAAGCACCCAAGGAGGGCTCGAGGTTACAAGATGGAACAAGCGGCAGAGACAACGGGGATGGGGACGATGACTCGGAAGATACCAGTGCTTCCGAGCAAAAGGGACGGGGCAAGAGTAAAGGCATGTCGGTGTACGAGTCCTACTTGCGGACGGTGGAGGAGGCAAGGAGAGCGGCGCAAATGACAGGCGCAGAACGGCACCGGAAGACGCGCTCACGCACAACATTTGGCGCAGAAACACAGCAGAAGCAACAGCAGCAATAGAGCTGCTGAATGACGGCGATGGCTGTACGACGGCGATGGCGGGAAAATGGACGGTTCTCTAGGCGTAGCGGGTAACAACAGTGCATTTTGAGCTGGATATGAGGGATAGGCTTACCACAGCAAAGTAATGATGGCAGACAGCACCAGGCTTGGTCCAAGATACATGGCAGAGGGAGCTCCGGGGATCTCGACCACGTCAAGCCACGAGTTGTATGCGAAGAGATAGACCAAGCAAACTTGAGAGAAGGCATGTAATCTTCTGAATCCATCATTTCACAGACCTGTTGACTGCAGCGTGACAGCATTCCGCCGTCCTAATGTTGGATTGGGACTACATTTACTCTTGGCCGTGAACCCATGGAGTCTTATTTCCCGTGTCGTCACTTTGTTACAAGAACCTTGGAGGTATGCAACTTTCTGTTGAAAGGTTACACATGGCCATTTGAGCAGACTCTACGAGTTGAGACGGAAGGCCCATAACCCGCTTACTATTGTTCTCGCTCTGAATTTTATTTTCATCTGATGTTTTTTTCCCTCAAGTTCCTTCCTATTGTTCTCATTGACCGATCTATTCACTGCGGGAGCCCAGAACAGGAGCGGTCCCGACTTACCGTATGGCACAAAACCAGTGACCGTTGACAAAAATAATTCCCAGATCACTTCGTCCATCTTGCAACTTTTATTCCAACTCTCGCCGATCGTCTCTTTTCAACTCTTTTCAACTCGAATGATCCGAGAAACCAGGAAGCGCAAGCAATCAACTACACAGCACCCAAGTCATCGGAAACATGTCAAACCTACAAGTGCCCGGCGAGCAAGGAGAGGGCAAAGTGAGAGCTGTCTCAAACCCTCTGCCCGGACTTGCATCACTCAACTTCAACAATTACGGAAGTGATGCTCAGCAAGACTACGAGGCGGCTCAAGCCTCTCGCGCAAACGCCACTATCGACGAAATCGAGCAAAGAGGCATAGTGCCCGACGTCAATCTGGTCGAACGAGAGCTCCTCCGGCCAAAATCAAGAATCAAGAGAGCCGGCTCTACTGCCCACAAGATATTCTCTAATCGTGCCGCATCCTCTCGCGACCCTTCTGGCAGCAGCGATGTCAATACCCTCAATCTCGGCCTTCGCGTCTACCCAAGCAACGAGGAGCAAGATGCAGTGGTCAATACGCTCTGGGAAGAGTTCGCCAACGACGGTGGTTTGAGCGGACTAAGCCACCAGCAGGTGTCTCTTCTTTATCAGCACTGGCACCAGCGTGCCCTGGCCATCAATGAGTCTGCCAAAGAATGGCAAGCTCTCAATGAGCCTTCCCCGAAAGCGACGGAGCCCCGCGTGAGCACCTTTGACCTCTTCGGCTCCCTGATGACCGACTTTGAGCTTCTCCTTGAGGTCTGCAAGCATTTGCGCCCGATCGACATCATCAATCTTTACAGCGTCTCGAAATCCTTCCATGATCTTGTCAACGCAAACCTCCAAAGCACCATCCTTCTTTGGACGGACCACATGGCGCCGTCCTCGGCTCGCATCTTCTGCCACCAACTGTACTACCAGTACTTCATCGACGACCCCTCCGGCAGAGATCCCAGTACTCACCGTGATATACGGTATTTCAACCGAGAGGCTCCCAATTATACTGTGTATCAAAACCAGGCCGGAGAAGGCCAATTCGGTCCCGTCAACCCTCTTCCACCCGCCGACCCGCAACACAATATCCGCAAGGTCCCGTCCCTGATCTGGTTCCAAATGGTCGTCGACCGCGAGATCAAAGTCCGCGACATCCTCGCCACCCTCGCCCGCCACGGCCACCGCACCCCTCCCGACACGCACAAGACGCTAAAGAAGCTCTGGCTCTTAATGGACGTGGCCTCCTGCCGCGGCCGCGCCGTCCTGATTCGCTCCCAGACGCTCTTCACCGACGAGGACCTCTACCGTGCTCGCCTCTTCTTCATCAAGCTCTACATGCTCTTCGCCGACCCCGTCTTCGGGCCCAAGTCCACCGCGCTCGCCAAGCTGTTCCTCGGCCAAAAGGGGTTCACACCGCTTTGGCAGTTCCTGCGGCGCAAGAAGTACACCACCGAGCAAGAGATCGTGGAGATGAAGACGCGGTACGACGTCCGACCGACTCTCTTGCAGGTCCTCGACGGACATCCCATCAACGGCGTACCGCCCAATGAGATGGGGATGATGCATGTGGAAGGGTGGGGGCGCGGCGTCAGACACTTGCTTCGCCCCGATCAGATGGTCAATTGGGAAGCGTACAAGAGAGGGTTGCCGCTGCACCTAAGGGCCGAGAGGATGATGCTCTACGGCCATGTGGACTTCAACACGGGCCGGCCGTTGGTGCCGAGCCTGGATGAGTTGTACATGAGTGATGACGAGTTCGACCTGCCGGCCGATTCGAGCTGGAGGATCATGAAGCATCACAAGGCCCATGGCGGCTGTGGGAATGTCCCCTTCGAGAGAGGCATGTGGCAGCCTAAGCATGCGAGGAAGGCAAGGTGGAAGACGTTGACGGAGGAGGAGAAAGAGGATATACTGGCTGCGGAGGAAGAGGAGATCAAGGAGGAAAAGAAGTTGCGGTATGTGGAAGGTGATTTGGATGTGGCCCTTGCGGACTTGGAGGAGGCGTTGTATGACTATGCCGTGGAGAAGGAGGAGGGAAGTCACGAAGAGCATGGCATTGACGGACTTGAGTTCGACAGCCGCGTTCCAATGCCCGATGATACGTCTCATGCCGATGAGGAAGAAGAGTTCGATGATACCGACTGGGAGAACTGCGCGAAGTACATGAAGGATTTAGATCGGGTACCCGACCAGCTGACTCTCATCCGACAAGACAAGGCTTACTCCCAGCTCAACAGATCACTCATCATGGCCAAGCAGGTGTTCGACAGCAAGGCCAAGAGCAATTCTGAAAGGCAAGAGCAAGACAAAGCTTGGGCGCATGCCATTGTTCACCAACTACCCCTTTATACCGGCGCGAATCCCGCTTACAGAAGAGGTGTTCCCGTTGCTCCTCGAAACAACTCACCCGCGTCAAACCAGGCCTTCTTCAATGCCCATAATGGCAATCACGACTGGGTGCAGCCGGTATACCCAGCCCAAGCCGAACTACCAGACGTTCGAGCCGAGTATCTTCTCAAAGGCGCTGTCGCCCTCCACAATGCCCGCCTTGACACCGGCGACCTCGACCCCGCCACCGACGCTATGCCCGATGACGAAGTCGCCGAGTTGGAAGACGAGGAGATTACCAAACAGATTGAGAAGAATGTCAATTACGGTTGGATGCTTCACATGCCGCGCAAGCAGCCCAACAACGAAGCTGGTAGTAGTTCGCAAGACCAAGACGACCACAGTGGCAACGAAGGAGCCAGCGGTGTGTCAGAATCTATGGACATGGACATGATGGACATGGATGACATGGAGGAGGACATCGACGACGACTTCAACGACTTGATCACCAGCGACTTCGATGATTTCATCACCACCCCCAACTTCGGCCTTCACAACCCTAACAACGCAAGCCCCAGCAACACCATCCCCCTCTCCCCCACCCCCAGCGCCAGCACCATCGACCAACCCAGCCCCAACCCTTACATCCCCATCCACAAGAACCAACCCACCCCCAACACCAACCCCAACCCTCACAACCCCGACTTACCCTACCGCACCCAAATGTACCACTACCACCACGACCCGGACGAAGACTTCGACTGGCGCGGCTGGCTCGACATGCAGCACCAGAACGACTTGCTAAGCGAGGCAGCGAGGCTAGATCGCAACCTGTTGAACGGTGCGCATGAGATCGGGCCGGAGGAGCTAAGAAGGAGGGTGGAGAGTACGATTGAGAGGACTCGGGGGTATAAGAGTTTGAGGGAGAGGTTTTTGAGGAGGTATTATCGGCAGTGGTAGTGGTGTGTGTGGTGAGTGTGTGTGTGTGTGGTTGGGGGATTTGGGTGGGTTTGGTGGAATAGCTTGATTTGGTCATGTGGTGTGCCGTACCCTAGTGGTTCGGTTTGGAATTCTTTGTCGGTAGGTGATGATGGTAGGAAGGAGTGATGATGGGAAGGAGTGATGAAGGAAAGAGTGATGAAGGAAGGAGTGATGAAGGAAGGAGTGATGAAGGAAAGAGCGATGATGGGAACTTAAGGAGTGATGTGCAGAGAGGTAGGGATATGGAAGAATGGAAAAGTGGATGTCTGGTGTATATATGGATGCATCGATGCTCAGAGAGGCTGTTCTATACTTGCTTGCAAGTTAGACTTATTGCTTCAAAGTGGTTAGAAGTGTCGGGCTCTTAGTTCGTCAAAGCTAAATTACGAAATGTGTGTCACAGCCTCAACTCTAGATAGATAGAAGGAAATTCGTGCTTGAAGCTTTTGGCCGCTTTCCCTACTATCCCATGTCTATAGAGCATGTACATACATCTATATATCGCTTGTTCCAAGACCATCGTAAATCGTTTATCATCATTTCGTGATATCAAAGAAAGAAATCAGATAGCCACACTAACCCTTACCCGTAACCCTGACTCCCTTTAAATATCATGTACCCAAAACAAAGAATTTTGTCCGTAGGGACCATCTGTCGTCTCACCGAGACCTCAGAATCCGCCTCAGACTTCCTTCCGCATGGCTGACGACTCTTCGAGGTTCTTGTAAATCCGCACTCATCGTCGATATCAGCTCCTCCGTCTCACTCCTCACAACCTGCTCTTGCTGCTGCTGTTGCGATCGAGCACCACCACTGCCCCCCTTCCACGGAATCCAGGCATTCCAGCTCGCATTCCTGGAAGTCCGGTATGGTACGTCACTGACGGAGCGCGTAAGATTCGAGGTCCTGGTGATGTTGTTATCGCTAGCTGCTCGGCTGTTCCTAGTGTGCGGGTACATGCGGTGGTTGCTTTCGACGTCACTAGCAGTGGGACCAGCCGCGGTCCTTACCCCCAGGTGGCTGTCCGATGTCTGCGGCAGGGCTGGCTCGCTGACTAGTGCACAAGTACTCTCATACCGCTGGAGTTGTCCGGCGCTGCTTCTGGTGTGACTGTCCATGACTGCCGTAGCGAAGGACGCTGATTTCTTCCTGGCCAGTTTAGCTGCTGCTGACGCCGTGGCGGCTTCCCCTGACTTTCGGTGGCTATCTTCCACGTCCAAGCCATGGTCACTCGTCGTATGCTCAGTGTCATGATTCGTAGTGGTAGCAGCGCTTGACCCTGCACCAGGTTCAGAAAATCCCAAGTTACTGTGCCGTTTTTCGATCCTTCCACGAACTTCTCCCGCTATTTCAGCGGCTGGCTTTTTCGATGACTTGTCCTCTTCCGACGAGCGGCTAGAGGACATGATTGTCTCCAAAGTCCCGTAGGCAATGCTCTTGGTCCTCCTCCCTCCAGTCCCTGGCCCTCTCCGCCTCCTTCGGGCACCACCTTCCTCTTCATCAGGGACAATCGCCTGTAATGTAGGACCTGCTCTAGCACTTTGACTGGAATTGTAAGGGCCATTATCCCTCCGTCTCGACACTGCGCCCGAGGAAGATGGCGCTGTTCCGCTCGTCGGGCAGACGAGGGAAGCACCTGAGCCGTGGGGTGCCATATGAACCTCGTACTGGTTACTCAGCGAGTACCGGGATCGTGCACATATCTCGGCAATACGGTCAAGGTCGGCTCCTATATTGTTGTCACCACCCTGGGCCTGCATGTCGGCCATGAAGCTCTTGAACGAAAAGGCATCCATTGGCGGCAGTTTCTTGGGCTTTCCATTCCTAGACGTGACAACGATCGGACGAGACGATGTTGACCGTCGCTCCCATAGTAAAGGCAGAGAGCTGAAGCCATTTTCGGGCTGGTCTGATGTCGACATCTTGTTCCTTGCCTTTCTCCCGTTCGCATCCTGATTACTGTGAGGGCTAGATCCTTCGTTCCGGTTGTATTCCGTACCAAGGTCAGTCTGTCCACTGCGAAGATCGGCCTCGATTTGCGGAGATTGAGAAGGAGGAACACGACTAGAGTCTGCGAGACTACTAGTTCCCCGTCGGTACTGGGGTACGATAGAACTGCGAGTCCTTACCAGCACGGGTTTCGAATAGGTTCTGCTTTCGGCGCCTGTGCTCTTGGCGTAGCGATGATTACTAGGTGAGGCGGCTGGACATGTGCTTGCCAGTTTCTGCCGGGCCGAAGTGTCATGGAGAGGAAAGGGTTTTCCCTCGGCGGTAGAGGGAATGGCGGAGACTGCGGTTTGCCTAGACTGAAGGAAGAAACGCGGAAATGAGATTGGAATCGCGTTGGGCCGCTGTCTCTTCCTACGGGAGCGCCCACTAACAACGAGGCCAGAGTCCGAAGAAGGCGGAGTCTTGGACAGACGAGGAGGTAAAGGAGCTGCCGGACGGGACAGAGGGGGCAAAGATGGAGAGGATGCAGAATATGAGGAAGAGGGAGCACGAGGTTGGTGAGTACCTTGGTTAGGACCTTGATGAGGAGATACCCGAAGGGGTAAAGATGCCTGTCTGGCAGGCTGCTCCGGGATCACTGGCCAGGCATCGTCCTCGTCGTGGAGGAGCGAGTTCGAAGAGTCGGCCAGGCCTTGGCGGATACCGTGTGGCTTGCTATATATGTGCATATTATCCGCGTGGCATCAAACGAAACAGAATGGACGAGATGCGGGTGATAAGTATGACTAAGGTACGGAGGCGGGCAGGTCAGAAAGTACTGCAGCAGCGGAAGCGGAAGCAGAAGCAAGGAATCGCAGCGCAGCGAGTTGCAGCGAGTCGCAGCCGAGTGGAAGCAACAGCAGCAGCAGCAGCAGAAGCATGCAAGTGTGTCGTGGTCGCTGGTAGTTCGCGGATCGATTTCCAGGGAGGTAGGTCTAGGAGGTAGACTGGGACTGGACTCGTCGACTCGGGTTGATGGGAGGGGGAAAAAGGCGTGGAAAAGGCGGGAAGTAACATAAACCTCAAGCAGCATGCATAACAGCCAAGGTGCAAAGAGGTGCTCAGGATGAGACGGATCGACTCAACCAGACCGACATTGACGGCTTCCAGCCTTTCTGCGTGTCTCAATCTTCGGATGGCCGGCTGTCAGACGTCAACGTGGGCGACTCGTGTTCGCTCGTGCTTTTTTCTATCGCTGCAGAAGGTCCGAAAAGGGGTCTCCCAGGAAGGTGGTTTGCCGTCCTTGCAACCTTTGGGCTTCCTTGCCAGTCCTATTTGGGTTGGTCTACCATTGTCGCCATGTTGTTTGACATGCAGAGAATCCAAAGAGAAGAAGTGGAACAAGTGGAACAACAAGTCCGAGTCTGAGCCCCTTCATTTTCTTGATTCGTCCTTGAGAATGGTCGGTTGCAAGAATGACGGCGAATGGGAGCAATCAAAGAAGACGGCAAGTGATGAAAAAGGATGCGTGCTGCAACTGCGAGTGCGGGGTACAGTGGCCTTTCCGGGCCCACTGCCGTAGCCTGCTTGGGCTGGCGCGGGGGGCCGGGGGGCATCTGGAGGACCCGCCCGGCCTGGGCGCCGCAGAATGGAGTTGGCTGAGGTGCTCCGGGCCGCCGGGGTCCAGCCAGTGCGAGTCCGTGATCCACCTCCGGCCTGTCAAGAAAGTCAGTACGTACAGGTGCTTAAACCTTAATCAAACCCTCACTCCTTCGTGACAGATGTGGTCTTGAATCATATACAAGACACGAACATATACGCATAACAAAAGTCATTCTTACAACTGTACGAGAACCATGGATTGCCAACCAAACCATATATCGGCAATCTCCATCTCTGCCTACTACTCATGGCACACGGAGGCATCAAAATAGTTCAAGTGGACGGTAACTCATCCGACGACACAACAAAGCAACCCGAGCAAAAGTATCATAGGTATCATTAAGAGACTCACGGCTAACCTTTATCGACCCGAGAAATATTGTGGGACTCTTTCGGAAGACTCCCTCGGAAAGTCACTATTTCGTAATCGCAGTACTTTCCCTGACCTCAATCCGTCTTTGCGCATCTCGACCCCGTCAACGTTCTGGCCCCTCATACTCCAAAGTCAAACTCCCAGCGGCAACATCAAAGTGCCTTGCCTTGCTTTGCCTACGAAGCGTTCGGCTGCACAATGGTACCATAGCCGTGCGGGTTTCCGCCGTTTTGGACATTCTGGCTATAAACGCCAGGAGCGCGGTCGGTGACGATGGAGCCTTGTCTCAACCGCTCCCGTCGGTCGTAGTAGACATATTCGAGATAGAAGGCATGGACGTGACCAGGGATATAGCTGCGTCGGGTTTTCACAAAGGTCAGAAATATAATTCTGGAAGGCATCCACATAAACGTACCCCAATAAGGTCAGACAGATGTTAATTAAGAGGTCTGCCCCACAGCCGGCGATGGCAAACACGGCGATCGGAGGACCTGTTGATCTCTTTGGTTAGTACACTGGAGGTAGACATTTGGGGCTGCAAGACGCCATTCGGAGGGAGCGAGCGAGCGAGCGAGGCCTCTGGGAACCGTACAGAAAATGGTCACGATGACCAGGAAAATTGCTGAGGCCACTCCCATTTTTTCTGGTGACTGGCCGAGAAATGTGATGTGTGAAGAGGTTCCGAAGATAGTTTACTGTGATGATAGAGTATTTGACAAGCAGAATCGTGAAAAGGAGAAGGACATATGATCTTTCCCAGAGTTAAGCGTTCAGCAGTTCACAACACCACATCGGGGCGATGACGTATGTCTCTGCTGACGGATGGCATGAAGCATGAACCGTGCCGCACGAGCCACATGATCGTGACACCTTCCCGTCGTTTGTTGCTTTATTCCCGTCCTATGTTCTGTCCTACTGACTGTCTTTGTTCAAAGTTTCCGAGTTATCCTTGTCTATAGTTATTTGCAGGCAAGTCAGTGTCTCTGGGTGTAAGTGAAGGAAATGCCAGGCATCATATATTCGGCCATCCCAGTTTCAGTTCAATCGTTGTAATAGGGCCACTTTAAGTATACCGAAGAATCTCGCGAAATTGGCAATATACAATGTGCAGAAAACGAAGGGTTAAAGGTCTGCCAGTTGCATTTGGCGGCCGTCAATGAGCATGTACGTAGTTGTCGGACACCTTTGACCCTACATTGTATATTGCCAACTTCGCGAGATTCTTCGGTAGACTCGGGTCAAGCCCCATGAGAAAAGCATGAAAGATAGTCGACCTCGAGCATCCGCTGGGGACTAGTTTTTCACGATTCGGTAAGGTATTAAAGGCGGACCAGGGCACGGGAAAACCCAAGGAGATTACACTAGGCCGTTCTTCAGGTCTACACTTTCTCCGGGAAGCTCAGGGTTTGTGTTGGATCTGGCTACGAGTTGGAGGCGAATTAGCCGGAGCATCGGCGTCCACAAATCGGAGCCACGGCCGGCGGTGACCGGACAAGATGATCTGCAAACCCGGCATTTCCCAACACCGCCTGCCGTTCCCAATTCATGCCACTCCCTCGTCGATTCTGAACAGCCGCCTTTGTATGCCCTCCCGAGCTGTTGGGCGAGTATAAGGCATACTAGTGCTCACTCACACAGAGACTCACAGTACTCCAAATGGCAGAGTCGGTGTAAGACTAAATGTCTTTGTGAGGTGTAAGGGGAACATGGGGGATTAGCTGTAGCTGTTGTGCATGGAAGCTGTGCGACGTGAATAGGAGTCTCGCCCTATGTACTGGCATGCGGTTGGAGGTGATTGTCTCTATGTAAGCCGAGGTACTGACAAGAACTGTGGTTTTTTGGACTGTCTCAGAAGTAATGGCGAAATACACCGACAGATATCGTAGCAAACCTGAGCCAAAGCCTGTCATTTTTCATATATGGTATGTCGACTGGGCGCGATCAGGTGAACATGCTAGGAATCGGGTATCGGACAAGGTAGCTCGGTCGAAGGGGAGAAGTCGAGCAATAGAAATAGAGGAGGTTGAAGAGCTCGTGATATTCGAAGCTCTGCATGACAGCTCGTTTTGGCGCCCCAATCAGTTCAGCCGGTCAGCTCTTCCTTTGAGCTCGAATTGACGAGTCATCCAGTTCGTTTCCCATTGATTGATTGCTGTGCAGAGATGGGCTCTGTTTAGTTGACCTCGCAAGTTGGGTTGGTCTACTCGAGGTCGTCACCGGTTAGGTAGGTGAGATCATTTATCAAATTATAGATGGTTATACCTGTTAGCCCAAGTACCTAAACATCGAGGCTTCTTGGTGGCCTTTGACTATTGCCGTCAGCAATTTGGTCAGAGACAGTGGGTCGGAGAGAACATAAAGGAGCAGGCAGCTTCGATACAGGTTTGCCATGTAGATGCGGAGTACCAGGTACTTCCCTTCAGAAGCACATTTCTCACTGTACGAGGTGATGTAGGAGGTATAGGATACCTCTGGAAATATTTAGTGAATCTCTTCCACTTCTGTTAATGAGACGGGCCTTGAAACTGTTGACGGTTTCCCTTGTCTCCAACTGAGTACTCCGGCCGTGCGCATCGCCGGCGAGGTGCTTGATGGACAGATATGTTGTGAGGAGAAGTTCCATCGTCTGTCACAGCGCCGTCCACAACCGGTCGGTCCCCTTTCCGTAACCGGGACGTCCGACGGAGTGCCGTGATGGACTCTAGGACCCTCGAGGAAATCTCCTCTTGACCTGGATATCCTGACCCTTCCCCTTTGCGACTCCACCCTTCCTTTCATCCACTTCTACGGGCCTTCACTTCTGTTGCGAAGAGGCACTCGGGGCCCGCCAGGACACTAACGTAAGCACGAGTTTACAGGGTGGGCGTTTGTTAGTAACCTAACAGACTAACTGTCGGTATTCTGGCGGCGCTTTTTGTCATCTCGAGTTTCTGAGAAGTGGAATTTTTGGTCGCCTCGCTCGTTCGTTTCGCAGTCGCGTTGCAATTAGTTCGCTGTTTGTTGCCGTACTATTCAATACGAGAAGAAACCGAGTAATCGCACTTGCTGTTTAGCTGTCTTGACCGACCTGTTCGGCAGCCGTCGCCTTCGCTCCATTCACCTTCAACCACCACCTCCACCCCCGCCCAGCCTTCCGTGAAGTTCAGTCGCAGAACTCAACCTTAGCTGAACGTTTTCGTCCTGTGTATCTCCGCGAGCTGGAGCAAGCCGTGAACCATTTTTTTGCTGGGCTATTTTGCTACATACCATAAGGTAATTGCGCTTTCCCGAATCCCGTTGGTTTAGTGTTAAGAAGATAACGGGCAGTCGCTGTCACCTCCACTGTCACTGTCACTGAACAAAAAGCTGGGACCGAACTGGCACCAATTTGGCACCAAACCGCAAACCGACACCACCAACTGGACCGACTGGGGACGACCGGGGGGGACCAGGTGGTGCTTGCGTCGGGTACTTAGGCTGGGTACTACGAAAAAAAAAGGTTTGGACTCCTCTGACAAGTCGACGAACGGGAAACGGTCAACCTGCTCCATCCACTGTCCACATCTGCCATTGCTAGGTAGGTCCGTCTTCCCACTGCCCCCGTCTCCCGACCTGCATCCATCCCCGACGACCTTCCCTCACCGTCGCCGAAAACTCTATCCTAAAACCCGGGACTGACCAAGCTGAACCGGAGCAGGCACCCACCCCTCTTGCCGCTTCCATTGCATCCATCACCGGACGCACCTCATCGACGTCGGCCCATCCGCCTCCTTTCCGCCCTTCTTCCCGTCCACTCCCCAGGCCCTCGGGTGCCTCCTCACCCGTCATGGCGACCCAGCAAAGTCCGCCTTTCAAGGTGGACCGCTACGTGGTCATTCACGTCGCGACCACCTGCGACGAGCACGGCGTTTATGTGACCAAGGATTCCGCCGAGGTCATTGAGCTCGGTTGGATCCTTTTGGATGCCAACAACCTCGAGGAGGTAAGCAGAAAACAAACCCCTACAATCTGATGCCGTACCGCCGGCCTCGGCCTCGGCCCCGGCCCCGGTCCCGAGTCCGGTCTTAATCACTCCGAATTGCTCTTTCCAGCCTGAGATTCCCCGAGTTCAAGGCCCTGTTTACTCTGTCCATGCTCAATGCTGACCACACCGTTCGTTGCAGATTCATAGAGAGAGCGTCCTCGTCAAGCCGGTCAACACCCCCATTACTCCTCTCTGCAGTACGTCGAACCTTACCCCCTGATCTCCCTCCGCCCGCCGGGCCAATTGGCTCTTCACATGGCGGTTGCAGGCACTTCTTGCTGACCCCTTACCCAACAGCGAGCTTGACGACCCTCACGTGGGAACATGTCCGTAACGCCGGCACCTTCAGGGATGCCATCAACCGCTTCGATGCTTTTGCTTCCGAACACTTGACTGGCCCCAACCTCGATTTCGTTTTCGTCACCCTCGAGGCTTGGGATTTGCGCGTCCAGCTCCCTAGGGAAGCCCGTGACAAGGCCGTTGTCCTTCCCCCCTATCTGCAGCACTCGCGCACTTTCGATCTACGCACCGAATACCAAAGATGGCAGCAGCATCACCCCGAGTCGCTGCCTTTCGGCCCCTCGTCGCTTGCTAACATATGCGCGGCCCTCGAGGTGGAGGCTGTGCAGAGCAGCGCTCCCATCAAGCACAACCTGCCCTTCCACCTGCAGGCTCTTGCCCCCGCGTCTCCTCGCCGTGCCATGGAGGAAGCTGTCACCCTTGCCCGTGTTTTGCGTAGCTTGATTCGCAAGTCGCAGCCCGCTCATGAGCATCCTGATGTGCTTACTCGGCCTATGGATGCCCGTGCTGACGTTCGTGCCTTCTTGTCGGAGCGCAGCAAGGTTTTGCACATGTCCGGCTTGCCTCACGACACTACCCAGTCTGAGCTGGAGAGTTGGTTCACCCAGTACGGCGGTAGGCCCATTGCGTTCTGGACTCTCCGTACTCCAGAGCAGCACAAGCCTACCGGAACCGGCTTCGCCGTCTTTTCTTCCCACGAAGAGGTATGTCTTGCTTATTGCATCTAGTGCTTGTAATTAAAGTCTCGTGCCACTGACATCATACATCACTTTAGGCCGCCGAAAGTCTTTGCATGAACGGAAGGGCTTTGAACGAAAAGGCTATTGAGGTGTCGCCCTCCTCTAGCAGGGTTCTCGATCGCGCTTCCGAGATCCTTACGCCCTTCCCCCCCAGCAAGAACCGCCCCAGACCTGGTGACTGGACGTGCCCTTCTTGCGGTTTCTCCAACTTCCAGCGCCGCACAGCCTGCTTCCGCTGCTCCTTCCCGGCTGTCAGTGCCGGTCCCACTGGCGAGATGGGCTATGGCTATGGCTATGGCCCCCCGGCTATGATGCCCGCTCCTCCTCACATGGGCCATCACGGTCACGGCGGTGGACACGGCCGTATGGGCGGCTCTGGTGTCGTTCCGTTCCGTGCCGGTGACTGGAAGTGCGGCAACGAGGTTTGCGGGTACCACAACTTCGCCAAGAATGTGTGCTGTCTTCGCTGTGGAGCGAGCCGTGCTGGCGCTGCTGTGGTCGCCGACTCGGGCTATCCATCTCCCCTGGACGCTCAAACCTCCTACGGCATGAATCAAGGATCCATGGGCGGCAACTCTGCCCCTGGTCCCTTTGCTTCCGCCGGTGGCTTTAACTCTGCGAGTGGATATGGCCAGCATTTCGGTGGCCCGCCCAGCACCTACGCACTTCCCTCTGGCCTCGGTGGCGGTGCTGCCCCTTACCCTTCGCTGAACACCCATTTCGGTCCCGCTCCTGGTTCTCACTCGGCTGGTCCTTTCGATAGCCGTGCCGCCGAGGCCGCTTTCCAGTCTGCCAGCAACGGACCCGCCTCTGCCGGACCTGGAAACAACTTTTATTCTCAGACTGAGAACGATCCTTTTGCTTTCCTCTCCAGTGGCATCGGCAGCCTCTCCGTGAGCAACCAGGATGCTCGTCAGAACGGTGGCGCGGTTCCTGCCAGCAAGTCACCCGCGTAAAGGAACAACAACACAACTCTTCCCAGTGCCAAGCCGTACAACGGATTGCTCACATGGCATCGAGCTTTCGATTGTTTCTTCAGTTGTGAATTTCACCGCGAACAATTTTGGGAACGAGAATAGAGATCAATTTGGAACCTTGGCGATAACTATGGGCTTATACTGTTTCTTCACGGGGTGCATGGGGCAAGCGGAGCACGGGTGCAGGCAAGGCTTTTGGGAGAACTACTGCGGCGGTTTTTACTTGGGCGTGGGAAGCGGGACGGAAGCGGCGCCTGGCAGGCAAAAATTTGCGAATCGGATGGGTATGACAAAAGAGAAACGCAACATGCCATTTTTACACAATCCCTCAGGGCGGAGTTTATCTCGAACGACGCATGGTAACTGGCTGGCTGGCTTATGGCAAAAAAGATGGGCGGGAACGGCTGGATTCATTGCTAGGAGCTACGGTTTAAGGCCAACGGTCTCTCAGCGGCTCTCGGATTTTTGCAACGCCGGTTCGCTAGAGCGAGACATATCATGGGCTGGCGGAGATGGGTTAACGGAGCAGGGGAAAAAAACTAAATCGTAATTTTGGCCTTATGTTTCTTGGGGGCGGTTGGGGGTGCTGGTGGCTATGGGTGCTGTTGCCTTTTCCGCGACTTTCATTTTCATATCTATTGGAGGAGTGTCAACGTACTATTTTTCTCTGCCAATTTGGTGCTTTCAAGTTTGTTCGAATCTTTTCCTCCCATCAACTTTTCCACATCTAGTCAAATCATATACAAGAACAACAAAACCGCGGTACTTTATTTCGAACAGTGGCAAGGCAAGGCAAGGCAAGGGGAGTAAAAAGACGGACGGTCAAATTGGTCGGGGGAACTCAGCGGAGGCGAAGGGGTGTTGGTCGGTTGGTCGGTTGGTTGGTTCGGATGGACGGGACGGTTTGCAAGGAAAGGTCGAGGCTTCATTTCTTCTCAATTTTACAACAACACAATATGTAACTGCTGTTTGTGAACACTTCTTTTTTTCCTGCTTTGTGTTGTTTTTCTCCTTGAAGGTGTGCCTGAAGCCGGGTTGGTGTGTGTGCGAACAAAAAGAGTAAAAATAAAAAGGGACAAAATGAATCAGGCACAAGATCGATGTGTAGCACCTGCATTGAAACATCATCATATCGTGGAAACGGAAGGGGTTGATGTCATTACTTAGGCGGGTTAGGAGTCGAAGAAGGGGGAAAAAAAAGCAATGAACGTTTGCTCTATCGATATGGATGGGTAGGCTGTAAACTGTAGTTCTTCAAAATTGACCAAGGATATCGTTTATGCATACATCCATCGGGTACACACTCATCTGGGTCTCACGGAGGCGATTGTTCGACTGCCTCTCTTTTCTTGCATTCAAGGTGTTCAGTTTTGTCTACGTTCCGCCCCTAGCCTATGTAGCGATGTTTTCACCTCCTTTCCCATACCTGCTTTGAATCATACAATCATTTCCCCGTGCGCCATTCTCTTCCATCCCATCCCATCCCGTCACCCTCGGATATCCATATTTCCTCCTTCTTGTGTCCTTCTTGTGTCCCCCTTGCGCAAATATTTCATGCTTTACCAAGTTTCTCTATACCATGCCTTTCCCACCAATTCGATGCCCAATGTTTTTATACCAATGATAACCCAAGACGTGTGCCGTGTCATGGCCGGGTGCGGTCTGTCCCGATCCATGTGCCATATGCCATACAATACGATACAGTTCCTTAACCTGCTACTTCCTAACCCCTTATCTATTTCTGCTGCCTCGACTCGAAGAACACCAGCCTCGATTTCCTCCACCTTTATAACTACGTGGTCCTGGTCCCGTCGTCATCGTTGTAAGTCGGTTTCGATTCCGATTTAGCATGTTTTGCATAAACCAGCTTTTCACTGCAGGCGGAGCATAATTGAACATTAGGCCAGGGTAACGATTCTGCCACATAATCTTCTCATAATAAGTCATGTTCTCCTAGTTATGACTTTGACTTGCTGCCGGCCCGGATGGGGCATTTGTAGGTGCCCTTGACTGTGCCTGCGCCGGTGCCGTTGGCGGTGGTAATTGTGATGAAGATGATGCTGATGGCCGAGGTTGCTGCTGTTCCTGTTGTTGTTGTTGGTCCCTGGGCCTGGTGGGTACTGATGACCGTTCGGGCTCTCGCTGCCGCTGCCGCTCCTGCTGCTGCTGGTGGGAAGCTGATGATGATGTCGTTGTTGATGGTTTGGTGGCAGCATTTGGGTCCAAGTGCGGACGTTTGGAGTCGCGCTCTGATGGTGGTGGTTCTCGAGTTTCGGCAGGGCGCTTTCTAGGGTCACGATCCTTATCGCGAGCCGAAGAGCTACCGCCACCACCACTTGGTGCAGCGGTTGTTGTTGGTGCCCCCTCCTTGACAGCCCGCCGTGCTTCCCTTTCCTTCCTCTCATTCTCTTTCCGGAGAGCCTTGGATTCGAATTCATGCCATTCACCATCAATATCCTTGAGCCTAAGGAGTCAATTGTTAGCACCGGCAATCTTCAGGAGGGGGCATTGACAAATGCCAAAGGAGGAAACTTACTCGACTGCTTGTCGCGGAGCTGGTTCTTCGGTGGTGAAGTAAGGATGCGCCAATACTTCGGCAGCGCTGGGCCGTTTATCGGGGTCGTATTTGAACATCCAGAGGAGTAGCTCAAACGCGGCAGGTGTCACCAGCTCTTTGTACTTTTCAGCAAAAACATTTGCTCGCCGCTGAGTTGGCCGTAGCAGTTCGAACCAAGGCATTTCAATGATGTTTGGCCAGTCGTTTCTGGTCGGTGTGCCCAAAACAGAGTGGATCTTGTCCAGCTGGTTGATCTCGCTACCATCACCAGGGAAAATGGCACGCTTTGTAAATATTTCCATCATCACGCAAGCAGCGCTCCAGATATCCACAGCGGGTCCGTACTGTGTCTCTCCTAGGAGTAGTTCCGGTGACCTGTACCAGATGGTGATCACACGGTTCGTGTAGTCGAGTTGGTGATGTTTGGCATAGAACCGAGCCAAGCCAAAATCGGCAAGTTTGAGGACACCCTCGTTGCTGACCAGGATATTGGCTGCTTTGATGTCTCGATGCAGGACGCCCCTGGTGTGAAGATAGTCCAAACCCTCGAACAACTGCAGAGCCAAATGCTTCTTCTGAGCCGGGTCCAGAGTGTAATTGGGATGGTTAATGAGACCTGTGAGATCGTGTGACAGGTACTCGAATACCATGAAGCACTCGTTCATCTCAACCATCACTTCCATGAGCTTGACGATGTTCTTATGGCTTAAAGACCGGAGCAGCTTGATCTCTCGCACCGCTGTCACAGGGAAGCCATCCCTTTCTCCCTCCATTCGTATCCTCTTGAGGGCCACTTGTTTTTTCGTATACACATTGAGGGCTTTGAACACCTTTCCATACGTACCGGAACCGATGACAGATTCATTCCCTGGCTTTCTGTGATATACTGACTTTGACTTTGCCAAGTCCGGCGGAAGAGCCGGCTTCTCCTTGAGCTTCTTGACAATCTTCTTTACAATTCGTGTCCTAGGCTTTTGCTGTTCCGCCGGTCTGTGGCTATCTACCGGCCTGTGCTGGTCCGGCCCTCTGCGATCATTGTGACGAGCCCTAGCAGATGCCGGTTCCGTGGGCACATTTTTGGGGAGGTCATGACGGTCCCGATTGGATCTGTGGGCAGATGGCGCCGTCGGCGGAGCAGCAGCGGGCGCTTTGGGAGGTTGCTTTTGCGAAGGTTCCCGTGGCGGAACGACGGCATTGAACTTGAGAGATATTTCCGGCCGTGGAGCCGCTACTGCTGGCTTTGTTGCGTTCTTCATACTAAAACTGAACTTGTTTGAGGGCTGAGACTGTGAACCAGCGGCTGGGCGGGTAGGAGGCTGCATTTGCTCCTCCTTCTCTTTGCCTGACTTGTTGGTATCATCGCCTTGAGAGTCTTTAGCGGGTCTGGAAGAGTTGTTAACATCCTCTCTTGCCCCCTCCTGAGTGTTTTGGCCAGAATCAGCGTGCTTGCTGGGGGCCGCGCTATTCTGGGGATGGGCGGAATTGTTTTCGGTTGTTGTTGTTGTGTACTGGCCTCGACCAGAGGCATTGTGAGCGTTGGGACTCCATTGTGCACCTTTAGAGCCACCTCGATGGCCTCCGCGAGGGACACCGAATGAGCCACCGCGAAATCCACCAGATGCAGCCCGATGCCCACTGCGATACGGACCTGTTGGGTATTGGGCCGCTGGGCCGGTTGGAGGATACGGTGGCGAATGCCCTTGATTCGAGTGGTAGTGTGCTTGCGGCCCGGTAGGGGGGCCGTAATTGCCATGCGGATATCCATACTGACTACTCCGATGTCAGTCAAGAGAATCATTGTGTTGCTCTGGGAGGACATACCTTTGTGGTGAAAATTGCGGATTGTTCCACCCTCGTCCGGCACCATAAGGAGATTGGGCGGGAGGCGAGCCATGGAAGGATGAGTTGGGGGTTGCATGTCCCGAAGAGTGTGAATAGTTTCGGCCATCATGTGTTTCTGTGTACCCAGGGGGCATCGGGGCGCCATAACCCCCTCGGTAGCCATTCCTCGCAGCCATGTTAACCTCGATACTATTTACGCCAGATGCAGGATCAAACTTTTGATCGTCACGGCTTTTGCCCTTTTTGCTGGATTTGGAGCGTCGCCGGTCCCGTGGAGAGCCTTGGGGATGGTCGTAAGGCTCACGTGAGTCCGGGTCGGGACTTGGCCGTCTGCGCGAACCTGCGTCGGAAGCGGGGTGTCTGTTTTCGTGATGGGGAGGGGTCCGAGAACGTGACCTTGACTGATGCCGACGTTCAGGACGATCTGGCCGGTCTGAGCGACCACGATGCCGTGGAGATGGACTCCTTCGGCGTACACGTTCCGAAGCTTGGTCAAAAACTCCCCGGTCTGGTGACCGTGATTTCCGCCTTCGAGAGCGATCTGGGGATCGAGATCGGCCCGACCGTTTCCTGTCTCTGGAGCGTCGCCGCTCGTGATGATTTGGGGAACGAGATGGCCTCCTGTCAAATGGCGACCTGCGGCGGTCCCTTGGAGGTTGCACGGAATTTACGTCGTCCCTTTCTCCTCTTCGAGGGCTCCGGGCACGTCGTGACCTTTTAGACTCCGGTCCACCTGGCGATGGGGTTCGACTACGTCTGCGCTTGCTCGAGCCTGGTGACCTCGAAGAAGCACGTTGAGAGGCGCGGGCCGGGTGTGGAGGAGGTTGTGAGTGTTGTTTCCCGTGATCGACGTTCTGGCCACGTTCGTGGGCGGCGTCCCCTCTGCCTCTCGGCGGGCCAGGACTTCGATGGCGTCGGTCCGGGGAAAAGTGGCCGTCGCGACCACGAGGCTCGCGGGAGCGATCTCTACGGCTGCGTGGGGAGCCTCTGGAGCGATGGGGATGGGGGAGACGCGAAGAGCGGCCAGAGCGGTCCGGGCTGCGATGTCTCGACGGATGGCGATGGCGAGGAGCAGGCTGGGAGGAGGAAGAGGGCGGTTCGATCGACCGGCCGCGAGGTTTGCCGGATTTGCTGCTGGGGCCGTTGCTGCCACTGGGGCGATCTGGATTCGGTTTGTGTCGAGCTGCTGGGTCAGGAACAGGATCAGGATCAGAGGACCGGTTCACGACGGCAGCGGCAGGCGAAGTAGTCGGACGTGAAGTATTCATGCCTAGAGCATGCTCGTCTGTGAGGCTGCGTGGTTGGTCTTTGGAAATGCGGCTGCCATTTGGCATTGCAGCATCATGTCGAGTCCGAGAATCCAAAAGTGGTCCAGCCGCCGCTGGAGGTGAGGACCCCATGGCGACACCAGATTCGTCGATATCTGACTTTTAGTGGCCAGGGCGGTATCTTGGCCGACCGGCAGGGATTGCCCGACCCGCTAAAAACGCGTGCACAGCGTCCTTCTCAGGCCTGCAGCCTGCCCCAAGGCACTGTCGAACGCGAAATACCTACCTTGGAGAGGCAGAGAGATACCTCTAACGAACGACTTTCTTGTGAATCGCCATCCACCTCCAGACCCTGTTTTGAAGTCCCAAATATTTTGGGCGTCTTTCCACACACAGCAGGGGCAGTTGCTCACCCTGTTCGGCGTGAGGCTGCTACTTTCCTCGAAAAGATTTGATGACCTCAGCGAACCGGGCAATGTGAACGCTTCGTCCACTGCACCAACGCGTCTCCGTACAAGTTCAAGACCAAGACCTTCAACTCCAACCCTGCTCCTTGATGTGTTGAATGGATCCGTTCGGTGTTGTATCTCTGCGCATGTGCCTTGTATGGTCTGCTGCAAAGTGTGGTTGGCAAGGCAGAAATGTATGCCCGCAGAGGGTGGGAGAAGGAGAAGCGATGCGGTGGAGATAAGACCAGACTGTTCCTGTGTAGGTAGTTAGTCGTAGGGAAATGCCACTTGGCAATGGACAATAAAAGATCAGATACTCCCGCTCTGGCGATGATAGCCTTGCTCAAAACAACCCATAGCACCCTTAAGAGGATAAGGAAAGGCTGATGTGACGGTGAGGCTGGAAACCGTGAGAGACGGCGACGTTGCGGAAAGAAGCCGAATACGTCCGCTGGTTCAGATAATGAGGCCAGAGCTGAGGTAATGCACCGACGCCGGGCGATGGATGCCTTTGCAATCTGATGACCCCTCTTAACGCGACGAGAATGCCTGCCTTGGGGTTCATCACCCGTAGAACGTTCATCTATGGTCAAACGCCCAGGTCCTGGAACTTGACGCGACACTGCACTTGCTTGCGCGCCTCCGGATATACCCCGAGGTAGACGAAGCCACGAAGCCGACATCCTTAATCGGAATCGAACGCGCTACCCTTATAAGCCAGGGTACAGCGGCGGGCGTCACATACCCGCTGGCTGCCGCTCCCGTAGCCATACCAATACCTCCCAGTCCATATCTGCGTCGAAGAGCAGAGGCATGCTCTGACTATGCAGGACTCTATATCACCAGGACATCCTCTCTATATACGGTAAGACACGCTTTACGAGTGCATCTTCATAACTGTCCATAGATGCCCAGGTCCAGCAACCAAGTACAGGCCTCCCACCATACGATTCGAGGCCTTGAGCATTAGCTCCCGAAATGATGTTGCCAATGTGCATGTTTCTCTGATTGTCAGTACCTCTTTTCGCTCGTGGCCGGTCCTTTTCGAGCCTTCACAACTCCAGTTGGGGTATATGCGAGCCACATAACACCAAGCTACCGGGTCTGTTTCTTGGGTGCTCGACATCATGGCTGTTGCAGACATACACCTCCTTCAAGATCCCCTTCACTGCCCCTTCGCAATGCCTTGGTAGTTTATCGCAACAGATCAGTTATCGTCAGATGCCTGAAGGAGCAGCATGTTGGCGAATACAGTAGGCAGGCCTGTTTTCTTTCCACTACACCCTCATGTAAGCGCAGCAGTTAGGGAGCAGTCTCTCCAATTTGGCCGGCGCCGGCCTGCTGAGCGAGCACATCCCGCTGGAGCACATCACATGCTAGTTTCGGGGCTGTGACCTCGACCGAGAGGAGGTTGCTGAAACGACGATGTTGTGAATACTTGTTGCTCTTCCTGCCGTGGTTCCTAGGTCCTGGCATTCTGTCTCGTAGGATGTGGATACTGTTAGAGCATCATATTGTCCATCCATCATCCGTGACCACCGGTCCTGCTGGCAGGTGGTATCAGAGGTTGGGTATCGCCTTGGCCGGAACAGTGACCCGGGAAATAGGCGGTGCCGGTAACGATCAAAGGATATGAGACGCCGGCGATGAGATGTGTGCGACCTCGAATGGCGACCCTCGTGGTTCATTCATTTACGCCCACGAAGAGTGCGCGAGGAAAAGACCGATGGTATGTCTGTCTCTTAAGCTTCGAGCGCCTATGGTGATCGCTTTTGTAACCAACGCGGGGGGCAATGGTTCAGGTTCTGGAGCGTCTGTGAAGCTGTGCCCAGGTGCTGACCGCTGGGTTCGAAAGCCCCGCAAATGGCGACTCGTCTCGTATTGTCGTCACGTCGTTCGAACGACTCGGAATGGAAAATGAAGTCGTAGGCCCGCTCAGAAAACAGTCCGTCAAGCAGTGATGGTAGAGTATGTCGTGAGAATCAGAGAAACGACGGGCGCTGAGTGGTGCGATGATCAAATCAGGTTGGCTGCTTTAGGTCCAGGTAGGGCGAAGTTGGTGACAGACAGAGGTAGGCTGAGCCAAACGAAGTAAACCCACCGAGATTGGGCGGAAGCTTGCCCAGGGCAGCTGTGGCAGCCAATCCGTGACCACGCGACGGTATGCGGATATCAAAACCGCCAAAACAATTATGATGGTCCGTGCTTGGAGGGCTATCGCTCACTGCACTGGAGGGAACTTCAACTGAACAGAATCATCTTTGCAATATCAACTAGCCGAACCTCTGTGCAACTGGAACTTTCTTCTGATCGCTATCAAGCAAGACAACAGCACTCGAAAAATTCCACTAAAATTGTATGGAATACTGCCCACTTCCAAGTATAACCTCGACAGTTCTCGTGGGTTGGACATCCAGTGTCGTGGTGCTGGATACGGTTCATAAATTGGCAGTTTGTATGCGGATGTTAGGGGTGTGTTCGGACTATTTTCACATCACTGCTGACATGCTATCGTCCTCACAAGTGTCATAGCACGCAGAATTATGAGCTGACGCTCCACAAGGGACGAAAGCAAGAAGATATTGAAGATGAGGAAGAAAGAAGAAACTAAGCTACATCGGATGGAAGTGGGCGAGGGGTCTTATATGTAATGACCATATGGCAGATAAGATGGAAGACCAAAGATCAGATGGAAAGCCAAGGACCTGACAGGTGTTGACATGCGCCATCACAACAAGGGTATTCAACCCACATCAACAGTCTTGAGCACCTTAGCTCGTCAATGACAAAGTGAGCTTCGGCAAGACGAAGTTCGGCTTCGCGGAGGGCTGTGGTGTGGAGAGTATTGAGGGGGGGTCTGTCTGGGTTTAGGACTCGGTTAGGGTCGAGGATGTAGGTCGGGTTTGCGGTGTAAGTCTGGGTTAAACGGTGGTGTCCGGGACTCTTCCGAGATCTTGTTGTTGGTGGTTTCGGGGCCAACTTGGAAGTTGATACTCATAGTAAGCTGTCGGATGTGCTAAAGTTGTGTCGGCACAAGCTGTTCGTTTTGCCCATGACTCTCCTGTGGCTGGCGTTGAATCCCTTTCCTGTTTCTGTTTGTAGTTCTTTCCGTGGCCATCTGTCTCGTGGCTTTGACGATCACATCATTCGCAAGACAGAGTTCGCTAGTAGAGCGTCGAACAAGAATATACAAGGTGAAGCGTCATGTTAGAATGTTGGTGATTTACAGATCGCGACTAGTTAAAGACAGGACACTGGGTCGAATCTTATACTTGACAAGACTGTGCATTAAATGTAAGAGAACAATGAGATGAATAACAATCAAAGTTGCGGTTTATAGGCGACTCAATATTAGCGCGAGGGTAGATATCATTGATCTGTCTGAAGTGATTCTCTTTGTTTATGTTGTTCAATATGGTGTTATGGCGTCTAAAGTATCCCATGTACCCGGATACCAAGACGAAATCACTTTGACAGTGACAAATGATAGTATTGATCACCGAACTGTCAAGCTCGCTGTCTAGTGCACCAGTGTTCACTTTCTTTATCCATATAATCACTTTCAGACGAATGTAAGCGCCTCGCCAATAACTTGCCGCCATACATCAACGATCATTGGCTCCATACACTGTTGGCTTCCTAGACAAAGCCTGGCTACACATATATCATCATGTTTGTTGGTTCAGTTGTCCGTGACTGGAGGAGTAAAACACAACTCAGACAGAGGCTGATGGAAACTGTCCCCAGGATGGGAATGTTTGCCAACAGTTTCGCTCATATGTAGTCTGCAAGTGATGAAAGTTCCAAAACTTCCAGCATTTTCCATTGCAACCACATGAGTTGCTTGGCCTCTTTCGGTATCGGCCATCAGCCGAAACCGCAACTACTGCGCATGTAGCACAAGGTAAAGAATTTTTCTCCTTTTCCACCTTACTACCACCTATTGATCCCAATTGTCATCTCATCTGCGTTTCCCGAAGATGCGAACACGGCACGACGATGCGTTGACTGGTCCACATCGGGTACCTATGTACGCGGGAGGATTGGCTATGGTTGAAGTTACCACTCCGGAAGTGTCTTGCATGCCAATGAGGCATCAACGGGGTGAGGTGAGGTTGGAATTGACAATGCACGAAACCTGACTGTGCAGCAACACATAACCCTTCCGTCCATGTCGTTCTCGCGTGTCAATGTAGGTACATGCTGCGTTTCTACCTAACTAGTAGGTAGCCCGTCTTTCGGGAACATGATGCCATCCTCAATGTCACTGCAAGTAATGGCAAACACCATGGGCTCTGAGGTCTGGGAATGGCGAAGGTACAATACCAAGATGTTGTGCATGTAAAAAGAATTTTGTTGGAGTAGCATTGGAGGCGAAACAGGCCCATTGAGGCTTACCGCGTGGATGGAACACTAGTGTATTCGATATCACATCTGTTGGGGATAGGTTTGCAGTCCGTCCGTGTTATTGGCCGTGAAGTCCGGAGTCGCGCAAGGGGAAGGTAGATGCCCATTGTTGTTCGTAGCTCCCGGGGGTTGATGACTTGGGAAAACAGCCATAGCTCTATATCTGAGATAGTAGCTAAATTGAATCCTCGAAAGTCTAGACTTTGTACTTTCGTATATCTTCAACCTCGTTGATGACCTCGGGAGGTGAGTGAGGTTAAAGTTGTCCAGCATCCCAATACCCCGCCAACGGCGTGTCGTCATGCTGACTAACCTGAGGCAACAAGGAGGGACAAGGAGGGGAGCTCTTCTCCAGATTTGAAAAGCCCCGCACAGTGCGCATTATTGTGGATCAAAATTCAGTTGGGAATGACGCAAAAGAGCGGAGATCGTTGGATGTTTCGCCCGCCAGTATTTCTGAGCCGGGCCAACTATGGCGGCGTCATGCTGAATGTGCGTTTCTGATCGCTGTATCTGACGACCTGGACGTTGCTAGATAGAAAGGAAAGATCTGGAGTGAGAAAGTTGCTGGAAAAATGCCATCAAAGAATTGGGTAGAAATGTACCAGTATGGGTCAACACCAATCGGCGCTGGGGGGAGATTTGTGGCTGATATGGGTTTAAGTGAATGGAGTCCCGTTGCAGAACATGAGGGGTGAAGTGCAGGAATCCCCGCGCCGATAGGTTGGTTACAAGGAATGAAGGGACTTCGGAGGGGACTATGGGAAGCTATGCTGCTCTGGAACCAATGCCGGGCAGTGCGGACCCAACAGCCCAACTTGGCTTTTGTTCTTTTTCTCGCTAGAGGTACTATCATCTTCGCTTCTTGTCTGATTTTTTCAATGGCCATCTTTGTGTGTCAATGGGAGCCATTGTTGCTGTTGGTTGGGTGAAATGCAGTCAGTCAACATGCGATGATCAGGGCCAGACGACCCAAGGAAACCGAACGACGGGCGTTGTTGTTACACCCGGTATGTATGGTATTGTAATTGGACAAGTCGGGTCCCATTGGGAAAGGTCAGAGAACAAAATGTGATTTGACTTTGCTGGAGCGGGGATACGCACAGATCTGGAGGACCTTCCGCAGATGATACACAGTAGTACCTGGAGTGATGCATCTCGGGATCCCCGCGGCGGAGCTTCATGATTCAGATACATGGAGGCTCTGAAATGTCCATGGATGTCTGAAAAGTCAAAAGTGCAGAGAAAAATTCACAGAAATACCTGCCAAAGTTGAGGCGTTGAGGTGAGGTATCTGAATGGTAACTCGGTGGTTCCCTCGTCATCAAGCTTGACGGCGAACCCGTCCGGGGGATCTCCTGTCATTGACGCTC